TAGAAACCAACCTGGTATAATTTTTGCAAAATTTGTGCGTGAAATTTTTGTTTTTGGTGCGTCCAGGACGCAAAAATTAACGTAGCACTTGTGTCTGCGAGTAACCCTATCCCCCCCCCCCCAGACGAGAATCGGCGGAGCCGGGGGGCATATGGCCCCTTTTTATTTCTAATATTATAGCTAGTAGTCCGTTCCACATTCTTATGCGTGCCTCTACCACCTAGCTCTGATAATTAAGTGCCAATTCATTTATGAAAATTGCCCCTATTAGAATCTGAGAGGTGCTCATTTTACTTCAACCAGTGCCCTATTCTCACCTCTGATTAGTGCCCCTTCTTATTTTGACATGTGCCCCCTTAATTTTTATTTCTAATAAGTGCCCTTTTTTCCTTCTGATAAATGCCTCCTTTCCTTTGTAATACAAGCCACTTCTCCTTCTCATAATGCGATTTCTGACATCCCTGATAAGTGATAGATGCCTCCATTAAGATCTCATAGTAGATGCCCATTTTCTTTCGACAAGTGCCCATTTCCCTTTGTATTATGTGCCCCTTTCAATTCTCAGGTAAAAGAAGTGCCCTTTACCATTTCTGATAAGCGACCTGCGGAGATCAATGCTTGAGACAATCACGAGGGCTGAATAAGACTAGTATCAGGGGCCGATCCATCACCATCATCTTCATTATCACCATTCATCACCATCGCCATCATCCTCATTATCATCATCATCATTAATTAGCATCATCATCATTGTCACCATCACCATCATCATCATCACCATCCTCATCATCACCATCACCATCATCATAAGTTAGTATCATCATCATCCTCACTCATATTACCCTCTTTCCAAATATTCTAATCTTCTTCCGGCCACCCCCTCTCACTCTCTCTCTTTCTCTCTCATAATTGCTTGCTGTGTCTGTATAAATCACAACCACAACATAACTAAGCATATGAAACTGTATAATGTGGACATGCAGCAGGAGAATGTATTACAAGTGTACAAAGGAAAAGGGTGGAAGGAGTGAATTTGTCATTTCATTCGTATCTGATTTGATTCGATATCAAAGTAATATTGATCAGTTAATGTCTTGTTGGCTCTCAGCGCAAATTATTCTAATAAAAGCAAGTCATTCTTATGCCATGTGTGATGAGCATGAAATAGTTAAAACCATCCCAAACTCTTGTTCATATATGACAAGGCGAAACCGTAGCGATTTTTCATGATGACGCAAAGTGTAATACTCTTCACATATCTGTTAATTATAACACAGAGCTCTATAATTGGCTAATTCAGGGTGGATCAATGCACGAATGTAGGTAGACAACAGGGGCGGACCTAGGGGGATTAACCCGCCCCCCCCCCCCCTTGGGCTGGCCGGAAAAAAAAAGTTTTAGATGTCGGGGGCCAATTGATTTTTGTGTAGTGCCTTAAACAAAAAATATTGGTCAGCACTTTTTTGAAATTCGGGGGGCAAACTGAAGAAAAAAATTGAGTACCCCCCTGAGCAAAAAGCTACATCCGCCCCTGGACAAAGAATCAGAAAAGCACACTCTCTTTCGGTTTACCTTTTCATAGCAATCAAATCAAGAAATACCTTTGTAATGTAGTCAACTGTGAGTCATGAATCTCAAGATCCTAAATGTATATTTAACAAGAATGCAAAGAATTTATTTAGACAAATCAATCTAAGAGGCTATTTCAATAGCTTCGAGCGTTACTCTTGAAATGTGTGAACATAACAATGGTTTATTATACAATCTGAACATGATTTCAATATGCAAAACAATAAGCTTGTAATCGTAGTGCCCTTAAGTTAATTTCTTGACAGTCGTTGTGATAGTATAATTTGTACCACATAACGTCGACTGTGAAAGAAAGGGAAGTTCTTCCCCTTTAGCAGTAAAACATTACAAGATCTTTCCCCTTTAGCAGTAAAACATTACAAGATCTTTCTCACAAATAAAAACATCATTTCATAATACAGAAAAAAAAGGAAGGAAAAAAATTACCCTCGAAGCACAATAAACTATAACTACACTGCAGCCAGGTACACAATAACATATCTATATAGTACAATAAGACCTGACGTATATATGCTGTGTATATCATATTGCACTTTTCAAATTTATTTTGGCTCTGTCACACAGCATATACATAACAAAACTCTACAAATAAATCAACTTCAGAAACTGGATAAAGATTTATCTGGAGCGTAGATTTCATCTAAAACCCTCTGCACACCCCTCTGAATATAAGTCATTACATCAGAAGGTGTAATCATTAATAGAGAAACAGGTTCTTTAGGTTCATGTACGTGCATTGGAAAGCAACAAAATACAAAAATAAGCATTATGTACCTTATCCATTTTAACATACTATATAACTTATAATAATAATAATAATATACATCTTTAAATAAATTTTCATTGTCCTTAAGTTAAAGGGGAAGTACACGCTAATATTAAGTCGGTTTTAATAGAAGCAGAAAAATTAGAGGAAACAGTCAGTGACATATTGAGCAATATCCAATAAGGAATAGTAAAGTGTTCAATTTTTGAAGTTGCGATCAATCAAACACAAATTGGCAACACTTGCGAGGCACCTCTCCAATTTGCTCTGTACATAAAATATCATAAGATTTCCTTTCCTTTGTTATTGATGACAGAATTTTTTTTGTTTCCATACAGGGGTTGAACAGATACATATTTGTAATAATTATATTGAGGGTTCATGTGTGCTGATAATTTTCTTGACATGAAAATTATCTTGAAGGAAAATAACAATTTCTGATTATTTTATTACAGAGCAAAAGGGAGGGGAGCTTGCAAGATACATAACAGAGTTGCCAAATTGTGTTTGATTAATCTGTTAATTAAAACCTGTTAATTAAAACTTCTTATCAATAACCAGTTCCAATAACTGTTATAAAACTGTAATCGTGGCATTTGATTGTCTGAGACCTAATTTGTAATGGATTTTTTTTTGTTATTGATAACAAGTTTTTATGAACAGGGCACTGGAAGACGCAGTGAAACCTGACTGAGCGACTTCCAGTACAGAAAGACCAGTCTTTCACGACCAATCTGTTTTCCTTATACAGTGTTTCCCATTGAAATATGCACTATAGGAACCTATACATAGTGTCCACCTGTCTATAACGAAAATATTTTCAGTTTTCCTTATATAGTGTTTTCCATTGAAATATGCACTATAGGAACCTGTACATAAGGTCCACCTGTATATGAAGACCATATTTTTTGTTCCCATTGAAATATTCTCTGAAGGGACCTGTACATAAGGTCCACCTGTTCATAAAGACCATATTTTCTGTTCCCCTTGAATATGCACTATAGGATCGTGCGCATAAAGACCACCTAGAAAGAATGCATTTTTCTCGTATCCCACGAGCAGTCTTTATTTATATGTTTCACTGTACCTCTGATCAACTATTGCTTTAAGTTTCATATCACCTACATGTAAACTGGCATTCATATACATGTGTGTCATATAAAAACTCTTAAGTCACCGACAATATCTACTATTATGCCCTTTGCGCCACAGACGGCTTCATCTTCACGCCACATTTTGCCAAGCTACTTCATGATATGTTATATGTTTACAGCTATGCCACATTAGATGTAACGAGAGAAAATTAAAAGATATACTAATTTTTACAGAGCCTCTAATGAAGACATCGCCCTGCAACTATAATGCATGTTTAATAACAATTTTGGTTTACCCAGGGAAGCCTCATGAGCTTCGATGCTGTTCTTTCTGAGGGCCCTGCGATTATTATTACACCAGGGGGTGTTTCACAAATATCCTAAGTAGAACTTAACACTAAGTTGGACTTATAAATTATGGACAGCCATTGGAGCCTTAAAATGAAATGTATTCAAAAGCAGAAATTCAAGTATTTTAGACCTTTTATAAATTCCACATCCAGAACATGAACTCTCCTTGATGATAGAAAATATGAATGATTTGAATAAACAATTGATGCCTTTCAAAATAACTTATACAAAATATTTTCAAAGATGCTAATGGCTTTCCATAATTTTTAAGTCCAACTTAGAGGTAAGTTCAACTTAGGATCTTTGTGAAACACCCCCCAGCAATTACCAGGTACCCATTTACACCTGGGTAGAGAGAGGCAGATGTGGATTAATGTCTTGCCAAAGGATGTCAGTGCAGGGCTGGGATTCGAACCCTCAACCCTTGGATTAAGTGAATGAACCACTATACCATGATGTCTCCTTATGTAAATGATTTGTACAACGTACATCTTAAATGAACGAGTGCAGACAATTTAAATCAATTATCAATATAAATTATTATTGATTGTTGACAGTGAATTAATAAATTCAATAAATTAAAGCTGTCAACTAAATAGAGCATTCTATACAGTTACGACAACAAAAGATGTAAAATATGCATTTGTAATACAAACAAATTAACTGAAGAAAATTGTCATCAACGTATTTCATCCCCACTTTGAAAATCAGCGTTCAGAGTAATCGGTAACTAATTTTCATCAATGAAAGTAGTTATGCAAGTTAACTCTTGCATGATTGCTATGATGTCTAGTTTACGGCCGTCCCTCCGTTATTGAACATCGCATTTTCAATAAAGCATTACTATACAGTTTCCCTGTGCTAGCTATTGGGTGTTCAAAATTAGCTGTGGAGTAAAATAGCACCATGCATATAGTACTACTATCTTCCCTCTGATGTCACAGTCATGTTCAGTTTTACTGTTGGGCATTGTAGAGTGAAGAAGCTCCTAAATGTTAGGTATGATGAATATATTACTATTTAGTCGAGTCGAGTCGAGTGGTTTAAGCACTTGACTTGAAATTCAAAGGTCGTGGTTTGATCCCCGATACAGCACCAATGTCTTTTGGCAAGGCATTAATCTTCATTTGCCACACTCAACCCAGGTGAGGTAAATAGGTACCTGGCAGGAATTAATTCCTTGAAATGCTGTAGCTCTGTAATGGCAGCTAGGCTAAAGCCGGGGTAATAATTAATGCGCCTCGGAATAGAATTTCTAGATAGACGGCGCTATAGAAATGCCTATTAATATAAAATTAATATCACCTCTCTGCTGCTGAATGTTCAATTTACAGTGAAATAGTTCATGAATGTTGGTCATGATGAATATAATATTATTCTCTCCAAAAAGATAGGAATGACTATCCTCCATCTGCCGTTTGATGTTCAGCTTTGCTGTCGAGCGTTGAAGAGTGAAGCAGTTCCTTGATGTTTGGAATGGCATCAGACGGAGAGATTCCACTGTGTAATTCACCTAACGTAGTTTCCATCTGTAAAGACAACAACAATAACAACAATACCCATTACTGGCTGAGGCCAAGGAAAAGTCATGTGTATTACAGTTGTCAGGAAATATTAGGCAAATAATTACCGTTGGTGAATGTGATGGGACAACTATCACTTCCGAGGCGATCTGGATGTTGCTATCTTTCCGAAGGGAAGCTGAGGAAAGATAGCGTATACATTCAGATGGCCGAAGAAGTGATAGTTTGCCATCACCTGAAAACCTAAAGGTGATTATTTGCTCTATATTCCACATCGGAAACATTTCAATTCTTCCGTTATTTTAGAGCAACAAGTCATCAATTAACAGCTAGCAAACGGTGTACGAAACGAACTGTGTATGTAGCATGGGGTGTGACTATAATTCGCCCGTGACCAAAGTTTGCGTACTAACACTAAAAGCGCTTAAAGAGAGCAATACGCAATGGATACAATTAAAGTGCGTTGCACTGTGTAGACAGGACTTCTATCTTCAGTAAAAGTGCGTTGCACTGTGTAGATAGTACTACTATCTACACAGTGCAACAAACTTTTCTTCTCCCATCAATGATGGGCGAACTATCTTTCATCACGTTATTTACTTTTGACCAATCGTAGAGCAAGATTGTTAGTATATGGAATATAAAAAGTGATAACCTTCATCTTAGACGTATACAAATCTGACAAACAGTGCGCTCTGTAAAAATTCGGATGAACAAGATTCAGTAAGTCGTAAAATGAAAAGAATACATCGATTATGATATTAATCCTTATTATTGTTTTTATTTACATAAAAAATCAGAAAATTATGTAGGATAGAAAGATTTAGGCATTATGGTTTAAAAAAAACAAGTGGACTAAAAAATGGCCTTAACCCTATTTTAACTGGGCTATTTCAGACCAGGTTTTTACTGGGGAGGGGTCAATTTGACCCCCCCTTAAGATCTCGGCCGTTTCACGGCCGATCGCCGCGAAAATTTGCATACATGTCAAGTGAAGTGTATAGAATACTATGGTAATTTCAATTTTTTTTTAAATTCACTCATTTACATATTTATGGTAATTTATGCAAATAAGGTCATAAAATTCACATTTTTGCCCATAAATCATACATTATTGATATTTAAGCATTCTTTTTCACTACATATATTTGTAAGACCGTTTGGAATAATAATACAACACAAAAAATTAGAAGAACCAGGTTATTCCTTATGTTATCTCTTGTTTTGATAATTTCTTATGTATTTCATTGTTTTTTCAACTTATGTATTTTATTGTTTTTGTTGTTTTATTTCATTTATAACTACAATTCAACTATTTTGACCCCAAAACAAACACCCAAACTTTAAACAAGACTAAATAACCAATGTTTTATCTCTTTTTAGGAAAAATGACATTTCCATATGTTTTGTACACAAATCACAAAAATGAGCAATTTTCGGGCTGACATCCAACAACAAAATGTCACGTGACTCCGTAACTATACGTCCGATTTTCAAAAAAATTGTTTTAAAAGATGCGTAAGACTCGAAAGAAAAAAATCATGAAAGGAAAATTCTATATCTGCCGCGGTTTCGGAGTAGTCGCGAAATTTCTACAGGGGGGGGTCAAATTGACCCCCCCCCCCCCCCAGTTAACGTAGGGTTAAGTTGGAAAACAAGCAGTAAATCCCCTGCAAGGATTCAACCATAGACACAAATTTAAACATAAATAATCGGAACCTCACTGAATACTGATCGATCAACAAGTTGAAAATGGGGATTTATGAAGGAACATGTAAATAAATGTATACAAATTTTTATAAATGGATAAAAATTAACCGGTATATAAATGTATACAAATTTAGGGTTTGATACTGTGATAGTACTCCTAACCCCTCCGCGACTTTTGAACACACACACAGAGCATACAAGATTTCAAATGCGCGTTCAAGCCATGCAATTTACGCTGGGCCGCACGCAGTAACTGCATTGCCTTACTGCAGTACCTGTAAACAAGTACAGTATAGATTGGAATTCTGTATGTTGGATTTCTTTTAGCATTGATTTGAAACTGTTTTGAGCTTCAAAAGACTGTAAATATATAACTGTAATGAGCATAATCTCTTGATATTGGATTTATTTTCTAGACCTATTCATGAATCAATGAAAAGCATGAGATACCGGTATATAAAACAAATATGGACTGCTCTGTAATAATCGGATGGTGGAGGAAATTATCACTCCCTCGGCCATGTTCATACCGGCCCTTCTATCAAGGGTGGGTATGAACACCACCTTGGGACTGATAATTCCCACCATCATCCTCATGAGCAGTCAATATTTGTATACTATCTCTCTGGATAGGCTGTGGCCTGACCCATTTCATACCTGTTTTATAAGTTGTATACAAAGATCCACAATGTCTCTCCATTTCTGCATCTCTTTGGCATGCATCTGTTGTTGCTGTTGTAATAACACTGTCCAATCCTTTTCAGACTTTGGTAACTCCCTGAAAAAAATGGAAATATAATTAGGAAATCAATGATTGGGTTGCAGTTTGAGCATTTGAAATTGACAATACGATCGCTTAAAGGCATCGTTTAACAATGTTGAATCTGAGATGCACGGCCCTACGTGTTATCAGTGTCTGTGATATGGTGTAATATTGAAGCCCTAAAGAAATTTCGCTTCAAAAAGAGCAAGAAGTGCCTCAATAAAGTAGAAATCTTTGACTGACCGGTTCTACCATACTTGTTTTCCCCAATAGACTGTAGTGTTATGAAAACGCAAAATTTGATTTCGATTTCCTTTCATAAATATCTTGATAATCAGACGGACGGTCAGCTTGTAAAAATCATGGGGCTCCTGGCTGACCTAAGGGTTTATAATTATCATTGCAGCATGAGCTAAATACAGGGTTTTGTTTCAGAATCTGAGATAAAGTTACCCAATACCCAAGGTTTTCCATTGTTAAAATCCATTCTATCACAATTTGATGAAGAAATAAAATTGTTACTACTGTGTGTAACAGTAAAGTGTCATATTGTAGATCATTAATCTGTTAGAAATTGAAGGGTTTATATTTGGGCAAAAGGCAAACGCGTCCCCCACCCCACATGATGACGTTGTACCAATACTCCTTTGCACTGAAATTGAAAAAAATTGTCTGTTTGGGCCAGAAGGGTGTTAACTCTGTGTTAAAGTATATCAGTAAATGCCCTTCTGGCTCCAAACATATGACAAATGTTAATAGAATAATTGTTTTTAACTTTGAACCAATGTTCTTGCCTTTTTGTAAATATTACGTTATATAATTCTTTATCTTTTATTTTGTGTAAAATACCAAAGCTTTGTATTTAATCACAAAACATATTTACCCTAAATGTAGAATAGCTTGTAGCTTAAGTATGTATTCATAGATATTCATATTTATTCATTACATTCTCAGTCATTGCTGTGATACTTTTGTGTGTTAGTGGTACCAGACACGATTATCATTAAATGATATTTTCTGGTCCCATTCATTCTTTCAATGTTAACCCTTCACATTTGATTGTTATATTGATGTACTTTTGTTTGGATAATAAACTTCAAACTCAAACTCAAACTCAACTCAAACTCAACTCAAACTCAACAGACACAGTGGTGATGCAATGGTTGTGCTTACCCAAGCTTTTGGACAAACTCCGCGCTGGACCAGACCTGCTTTCCCGATGTTCCCTCTTCCAATGACTTCAGTTGGAGGAACAAAGATACATTGAAGACACATAATACAGCCAAGCTGTCACAAACAAAACAAAACAAAAAAAGACATCAAATATTGTTCAAATGGTTGAACCCCCTCCCCCCCCCTCCCCCTCCCCCAGCAAATTAATACAATAAATATCATCCTGAAAAAATAGTTGAGATTAACCCATCCATGCCAAGGGCGCAAACCCCAACCAAGAATATCATGTTTCATTAAAACTAAGACATAGTTATCCTGAACTAAAGGTTCATCCATGCTAAAGGTCGTTTCAATGGACCATACCGAAGGCTGAATTTAACAATGAAACAAAGAAGTACTTGTATACAACTCTAATTTGACTCTTGAAAGGTTATATGGGACAACCGTTCACAATAATAGCAGCACAAAAGGGGCTGTATCCTCTTGAGTTTTTGCTGACAGCAACGCACTACTGTTAGTTCAATGCTGTAAATGTTGGTACGTCGTTTTGCGCCTCATAGAGAATTTTAAACACACGAGAAGGAAAATAATTTACCTCCGAAAATATAACAGTGGACCCCAGCAATTTCAATAGGGACACCCAACATATAATTATTTTGAGAGAAACCTGGTGCATATATACAGATCACAAATTTTCTGCTCTACAACCCCTCATAAAATGCTTGAAGGTAATGAAAAGTCGTGCCACCTATTTGTCCTGGGGCATAATTCAATGTTGGTTTTGTGAAGCAACATAATAATAATGATAATAATATAAATAATACGTCATGTTTACCCAAGGTAGCCTCATCAGTATTCATACTGTTCACCCTGAGCGCCCTGCAATCATATTATTACCCCTGCTTTAGCCGAGCTACCATGAAAATGTGCTCAAGCGGTCAAGTGATTTCATTCAGGTCCCCATTTACCTCACCTGGGTGGAGAGTGGTAAATGTATAATAACATCTTGCCAAAAGACATTACTACCTCGAACCATGCGACCCACAGTCCGGTGACGTAATAATAATAATTATAGTGCTTATATAGCGCCTAACACTTACTTCATCAGAGGTCTCTAAGCACTCTACAAATAATGCAGCATAATTACCCTGGCTTTAGCAGTGCAGCTGTTACGCACGCTACGTTTCAAGGAATAAATTCCTACCAGGTACCCATTTACTTCACCTGGGTGTAGTGTGGCAAATGTAGATCAATGTCTTGCCAAAGGACATAAGTGCAGCAGCGGGACTCGAACCGCAGACCTTGTGATCGACACTCCGGCGACTTATCCACTCGACACCTCTATAATACAGTTTTTATTACAATAACTCCTGCTTGAAAGGCTCTACAGAAGAAAACTGCATCAAAGTGTATACAAATTGGCCAAGGCTACCAAACCGTACTCATATTTGTTGGTGGAAAAAGCAAGGAATTGTAAAGCCTTACATGATAGATATGAAAGCCATGGTGCTGTGTAGACTGAGTTTAGTCTCTGAGTTTGGTTGGAACCATACCGGAGTGAGGTTAGATAGGAACCCTGCAAGGAAGAGAGATGAATACTTCATTAGGAAAATAAATTTGTTTTTCAATTCAATTCAATTCAATTTTGCTTGCATTGGCAATAAAACGCATGACATATCAAATTAAAATACTTATATCCTCCTAAGTGTTCCTGTTGAGATGCCTCAAACATCTCTTTACCTTCCCCCCACCCACATTTCGCTATCTTTCTCCCCCCCCCCCCCTCTCCAGATCTTGCTCCCTCTCTCTATCTCTCTCTCTTCCCCTTTCTCTCCCTCTCTCATAACCCCTCCTGCTCTCTCTCTCTTCTTCTCTGTCTCTATCTCTCTCCTTCCCTCTCACAATACCTCCTACTCTGATCATTTGAAGTGTACAAGAGGCTAACACTCTTAAAACCTGTTAAATTCACAAACTATTTTTAGTACTGGATTGCGGTAATACCTTTGCTCTCTTTTCTTTTGTCTCCGTCTTCAGATGCTGTGATCATCTCTTTTCCCCCTTTCTTTCCTCCCCCCCCCCCCTCTCTCTCTCTTTCTCTCCCTCTCCATCTCCCTCTCCCTCTCCCTCTCCCTCTCCCTCTCCCTCTCCCTCTCCCTCTCACTCTCTCTCTCCTCTCACAATACCTCCTACTCTGACCATTTGAAGTGTACAAAAGGCTAACACTCTTAAAACCTGTTAAATTCACAAACTATTTTTAGTACTGGATTGCGGTAATACTTTTGCTCTCTTTTCTTTTGTCTCCGTCTTCAGATGCTGTGATCATCTCTTTTGTTCCCTTTCTTTCCTCCCCCTTCCCCTTTCTTCCTCTCTCTCTCTCTCTCTCTCTCTCTCTGATATCCCTTCTCTCTCTCTCTCTCTCTCCTCTCACAATATCTCCTACTCTGAAACGTTGAAGTGTAAAAACCTGTTAAATGCACCTCTTTTTAGTACTGGATTGTGGTAATACCTGTTCTCTTTTCTTCTGTCTCCCTCTTCAGATGCTGTGATCATCTCTTTTGTTCCCTTTCTTTCTTCCCCCCACCTCTTTCTCTCTCTATCTCTGATACACTTACATGTAAACACCTATATATTTACGAACCTGTTTGAGTACTGGATTGTGGTTGAACTTCTGTTCTTCTCTTCTCCTCTGTCTCTCTGTTTTGATGCTGTGATCGTCCCTTCTTTCCCTTCCTCCCCCCCCCCCTTCTTTCTTTCTTTCTTTCTTTCTCTCTCTCTCTCTCTCTCTCTTAAACACCTATATATCTACGAACCTGTTTGAGTACTGGATTGTGGTTGAACTTCTGTTCTTCTCTTCTCCTCTGTCTCTCTGTTTTGATGCTGTGATCGTCCCTTCTTTCCCTTCCTCCCCCCCCCCCTCCTTCTTTCTTTCTTTCTTTCTTTCTCTCTCTCTCTCTCTCTCTCTCTCTTAAACACCTATATATCTACGAACCTGTTTGAGTACTGGATTGTGGTTGAACTTCTGTTCTTCTCTTCTCCTCTGTCTCTCTGTTTGGATGCTGTGATCGTCTCTTCTTTCCCTTTCTCTTCTTCGGAGGTACTGCTATCTCCAGATGATCGCGAATGAACTTCACTGAAAAAAACAAAAACATGAAGCACCGATGGAGCGATTCCGTATTAGAAATAATAACACTTACAAAGATAAGATTTTCAAGTCTATTAATGATACAATTTTATTGGAAGGCAATATTGATCAACCGTCTCTTAGGGTCCTTCATCATTTAGGGGGTAATTAAATGGCAATTAGGTTCAGAACAAGCAATAAAAATACTTCCTTTTCCTATTCCTTTCATCAAATCATGAAATAATACACCTTATGCCCATTGACTTGGGTTCTGATATCACAATATAATATGCTCAAAACAATATTTCATCAAATACTTGAACGTGTATGGGTAATGGGCTAAAACTGTTTGTCAGAATTCATTTTTCTGAAACTACCTTAAATCTCTATGTATAAGTTGCACCATATTTTTAGGACCAAGAGACCCCCCCCAAAAAAAAAAAAACCTCTTCCCGGCCTTCGAATTAGGAACGTATATTAACTTCAAATAGTGGATCATACTCTTTATTCGCATTATGTAAATTCACGTTGAGACACAAAGACTTTTGAAAACGACTAAAAAGTAGCATTTTGAGGACTGAAATATCCTGTACCTGTGTATAAGACGCACCCCCGACTTTTTAATTTTTTCCTCGGCAAAAAGTGCGTCTTATACACAGAGATTTACGGTATATTGTCATACTGGTATCATACTTACCTAGTTCTCTTTCTCCTTGTTTCACACCTGACTCTACGTTTCTCTCAATGAAGTTCTTGACCAAGCCTAGCGCTGACTTCAGGAACTCTATCCTCATGATAAATCTGCAAAAGAGACGAACAGAAATAATATTAATGATAATAGCTACGTTCACATTGCAAACATATATATCGCAGGGATTGGTCAAGGTGCCTACAAAGTACTACTATTAAAGGCATCATTTAACAATGTTAAATCTGAGATGCACTGCCCTACGTGTTATCAGTGTCTGTGATATGGTGTAATATTGAAGCTCTTAAAAAATTGTGCTTCAAAATGATCAAGAAGTGCCTCAAAATGGGAAAAATCTTTGAGTGACCGGTTCTACCATACTTGTTTTCCCCAATAGACTGTAGTGTTATGAAAACCGTTTGGCAAACGCAAATTCAATTTCAATTTTTCAATCATAAATATAAATTGATAATCAGACAGGCGATCTGCTTGTTAAAGTCATGGGGTTACTGACTGACCTCAAGGTTTATAATTATCATTGCAGCATGAGCTAAATCAAGGATTGTTTTTAAAGGATCTAAGACAAAGTTACCGGATCCCTTTAAACGACAGCTGGTCGGGGAGATCATAGTCAGAACCTGGCAGGCGTAAACAAAGAAGCCGTTACAGAAAGGAACATTCACACTTACCTTAATCGAGAGCTGGCCGGGGAGATCATGGTCAAAACATGGCAGGTGTAAACATAGAAGCCGTTACAGAAAGGAACATTAACCAGGGCTTAAATTGATCCAAGGCCACCAAGGCCATGGCCGTGGATGCCCCTTTGATTGGCCTCAATGCCCCTCTCATTGGCCTTGGAGAATTTTTGTGCCCTTTCCACTTCTTCCTATTTGTGCTGAAATATTAGGAATGTGCCCTACAGAAAAGTGGCCTTGCCCTAAAAATATTGAAATTTAAGGCCTGATTCACACTCACCTTAATCGAGAGCTGGTCGGGGAGATCATGGTCAGAACCTGGCAAGTGTGAACGTAGAAGTAGTCACAATAAGGCACGTTTTTGTTGTACACCTCTTTCTCTACGATGTAGCTCTGCCCAGTCTTACTCCAATTCTTTTGAAACATCTAAAATAAACGGATAAGGAGCAAAAAAATGTAATCAGAGTAGGACTCACAGTTAATCGATCAAACGTTTTTATGGTAAATGTGATCAGACCACTGTATACTACTATGATACAACTGCAATCCGATTTTAGAAGAGGATGCAAATGATATCAGGTATGGGAAAGTTCAACAGGTATGATCTTCTTTGGCTGAGCTAAAGAATAAAGATAAGACAACTCTACATTGAAATTTTGTGCATGTATAGAGTACAGGATCATCAAAATGTGATGAGGTAAACCATGCCTTTTTTTTTCTAATGGGAAGTAGACCATGATATTAAGTTGTTTTTAATAAAAAGCAGAAAATGAGAGCAAAAACTTAGTGACAGTTTGAGGAAAATCTTTGAAATTTGTTGAAGTTGTCATCAGTGATACAAAATTGGCAACACTGGGACATATCTTGCAAGCTCGGCTCCAATTTGCTTAACTTTCATTTTTCTTAGTTATTAATGAATAATAAGGAATAGATTTGTGTCATACATGGGTTGTATGAAAAAGATATTTGCAATAATTATATTTAGGGTGAATGTATGATTTTTCATAAGGGAAAATCTAAAATTTTGAGTTTATTTAGTACAGGGCAAATAGGAGGGGACCATGCAAGATACGTCACATAGCTGCCAATTTCTGTTTGGGGTTCCTGACTGACCTAAAGGTTTATAATTATCATTGCAGCATGAGCATACTCCAGGATTTTGTTTCAGAATTTGAGATAAAGTTACCAGTTCCCTTTAAAGTGAGATGGCAGTCAGTTTCCAAATGCAGTAGGTCATAATTTGCTCATTTTGCTGACACCACTCTTGCGCACAGCAAACCTACAGTCCCATCAACAAATACCCTCTGGGTCTCTGAGAGTCTTCGGATGATGGCAATGTGAGATACTCATAACTTTTCCATATGGGGCGATTGGTGGAAAATGCAGAGGGCCTCATAAAACTGAAGGCTAATCCTGATGATTGACAACGCCTGTTATTGGGTAAACACCCAAATGGTGTCAAACTTCCCATCAAAACCCACTACTTTGCGTCTTTAAAGCCTGTCTGTACTAGTTTGGCCAAGGGAGATTAGACCTCCCTGCAAGGTCACTGACAGGTGGTATCTCATCAAATCAGCTCTCAATTAACATAAGAAAGAGAGGATCATGGGGGACCAACAGGCACCAATTAGGCATTGTTTGCTATGTAGAGGGCGCAAGTAGCTATAGGAAGTGCAGTGGGTCTTTAAAATCTGCAAATATACTCACGTGATTCTCCTCCACACCACAAGCTTTGTAGCCAAGAGAAGTGTTGAGATGGAGCACATAGCTGAGCTTTCTTTTATCACGATCCGAGTCGTGTCTCGCCCAGTCTCCAATCTCTATGTCTGTAGGAAAAAAGGAAAAAAGGAAATGATCGGTAAGATTTAATAACACAACCAAAATATACATTATACATTTACATACAAATAGAAAGAGAAGGGGGGGGGAGAGAAAGAGGGAGAGAGAGAGAGAGAGAGAGAGAGTGGTGTTAAGGTGAAGCACATAAATGAGCGTTCTTTTATTATGATCAGAGTTGTGTCTCGCCCAGTCTCCAATCTCTATGTCTGTAGGAAGAATGAAAATAACAATTATCAGTCAAATCTTGCGACACAACAGACATGCGCATCGATGACAGAAAGAGAGATAGAAAGGGGGGGGGGGAGGAGAGGAGGCAGATATAAGAGTACAGAGAGTATAAGAAAACATGTTCGAAGGAGAAGGAGGAGATGGCCAAAAAGGCAGGTGTAGAGAGAGAGAGAGACAGACAGATAGAGAGAGAGAGAGAGAGAGAAGGAGGAAAATTAAGATATAAGAGTACAGAGAGTAGAAAGAAGGTGAGACAGACAAAAAGACAGGTGTTGAGAAAGAGAGAGAGACAGAAAGTGAAACTGACGGAGGGAAATTGAATGAAGGATGTACAATTTGTTGTTGTTTACCTGTACACTTCCTGTACTCCAAGAATTTCTTGCAGAATGGATGCTGGTTGCCGTAGAGGGCGGTAAACAGTCTATCCACAGGAATGTTGAAAGTTTCATTGATAATCTCCTTCCCTCCAAAGTCCAGTGAACTTAAAGGATCCACAACTGAGAGACACAAACAAATCAAAGAATCAAAAGTTATATTGAGCCAAACTATAAAATGTGGAATGATTGTCGCAAAAGGATTAAAGGGTATGGGTACCTTTGTCTCAGATTCTAAACAAAATCCTGGATTTAGCTCATGCTGCAGTCATAATTATAAACCCTTAGGTCAGTCAGGAATCCCATGACTCTTACAAGCCGATCGCCTGTCTGATTATCAAGATATTTATGATTGGAACTCGAAATGTCAAAATTCGTTTTCCCAATGATTTTTATAACACTACAGTCTATTGGGGAAAATAAGTATGGTAAAACTGGTCACTCAAAGATTTTTACTTTTTTGAGGCACTTCATGATCATTTTGAAGCGCAATTTTTTAGGGCATCAATATAGCAATATATCACGGACACTGATAACACGTAGGGCCATGCATCTCAGATGTGTACAACTGGAAACACTGTTAAGCAATGCCTTGAATACTGATGTGCCCACCATGGGTAAACAAAATGCAACAATATTCTTCTTAGAACTATACGCTAAGAAAGATAACAAACAGTCCTTTTCAGGACTACACACCCCCAAGAAAGATTACCGAGTCAGAGTCCTTTTCAGGACTCCTCAATCCTCTCTCTCTCTCTCACATGGTGCACCCGCAAGCCTACTGTATAACAATTATTCATTATGATTCCACCAGTCTCTTACATTCTCCGATGTCTTCGCTGGCATCTAATGCACCGTCAGGCTCAGCCTTCTTGTCCAGAGATGGGATCGTCATGGTGATACCATCCCCATCATCAGTCTGGGACTCATCCTTCAAAAAGAAACATAACAAATTCGAGATTTTCAAGTATTGTAAAATTGTGACATGAAACATTTCGTCGGTGGGGTGACAAAACCTTGTATCTCAAAAATCATGAATTTTCAGGAGAGCGAAAAAACTTTCCTGTCTCAACAAATTTAGTGCTGTGACACCGTCCTTTCTTTTTAAAACTGGAATATTTATACAATTTTTAATGTCATTATTGAAATACAGTAAAATAATTGTTTTATATTTGAAAGTGAGTTACAAGGTTTTTGTGTTTATCTACATTGAGAAACGAGTTTTTAGTTTGTATTCAAATTGAGATACGAGTTCTTACTTTCAACTCTGAATGAGTTACGAGGATTGGGTTGAATAAGTTACGAGGATTTGAATACACTAACTTCGGTACTGTTAGGCCGTGTGTGAGTTACGAGGAAAAGGAATTACATGTACGTATCTCATGTTACAAGGTTTTGTCAGTGCAGTTTCAAAGGGGGTTAAAGTTACGAGGTTTAGTTTAAGGGTGTTTGTGTGGAATTTGTGAAAAAACCGAGAAGGAGGCGTTCCATGGATTTATCAGGTGGTGGCGTAGGCCATTAGGTACAAAATTATGCAAAAAAATCAAAATCTCAAAAAATTGAGATACAAGGTTTTGTCACCCCACCGACGGTTTGCAAATCTGGAAACTCACAAATTCAAATTTTAGAATATATTTAGAGATTATTATGTGATAAAAGTACATGTTTACATACAAATGTGAAAGACACAACGATTCCAATGTCATTTACTTATGTCAAGGGGAGGTGTTGGGGGAGGGGGGAGTTTTGCCATTCAGTTTCTCTTATTTTTCTGCTTTCATACAAAACAAATTATTACAAGGGTTGAATTGCCCTTAACTTCTGAACCCAGTATCTGTAGAGATGGTGGCCAGCAGTTGCCCCTTGGAGGGTCTTAATAAGCAGGTCGATAGGACTTGCCTTTGACCCATCATAACTAAGATCTTCTGATCCTATACTTTGTGAGATATCCTATATATTATTCGCCTTCAATTACATTAGGCCTAAAAAAAAAAATGTTTTATTGCCCTTTGCGACAGGCCTAAAAAGTCTTTAAATCTACGGTCGGCTTAAAAAAACTACTGAACAGTTTTTTTTTAAACCCAAGAATTATCAGCCCAAAGAGGATTTTTTTTTTTAAGTAAAAAAAAAAATTAAAATTCTGACCGATTGTCCCATGTTTTGGCACCTAAAGGGCAATACATCATCTTTTTTTTTGGCCTTAGGGGCAACCTGTCTATAGTGGTTAGTTTCAAAGGAGTGGTCTTTATAGATAGGTTTGATTGGACTAACCTTTGACCCCGGAAAGACTTCATCGTAGCTCTGGTCTTCTGATCCTAAACTCTCTGAGATGTCTTCCGTACTATCCACATTCAATTACATTAGGGGCAACCTGTCTATAGTGGTTAGTTTCAAAGGAGTGGTCTTTATAGATAGGTTTGATTGGACTAACCTTTGACCCCGGAAAGACTTCATCGTAGCTCTGGTCTTCCGATCCTAAGCTCTCTGAGATGTCTTCCGTACTATCCACATTCAATTACATTAGGGGCAACCTGTCTATAGTGGTTAGTTTCAAAGGAGTGGTCTTTATAGATAGGTTTGATTGGACTAACCTTTGACCCCGGAAAGACTTCATCGTAGCTCTGGTCTTCCGATCCTAAGCTCTCTGAGATGTCTTCCGTACTATCCTCATTGTCCAGGTTATCCAGACCCTCGGCTTCAAGGAAGTCCGCCGGAAGCTCCTCCCCCTGGATACCGAGGTCACTCCCATAGTTACTGTGAACCCAGCTCCAGTACTCGGATGAGGGCATCGTCTAACAAAATAAGATGAAATTCAAAACATTAGACTAGTTTACACACACATATTTTAGGTCGACACTGATTGAAAAAAATACATGAATAGGCATAAAATATGGTAACAAAAAAGAAAATAGAAAAAAATGAAGACTTTTCAATGTTGAGAAAATGTGAATTTCTGTATTAATGTACTACCAACCCAAAGATTCATAATACATATTTTCCATCAAAAAATTCCTGGCAACAAATATTAACAAGTCAACGCAAAGCGGAACATCCCCTCGCCGGTTATAAATGGCTTATTTTATGAGCTGTGATCTCTGACCTTTGACCTACATTCTCTGAAACCGAAATTAGGATGTATTTTGATACCATGTACCTTCATATCAAATTTCATTAAAATCTGTCAAACATTACCCAAATTATCAAACAAAAAACAGATTTGTTACAGAAAGACGGACGGCAGCATTATTTTGAGTATATCCCCTCAAACTTCGTCGGCGAGGTGATAATAAGGATTGCATGAAAATAACTACATTGTGCCGAAAATTTACTCTGTCTACTTTAGCGTATAGTACGATGCTTCCTTCACTTCTAAGTGCACAAATCTTCTATTTCACTGTATGGGACTTCTATAATTTTAGATATAGTAAATACAGAACTTCCACATGCATGAATCTTTCACAAATTTTGAAATGTTTTCTTCTAAACAGTGACTGAATAACTGACTTTTTGGTCTGAACCGGGACTGCATTTTCAGTCATTCACGAAAGAGTTTGGTCATGAAAAAAGCAGGGGATAAAAATTCCCCATGCAGGATCTTAACTTTACAAGGTTTCATAACAAGTAAAGAACACTTTACGAATATGGACCTAAAATAGAATAACTGGGGCCAGCTTCGTGAAACGCTACCCTTTTAAATACTGACCTGCTCCAACAAAGCGTTCTGCCAGATTCTGAATAAAAGCAGGAACGACTTCTCTCTCGACATGAAAGAGGTGAAGAAAAACTGAACAGGGATGAAAAGAAATAAAACACCAAAAGGTTGATAATGATGGTGATCTCACATTTTCTCCAATCGTTATTTGTGAAAGACGTAGAGGTGCAATTTGGTTCAGGGGGGTGCTTCACAAAGACTAAGATCGACTTTAAGTTGGACTTTACTATGGCAGGCCATTCAGGCCACTGTTTGCTCTCACCATTTACTGGCATTGCTCTCACCATTTACTGGCATTGCTCTCACCACTTACTGGCGTTGGTCTCTCAAGAGATGTACAAATCTACAGAATTTACATTTTTTGATAATTCATTATTGAAGGAAAAAATATTATCTAAAGGTCATAATGGTGAGAAAAAACAGTGGCATGAACGGCCTTGCCCTAGTTAGGTCCAACTTAAAGTTGATTTTAGTCTTTGTGAAACACTCCCCAGGTTACATTTAGAGTACCACCCAAGAGAACCACCATCAACAAGATCACAGAGGTCACCAAGACGACGACGATGATTACGGTAAGGGTTGAGGTTAGGTATACGACCAGTGCAGAAAACCTTGCCAGAGCACAGGTCTTACAATAACATTAATTCTGAGGGTGATAATGCTTTGACACTAAAAATCCAAGTTGTTAAACACAGCATGATAACTATTAAAAAAATGTAATTTTTCTCTCAAAATGAGACTTTAAAATTATGTAGGCATATATTCTTAACGGCATTCAACAAAAGAAATCTGAAAGTACATAAATGTGTGTTTCCTTTTTTTTTAAAGGAGTAAGGAAGCATCTTACCTTCTCGCTGTCTGTACTGACTTGTATCGCATTTGGAATGAATCGTATCGTCCTCTCTTTCGTGATTGCCGTTACATCCTTGAAACGTATTGTCAACTGAAATACAGGCATTGTGAGACATGAAAATTAAATAGTTTTAACAAAAGATTGGCGAATGAAAATACACTGATGTATCATTTTAAAACAATGTGCACAGGTCGTAATTTCACAGGAATTATTGCCCATCATGGTTTCCAACTCGAATACTACAGCATAGAAGCACAAACTACACTTTAAATTTGTTGGCAAACGGTTTCTCATTTGAATTTGCCATAATAGAAGGTATCTACAAGTACATTGCAAATCAGGGCCAACAGTGCACACACCACCGTTTTCCTTTTGAAGACGTTGGCGAAGAGTCACAAATACACTTCCAAGCGTCATATACAAATGATTACAATTTCATTTAACTTGTCTTTCCAATCGTTTCAATCTCAAGTTACCTTGGACTTGAAGTATTCAATGGCTGAATTATGGCCTGCGATGAACATATTGACCTATTATTCCAAAATATTAAGACTAGAAATGGTCTACAAATTAAATTATGGCCTATAAAAAATGCACATACCACTGTCTCCCGTTTGAAAACTGCCTCGCTTAGTCGCTTGCTTAGTCATAGTGCCTTGCCTACTAAAAGTACTATGGACATTGGCAATCTTGGCTCTAGATTTACTTGTAGGGCTACTTCTGTTTTTGGTAATTTGTAACATGCTGGTACTATCGTTACCTGTCAGCCTATCAAATGGGTCCATGTATGCCGTATGGTGGTGTGACAAAAGTTCACGCATGACGTAAGTTCGCTATCTCACAAAATCGGTAAGATTTCAAAAATCTGATATTATCAATGGAAACAGGAACCTAACATTACTCAGATCGGCAAATTTTGCAATCTTTTGTGTAACTTATCGACAAGGGTCTGGAAATCTTTATTTTGAGACCAGATGTCATCAAAATTGTAAGTAGAAGGTGGTACCAACTGATTGTATGATAGTTTGCCTTGCAAAATATGCAATTATCTTATATTTGATGGATCGCTTTTTGTGATAAACCAGGGGTAAACTCCTGAATTAGAATCTCACTTTTGTAATGACTCTTTCTTGAGTTGGAGCGCATACAGATATGACATTAAATTTTGAGATGGCGTTATCTCTGAAATTCTTTGACGATACATTTTCTAGTTGCACCAATTTGTAATGGAAAACTTTGCAGTCAATTTGGTAATAATTGAACTAGATTAATTTGTATGAGAATATGAGAAATCATGGATCGAATATCACACTTCCTAATATCTTTAAAAATCTCTGCGAACTTTGGTCACCCTATCATACCCTTCTGCATCCCTTTTCCTCAACTTGTAGTCCATTTTCTTCTTTCTGTGCCTTCTCTTTTAAATATATTACATATACACTGTAGTTCTCTTTTCCTTAAAGGGAAATTAATGTCTCGAACATGACACTTAAAGATAAAGACCAGTTATGGGCATGCGATTGCATTGTGAAAGAAACGGTGTGGAATCGATCAGAAAAGGTTGATCAGCATCTAGCATATACAGTAAGTATTGGTGTGTACTGCAAGGTTCTGGAATCATCAAAATGGTGGGAAATTTGGCCCAGTCTTGGTAAAGTTACAAGCACTGTACACAGAAACATGTTTATAGGACTATGCGACACGTAAACGACACATGCGCGATAACTATCAGGTCCAAATAGATATAATAATTTACCAAATATATCAATTAGTATGCGATTTCCCGGCAAAATTTGTATCATCACGTATTTAGTCAAAGCATATTCTTTCATATGATTGGTAGTAAGAGCTTCCATTTCATTTTTTGAGAGGGGGCGTTTCCAAATATGGTCTATACCTTTAAAGGCTATAGAGTGGTGAAGTGTGACGTCATCAAAAATCTATTTTGGGAATTTCTCAATTTTTTTCTTCATTTTCCATTATTAAGATGGTCATATCTCAGCCAATACTTAACATATTCAATTGGTTTTCGACATTTGGACATCATTTTTGATGCTCTTTCGAAAAATGGAGACAAAATTAAGAAATTCCAAAAATAGATTTTTATGATGCTTTGGTACTCTACAGGTGAATTGGAAGCTTATAATGCACTTACCACAGTTTCCCATTTGAAGATGTTAGCATAGAAGCACAACCAGCCTTCTGTGATAAACATGCGCCCTTGGACAAGAATATCCTTCTGAAGGGCACAGGAATAATCTGTACAACAGAAGAAACAAAATAATGCAGAGAAAATAATTACATTTAAGCCCCACTGTACTACTTATATCTACTCCCGCCCTCTATATAACAAACAATGCATAATCAGTGACCATTTGTTCCCCATAGTCCTCTTTTTTTATATTAATTGAGAGCTGAGTTCATGAGATAACCACCTGTCCTGTGACATTGCAGAGTGGTCTAGTCCCTCCTGTACACTAGTACAGATGGGCTTTAAAAAAAAGTAATTTGACATAACATTCAAAGAGTAACAATTTGATAAGACAGAACAGTAGTAATATACATAAACATCTGGGAGATGTTTTACTACAGGTATGTATGAATTGGTTGGTATTTTACTTTTTCTGTAACCAAGACTCAAACAACAAGGACTTAATAGGCAACAGTGTGCACCCCCCTCATCCTCCTCGTTTGGTTCCGAACGGGACGTTGAGGAGTACCGAAGAAGGGGAATTTTATTAAAAAAAGGAGGAGGCAGGGCATTACTATTTACTATTTTGCTATTTTTTGCTATTTTTTCCAAGATGGCTCCCATGCTAACTATAGCTGGCCAAGCCTATTTATTCACATATGTTGCGCTATGTGAGTAACCTGATGCAATGTATGACAGCAAAAAATGATTTGTATCACTTTAGAAGCTATTTAAACAAAATGTATATCACAGGCTTTTGGGGGGATTTCTTTCTTCTGAATAGTAAATAGTAGGCCTAATAAAAATGGCCAAAAAGGAGGCAGACGAAGAAGAGAAACACTTCATTTTTGTTATTTGGCCTTACAGGCTACAGGTATGAGCTTTACATGAAATTTGTTGAACTGCATTATGAATAATCTTATTAGCTACATGTCATAAAACTGAAATACAGTATTGTATGTCAAATGGAAGTGATCGACATACCCATAAGCAGCCTTTCATTGCTTGGAATGGTTTTGAAGAGCTTTCTGAACTCCTCACACTTTGACTTGTAGGTTGAGGCAAGCACCTGTAAGAACAAGAAAGATATCATGAGGTGTGTAACAAGAAAGAGAAAGAGAGAGAAAGAGAGAGAGAGAGTGACAAGGCAGGGGGAGAAGAGATACTGGACAAAATAGATACAGTAGAGGAAAAGAGTATAAGGGAGAGAGAGGGGGAAGAAGGGGAGGGAGGGAAGAAGGAGGGAGGGGAGAAGGAGGGAGGGAAGGAGAGAGGGAAGGAGGGAATGAGGGAGGGAAGGAGGGAGGGAAGGAGAGAGAGAAGAAGGATGGAGTGACAAAGACAGAGAGAGAGAGAGAGGGAGAGAGAGAGAGGCAGGGAGAGAGAGAGAGAGAGAGGCAGGGAGAGAGAGAGAGAGAGAGAGGGAGAGAGGGGCAGGGGGAGAAAGAGAAGAGATACTGGACAAAATAGATACATAAGGGAGAGAGAGGGGAAGGAAGGGGGGAAGAAGGAGGGAGGGGAGAAGGAGGGAAGGGAGAAGGAGAAAGGGAAGAAGGAGGGAGGGGAGAAGGAGAGAGGGAAGACGGATGGAGTGACAAAGACAGAGAGAGAGAGAGAGGGGGAGGGAGGGAGGGAGGGAGGGAGAGGCAGAGACAGACAGACAGACAGAAGGGGGGCAGAAAGAGGGACAAAGACATAGACAGAGAGGCAGTGGTAAAAAGGAGAGAGAAGAAAGGGTAGAGGGTGGATATTTAGGACGGAATTAATCAGAGGGAAATAAAGAAAGAAAGAGCAAGTGTTGAATTAAACAGTTATAAAGGGATAGGAAGGAGGATAGACACGTAGTAGGTACAAGAGCACCTTGCCAGACATTTCAACCTTGACGTTATATCCTGACTGATGGATCCTGTCAAGTACCGACGTAGAAGTAGAAGAAGTAGGTAATAATAAAGAGCATATAAATGGACATTGGAAACAGATTGAACAATTGTTAATATATGATAGGAAATATGTAATAATATTTACACTGGACCAAACAGACCATTCATTATTTGCAATAACATTGTGTACATTTCAATTATTTCTGACTACATTAAAGTACTTAACAAGAAGACAGGCCAGATGAGTGGAAATAACAGAAAACGACAGGAAAAAAGAAAGAAGAAGAAAAAAAATGGTATACTGAATTTCTATTCTTGCATGCTTTTCACCTGTTTGGTTTGAAGCTCAAATTCCTCTGACATTTTGACTAGAGCCTTGAACGCAGTGGTATAACGCATTCTACAAAAATCCTGCATTACAGTACATGTACATGTACATGTATATGTAGGTCATTCTTTAATATGGTTTTCCTTGCTTTAAAGAGAAAAAAACACAGCACTGGGAATCAAGTGGCAAAGTCAATGGTCCTGATGGATACAAATGTTTCTTACAGCCATTGAAAGTGAGAAGATTCAAGCAGTGACGTCTCAGCAGAAGTTAGAAGTAACAAAGTTTCCTGAAAACGTTAAAAGCCGGAAGAACTAAGAGTTGCTCCACATCATTGAATGAAGAAAAAAAAATTATTGCAGCTCGAGTCTATCAGTCTTTAAAGAGAAAATCCACATGATCCAATGTAATGCAAGATTTGCAGAGCTGCGATTCAATTTATAATGAGACCCGTTGAGATAGTCACTTAGGCCTAAATAAACAAAGATGTTGTATTGTCCTTTTAATAGTTTGATAGGTGCCAGCACTTGGGTCGGTCAGTCAATTTTCAGAGGTAAAGACGAGAGGAATCCATTACTAAAGCTGCAGAAGCTTCAAAAACTGACAAAATCCACAGTAAATCTGTCATGTGAACAATTTTAAATGCACAATGGGCCGAGGAGAGTAAATTATCCCTCCACACTTTTTATCTCTTGACATGAATCCCAGCATCAGATAATTAAATAATCACAATCCATGAAGTAGAAGAGCAAAATGCTGCTGTAGTTCAAGCAATATATTCTTAACAATCCGCACAAACTATATAACCAGTGAACATTTAGAGAAGCAACGTTAGAATGACTTGTTACAGTGAAAGTAATCCATCAAAATGATTCCGCACAATGATAACATTGACAAGGAAAAACAACTTGAAATTCTGGCTTCCTCTACTCCGACATGCAAGAGCAGTTCATGGCTAGCCAGCTGGCAATCACAACATCAAAATCATTTCTGATTGGTTATTAAGTAGGCCAACATGTAGTTTATGTCATCTCTATGGCAACTAAATGATTCATCATGCATATTCATGACCAAGAGCAGTTAATGGCTCACCAGCTGGCAATCACAACATCAAGATCATTTCTGATTGGTTAATAACGAGGCCAATGTGTAGTTTACATGTACATGTATATCATCTTCATGGCAACTAAATGATTCATCATGCATATTCATGACCAATGGGTATACCCTCTCCTTGGGTTGAGTTCTGGAAAAAGTGGAAAATAATTTATAAGCTTTCTTTTTCTTTTTATGTCAATTTGGGAAAATTTGATACAAGAATTGCCCCCTGAAAAAAAAAGGATTGCGCTTCGAATGCACTCATATTTGAAATACTATTAGAAACAGATGAACAGTTTGGATCAAACTTTCATAACATGTGTTAAGCGAATCTCTCTAAACTTATCGGACAACTGTAGTGCCATACGTTGAGTCTGTGTTTGAAGATTGATAGCAGAATGCAGTACCTGAGCCAACAAAAATGCGATCAAACGCAAGTTCTTTGAACTCTGTGTTACAACGTCGTCAATCTCCGAGCCAATTTTTGTCAAGATGTCACAAGTAATGACCTGGGAGTGTGTTGATAAGCCAACAATTGGCATTGGTGATTTGATGCACTGAATACCCTATTCTTTGTGAACCTGATAGCGAATTAAATACACGTGTGGTTCATGAAAACCTGTACAACTTAATTAAAGGTAAAGATCAGTTCTGGTCATGCAATTTATTGTATTGTGAAAGAAACGTTGTGGAATCAATCAGAAAAGGTTGATCATCTGGTGTGTACTGCAAGGTTCTGGTCTTCTGGAATCATTAAAATGGTAAGAAATTTGGCCCAGTCTTGGTAAAGTTACAAGCACTGTACACAGAAAGATGTATATGGGACTATGCGACTCATACATATAACACGTGCACGATATCTATCCGGTCCAAATAGATATAATTCTACCAAATATATTAATTAGTAGGCAGTTTCCCCGCAAAATTTGTATCATCATGTACTAGTCAAAACATATTCTTTCGCTTGATTGGTAATAAGAGCTTCCATTTCATTTTTTGAGAGGGGGGCATTTCCGAAACTGGCCTTTACCTTTAAAGATTACATTTTTCTCGAATGGATTTTCAAAGCTATGTTAATTGTCTCCTACTATCGTTTTTTACTCAGGATTAAGAGTCTTTGTCTGTCTGTCAACCCCCTCCTTCCTCTCCCTCTTATGTCTCATTTAACCTCACACGCCACCCCCCCCCCCAAAAAAAAAGGACATTAACTCTTTGTAAATCAGAGTTAATGCCCTTTTGGCTCCAGAGTCCAAACACACAGTATGGCCTTCGTTTGGATATCAGACGGATCTTTCATTGACTAACACAATTCAAATACAAACAATACAAGGCAAATTGGCAAAGTCTGATTGCACTTTATTACATTGTCAGCTGTCCAATAACAACAGACAGAGGAAAGGTGCTTAGTTGGCATAAGGTATCATAGTGTTGAACATCTACTGTAACTGTTACAAGTGCAAGATTGATTTACAAGTCACATTTACAAGTACATGTACATTGCATGTTCTGCATTGCATGTTCTGCATTGCATAACTATATTGTGCATCATCATGTACATGTATAAACACAGACAAAAAACTAAATGATTCATAGTTTCATACCCTTAACACCAAGTTTTGTACTGTATTAAAGACCGTCAATACTACTGGGCCAGAAGGGATTAGACCACACACAAGGTCACTGACAGGTGGCTATCTCATTAACTCAGCTCTCAACTAACATAAGAAAAAGAGGATCATGGGGGACCAACAGGCACCGATTGGGGAAGTTTTCTATATAGAGGGAGCAAATAGCTACAAGAAGGACAGTGGGGCTTTAAGTCAGCATTTTCCCTCTTACAACTTTACAAATTACATGCAGCTAATGGTCAGATCTCCTCCCTCTTTACAAAATGTCTGATCCAAGCCCATACAGTCGCCTCCTTGCCAACAGGTTTCCTTTTACTAATTTTAGTATTTGGTAGTTTGGGCATCCAGTCGATTGTCATAAATCTTGATCATAATCCTGCCCATATTTTGAATTTCCTAATTTCTTAAAAATTCAAGAACTTCCTGGGGCTCCACCCCAAGACTCCAGGCACAAGCTCACCCACTGGACTCTACCCATAAAGATAGATAGAAGTGGTTCCCAATACAACCTTTTGTTGTAACGAATTGGGGAGAGTGTGAGTTATACTCAAAACTTTTAACAAACACTCCCGTGGACCTTTTATTATTTACACAATTTCTCAGAAGTTGCTGTCTGCTGCCTCGAGATCACTGGAGTGAAGAAATGTAACTATGGTATCCCTATTCACTATCAGTGAAGGATTAATCCTTTTTATGAAGACGGATTATTGACCAGAAGTGCGTTTTAAACTCAATAATGGTGGCATCAGGCGGTGTCACACAGAAAAATTCCTTAAAAAATCCCTTGAAAAATCCTTTCAAGGGAGAATTTTCTTCCTTCGTTAGAGGATTTTTTATGGGATAATTGATGACAGACAGCAATTAAGAGGGTAACTAAAATCCGGATTTTTGGCCTCTGTGTGACACCGCCTATCATCTGATTGAATGTTGATTACAGTATTGATTTCGTAATCTACTAGTACTACTGAACGAGATGGAATGCCTACTATGAGGGCTTTTTTGTACTCTTTAAAAAGAGCACACAATAGGGGCACTGCAATTTAAATTTCAAGGGATGGATTAGAGTTTTTATTGCTCACGACGGCTATGTTAATCAAGGAGTTTTAAGAGCTTGAGGCCCAACTGGCAACAAATTATTTCAAGCAACTGGTGTTTTCTAAGGTTGCACAATAGAATCTACATGTGTGCTGTTACCTTTGATGTCCGAGGTTCGAAGCCACCAACATCATTGGAAAGCTTGAGTAGTGTTTTTGTTCACAACAAAATATCGTTTATATCTCACTTTTTATTTGAACTAACATGGGGAAAATCGAACAGATGATGAAATATGAGTACAAAAGCCTAACTGATTCCAAAATTTGCTTACATTGTATTACAGCAGTTTAAAAATTTTGTGAAAAATAGTAAAATTTTACACTCCTAAAACCTGCCATTTGACACTTTTACGATTACGTCCGGCTCACGAAGATAAAAAGTGCATTGTTGATGTACAGTTCTTTATGATGTTATATTTCATATTAGTGCCCACACATGCCCAGTCGAGTTATTTTGATTAATATTTCAGGAAATGTTGCTCCTAAGGTAAGCCCTGTGTACTGCTCGTATTATCAGACGAGTGGTAGCGAAAAGTAGTTATCATTACAAAAGCATATTTCCCTTTGAGAGTGGCCCGTTAAATTGCTGCTAGGCAGGAATCTTTTGTCTAAGTATCTGCAAGAGAGATCCAGTTAAGCACATGCCTGTCATATTTTCTCCTGGGGGTATCAAAGATTGTACAAAGGAAAATGAGCTAGATATAACTCCATCTCTTAAAACTTCATGGTATAACCACTGCGAGCTTTCGTTGTTTGTATACATGTACATGTACATATAGATGTGGGGATGGGAGATCTTACACATTTTATATGATACAGGAAGATCTTGCGGCGAATAAGCGTACATTACATGTTACAATATGGCGGCTTAGATACCGACAAATTCGAGCGAGAATCCATGCACGCTAATCTAACTTCCATAGTTCCATTTCATTGGTTTAAGTTTTGAAAGTTGAAACTTAATATTGTGTGAAAGTTATAACAGAAAAGATAATCTTTATTTATATTTCCACGAGGGCGATTTTTAATTGTGCAATCGCCCCCGTGAGAAATCTGATGGAGGCGATTATGTAGCTCACATGTATTTTGAGCCTTGGGTACATGTACATGTATGTACATCACAACAGAATATGTTATGCAAAAACAAAATACAATGTATCGTAATCACTATTGTGCTCAATTTTCTTACCGGCCTTTCCTCACGAGGTCTTTCTGCCATTTGTCCTTAAATTTCTCTCCTTCAATATATCGCGCAATTTTACTTGGTTTCTACTTTCTGCGGCTAACTAAAACTTCAATGGATCTCCTCTGTATAAAAATTAAACGCTGTTCGCAACAACTGTCGGAACAGTAATGCTTGAAATAAAGTAGACAAATACCACCAAGGCACACCAAAGTCTATGGAATAATACATGCAGTCACGCGTGACACAGTGTGAGACTGTCTACTTTCTTTCAAGTAATACTGTATATAAATTTGAGAACATCTACATTGTATATGGCATACAACGATCTTCTGCAATGGCTCGTGTATTACGGCAATCAAACTTTAATTAAGCTGCAATAAAATTCCAATGCAATTCTAGTTTCAGTGTATTTCCTCATTGTATACACTCTTCCGGTGCAAAAGCACTTTGCGGTTTTGAAATAAACACCATCCAAGTCTCATATTAAAACAAAATGGGTCTTTCCTGGAAAAACATTTTCAACCCCATGAAGGTAGTGCAGTATTTATGAAGCAAATGTAGTCCAGCTAATGTGTTTCATAATTTAATCACAGAGACGGAGCAAACTCTTCCACAAAATTTGTCCAGAACGATGGTGAAATGTTCAATGTAACATGTACGTAAAAGGTTAATTGCATAAAGTACACTTAGAAAGACAGAGCAAGACCTCTCTCAAGAAATGTTTGAAGGATAATAAACAAACAACAAGTGTAATCCATGTCTTTATGAAACAAGTCAGAAAGATAGAGAACAACCTCTCAAGAATAATACAGTATTCTGTATGTGCCTTGACCATCCCCTGGGTTGGATATGTATGCAATATAAATGTACATGTACATGTAGCTACTGCGTTTGAAAATGATCAAAATTGGCAGGTAATACCCTCAAATGACACCCTGTTTCTCAAAAAAAGGAGATAAAAAGCTCAAATTAAATAAATTCTTCTCAAAAGATAACAGGGTCCAAAATCCATCTGTACATGTACCTAAGACTTTGCTAATTACACAGATAACCTGATCATTTCAAACTACAGCCAATGGTTGCATAATTGAATCCATGAGTGGAAGAAGTTCCCAAGTCCGCCAAAATGTGTTATTTTTTCAGTTATTACAAAAAAAATATCAAGATGACTTTGATTGAAGGATGTTTTCGGCTTCACAGAATCATTGATACACAGGGAATAAAATTAATATTTAGTTTTCGGGGGCTACTTTTCAAGCTTGCCTGCATGAAAATAGCACTCTAAAATTTGTTTTGCATTGAACTCTATGCAAATTTATGAGGGCTCTTTTCTGATTTTCTGGGGCTGTTTTGGGCATTTCGGGGGCGAATTTGCCCCAAGCCCCGTGTATTTTTTTCACTATTGATACATATCCAGATCCTTTGAATTATAATAGTTGGAAAGCCTTCAGCACCATGCAGGGTGGATATGTGCGCTTTATAATATCCAATATTATTATTATTATTATAATGATAAATTTGTCTTTACTTACACTGTACCAGGGAGATGATTTGGGTTTCTTTTTGGCCGACTTGGGCGAGCGGTCTTCACGGCCGGCAGGGGTTTGGTAGTCTGAATAGGGGGCTTCACCAGGCTTGAGGAACATGGGCTCCGACTGGGACGGGTGCATCGGGTCAGGGGTAGAGCTTGCCCCTCTGTGGTGGGAGAGAAAGAGGGAGAGAGAGAGGGAGAGGGGGTAGAGAGAGAGAAGGAGAGAGAGAAGGAGAGAGAGAGAGAGAGAGAGAGAAAGAGCAAGAGGGAGAGAAAGAGGGAGAGCAAGAGAGAGGGAGGGAGAGAGGGAGGGAGAGAGGGAGAGAGCGAGGGAGGGAGAGAGGGAGGGAGGGAGAGAGAGAGAGGGAGAAAGAGGGAGAGGGAGAGAGAGAGAGAGAGGGAGAGAGGGGGGAGGAAAGAGAGTGAGAGATGAGTAGACATGGAAGTAGAGAAAGACAAAGAGATATTTGGTATTAAAGGGAAAGATGTAGAAAGGGGAATAAGAGAGGGAGAGGGAGAGAGAGTGAGAGAGAGAAAGAGTGAGAGAGAGAAAGAGTGAGACAGAGAGGAGGGAGAAGGGGAGAGAGAGAAAGGGGGAAGGGAAGATGGGAGAGGGAGAGAGAAAAGGGTGGTGCAATGGGGAGAGAGAGAAAGAGGAAAGAGAGAGAGAGAGAGAGAGAGAGAGAAAGAAAGAGAGACAGAGAGAGAGAAATCAGTCTCTGAACAACATATACAACTCTTCCTAGCAAATTTGCACTTTTAAAAATCAAAAGTATAAGACTATTCCTGCTATTTTCACAACATACAAACATCTTTCATGAACTTACCCCCTTAAAAGGGGAAAAGCGGTTGTGACTCACTTAAATATTCTGTAACAAATCTCAACCACCCTTGAAAATGTCATGCAATTGAAAGTAATTGAAATGTAATTAATAAGACAAAACAATGACACAAAAGGAAGTTATCTAGAGAGTGGATTACTTTCATCAGACGTAACTTTATCAGTAAGTATTAAGAGCAATTTCCTTCATGTACACGCCAATGTATAGAGTACTTTGTTATTGTATGACGCTTTGTGACAAAATTAGGTGAAAGTTGATATGAAGCATGGGGTGTGGCGACTGAAAAAGAATTATAATGTAAATTAGACAAGATACATATGAATTCTGATTGCAGATCGCTTTAAAGTGTACCAAACTACCAATGACTTAAAACATTTTTTGCTCTATACCGTATTTGCCTGCGTAAACGGCGCAGTATTTTTGGAAGAAAAAATATTTAAAAGTCTGGGTGCGGTCTTTGCGCAACAACTAAAAATTCAGCGGTCAAAACAGCACGTCCATTTGTACATATGGGACTACAATGACTATACAATGGTACAGGACATTTCTAGAATAACTCCACACATCTTATTGACAATTTTATGTTGCATTGTTGACATGAAGACAAAAAATAAACTGCATAACTCATTTTTCTAACAACATAAAGAAGCAAATACTGGTACCGGGTACTCTTTTTCTAATTTGGTTGATGTAATACTGTATTAAGTCTGAGAGATGCATTTTCTAGGATGCTATAAATCATTTAATCCTTGAGACTTGTATCACCATCAAGAGCTTTACAACTAATCTCTTAACATCCTCAAACACAAAACATGCAGTGAGGTTCACTCGAAAGTTTAGATTGTGGTTTTAAAGATAATACAAAGTTTTGGGAAATTTTGAAAATTTGCTGGATAGTGATTCTTTAATACAATTTTAATATATTTGGATGCCCCTTTGGATGTATTATAAGCACTAGAAAATTTAGCCCCTAAACACTTTTTTTAAATTTACCGGTGCTCCCGGTAAATTTTGATGAATTTCAAATAACGCCTATGGACCATACAATGGTACATGTAGAGCTCTGCGACCATTAAAATCTCAGAATATGCAGTTGTGATATATAATTTCCAAACAGGAATTTTATCGGTCGATTTTAGTCAAGAAACATTGTTTTATAGCTAAATTAATATCTTGACCTTGAGAGGGAGCTATAAAACACAAAGAGTTGATTATTTACAATTTCATCACTTTAGACTTGATTTCAACCGCGACAACGATCACTGAATATTATAAGATCGCATACAGTGTACATGTATGCTTCCAATATGTTCATTTGAACCAAAATTCATGACCCCATACCAAAACTTTGTATTAATTACCTTTAAAGTTATTTTGTAGTTGGGGACTTTGCACACACGCATGGTTATGAAACTTTAAGTTACAATGATGTAAGTTGACTTTACAAACAGTTATTATATTTCTATTTCCGGAAGCTCTTTAAGGATTTGGTGTTTCAAGTGCATTTTCTCATGGTGAAAGTATTACAGTATTTTATTCATTATTTTTATGAGAGCTCTTATATGGGTATTTTGTGAGCTTTTGAGAGATAAATTCGCTCAACACTCCCATGGTTTTTCTTTTTGCTAGTCACAAACAACAACACATCTTAAAGGGCAATCCAACCCAAATAGACAACTACATGTACATGTACTCTAAAAGAAAGCAGAAAAATCAGAGAAGCAAACTGATGAAAGTTTCTATTAAATCTTACTAAATATATAAAGAAAGCTGTAATCACTATGTACATGTACATGTATATGTATGGGCACTTTAAATTGGCTGAAGCAGTAATGTCAATGCGATGTAGTGCTGGACCACATACTGTACTTTCCCATCTGTTCCAACATATAAAATGACTAAAATACTAACATTTAAATTTTTCTAAAAATGTCTAACATTTATTGCTCAGGATGGTCTATTGTACCGTTAGTGCCCCATGGGAGAAGGAACTTTAAAAACAAAAATTAAAGATATTTTTGTACACGGCAACAACGATGATTGAATATTATAAAATTATGCCTCCAGTTCATTTGAACCAAACTCATGACCCCATACCAACAGTTTGTATTTACTGGTAGTGTTTATGAGCTACAGTATCTACACAGAGTACATGTTAGTACCGTACATGTATGAGTCATATTGCTCCTTATTCCTTGGCCTTTCTTAGGAGCCCATTCTTAGGAGCCCATTCTGGAAGTAGGGTTACAGAGCAGGGATATCTCCATATTCTCATATGTCTCACATGCAAAGCTAGAGCTGGGGTACGGGACATGACCCCACAAGTGTGTTTGTGAAGAGGCTCAAATTCACAATTTTGCCTTCACCATTCGCTGAAAATACAGTGGGATCCAATTAATTACAGGCAGCCAAAACCGTACACAGGAACGGTGAGCAATTTAGCTCTTAAAGATAAAGACCAGTTATGGTCATGGATTGCATTGTGAAAGAAACGTTGTGGAATCGATCAGAAAAGGTTGATCATACTGTAAGTATTGGTGTGTACTGAAAGGTTCTGGAATCATCAAAATGATAAGAAATTTGGCCCAGTCTTCTAAAGTTAAAAGCACTGTACACAGAAAGATGTATATGGGACTACACACACATGCGCGACACGTGCGTTTATCTCTCACAGTCCAATAGATTTATAAACTAATTTACCAAAAATATCAATCAGGAAGGCGGTTTCCCGGCAAAATTTGTATTAGTCAAAACTTATTCTTTCACATGATTGGTAATAAAGAGCTTCCATTTCATTTTTTTTTAAATTGGGGCGTTCCCAATACTGGTCTTTACCTTTAATATCACTGTGAGAAAATAGCACTTTCATAGTACATGTACATGTACATGTATTGTATGTACAACACCAAATCCTAAAAGAGCTCCCGAGAACATAAAAGTATAATTTTACACCGAATACAGGTCAATTCCCATAACATTGTGCTTCTTTTGTATTATCCTGCCTGCATGTTAACAATTTTTGTACGGTATACATGTATCTGACTTCGTGAAATGCTATTGCCAGCATGGCCATGCACTGTGCTAAAAGTACAAACACATAGAGTATCTTTTATTTTATACTTGGAATGGAGTCAGCCAAAGCACCTTGAAACCTTGAAACCACAAGTTGGCTACATGAAAAAAATTGGCTCTACAGTCCAGTGTCCACACAATAGACACAACCCACCAGATTATTATTTCACAAACTGTACATGCACTGTACATGTACATTGAACAATGTACACATGTACATGTAATTGCTATAATGTAATTACTTGGAAGTCGAATTAGTATCTGTACCAGGATTAAGAAGAAAATGTCATCATAAAAAGGATGTGTGTTTGTGTTTAATATTGCTTGCTACTGCTAGTTTTTAAAATCATGATAACTATGAAATTATAACATGATTAATGCTTCCTACTAGCTGCTACTTGCTACTGCCTTCAATCAGCTGTTACCAATCATTACACGTCATCAAGATGGCTATCATTTCTGGCACCATTCACTGTTTAGTTAAAGAATGAGCTTCTACAAGAAATTTGTCAATCATTTTGAAAACTCAATTGCATGCTATTTCATGCTACTATCTTCGAGCAGCTGTTCATAAATCACCACAAGCCATCACAATGGCCACAATTATTCAGTCGCTAATCACCATGCATGCACCGCAATTTTAGTTCGAGAGTAAACATTTACCAGAAATGTTAAATCATGATATTGTGGAATTTTGATTATCGCTGACTAATTGATACTGCCTGAAAACAGCTGTTTAATCTCTACTGGTCACTTATTACCATGGCCATAATGACTAAAAAATACCCAATCACCATGAGTACTGTAATTTCAATTCAAAATTCACTATCTACAGTACCAAAAAAAATTGAAAAATAACAATAATCTTGAAATCATTAAAAAAATCATCTTGATTAATTAAATCATTTGTTGGCAAGCAACTCAAAATACATGTACCTAATCACCTTATAAATTCAGGATTTCAAAATTAATATCTTCCAGAAAATATTGAAAACTAAGTAATAATCTTGAAATCACTCAAATGTAATCTTGTTTAATAAACCAATTGTGGGTAAGCAGCTCAAAAATACTGTTGAATCACCTTATACTGTCATTTCAGGATTTTAAGTTTACCAGAAAATATTGAAAAATTATAATAATCCTGAAATCATTACAAAAATCATTTTGATTAAATCATTTGTGGGCAAGCGGCTGTCTAGCAAAATTTAGTAACAGCTGTCACTCTATTCCTTAAAATTCTTTATTCTTTATTCTTTAATCATCCTTCATTATCAATCGATAATAGCTCCATTTACACTGCAAGAAACAAACTTTTTTTTTTCCTTCACATTCCAGATTTTCGTCAGAATTTTTTAGGCGAGTAACCGTAAACACAAATTTAAAAAAAAACACCTCTAGAGTGTTGTGTTGGCTGAAGCTCCACAGGTTTTCGTAATTAATATAATTTACGCTCGCGCTCAAAATACCGGTGAACTATTTCGGTTTTTGGTCACAAGACTCTCCTCCCTTCAGTGTTTTAATGCATGCAGTGCATCGACAAGTGGCACATGCGCACAACTCACTTTTTATTGGGTTTTCGCGGTAGTGTACATGTAAATGGTAGTTTTTAAAAACAATGGTTTTGCAACTTGGTTTTTCACCAGTGTAAATGGGTCTCATATGAGGCAGGATATCATCGTTGGTTTGCTGTAAAAGCCTGTAATGCTACTGGTAATCCTTGGCTTTGCGGCTTTAGGGTTTCACCAGAAATTTGCTAAAAAGATATGCTGCAGTTGAGTATCATATTAGGCCTGTTTTCATCAGCTCGAGATTGCCAAATATCCCCCTTTTTTTACTATCCCAATCGCAAATTATCCAGTTAATTTGAGTCTTCATCAGCCCGAAGTTGCAATTAGTGGGATATTTGGTCGAGATAATCATCCCAAGATATCTTGGGCTAGTTTGCAAAATATCCTGGTATTTATCCGGTGCGTCTTTACCAGCCCGAAGACTCACACTATGCGTGAACGCTGAGCAAAATATCTCAAGCTAACTTCTTGAGCTCGAGTTTCAAGGTCAAATCTTGAGCTGATGAAGACGCGATTTGCAACTTTGGGATTATTTCCCAAATCAGAAATAGCGGGCTCCACGTATTTGGCAACCTCGAGATGATGAGGACATGCCTATTGTGAAGGAAATATCTGGAAGCAGCAGTGAAAGGTAGATTATAATGTAGAAATTACATGTAATTATTGGTGTAGTCTAGTCTGCAAGCTGAGTCTCTAATTTGACACTTGACCACAATTCATACAGCCTTGAGCAAAGCCTAGATCTGTCAGTTTCTGGCTGTGTCAATTACGTGTACGTGTAAGAGCAGCTTAAAGTACAGTACAGAGCCGACATATCTTTTGTTCATTTGAAATACAGAATGATAAGGAGCAGAGAGTTTTAAATCATTCCCTTACCTTGGCGGTTCACTCTTGATAGAATCATCTTCCTTGGAACTAAATCAGAGGAAAGAAAAGAAGAAATTATGAATAATTCATTAATATCAAATATTGTAGGAACATTAATCAACATTCAGTACATGTACAGTACATGTACATGTACATGTGCATGTGCAATTTTAAAGGAACCTGTTCCTTCCAAAAACAAATATGTACATTTAAATCAATATTCTGGCTCACTCCGTTTTGTTCATGCCTTTAATAGGGGGCATTCTGAGAAAACAAAAAAGAGATGAATCTACAGTGTACATGTCTCTTCAGTAACACATCATCAATACTGTAGGAACAGTTATCTTCCAATGGCAAAAAGATGTACCGGTACAGGCAATAATTAATTAATAATTAAATAAATCCCCTCACTCACTTCATTTTCTTTTTCCGCCCACTACAAACGAACATTTAGAAAGATGCTACATGAAATCAATGGCCAAATCCACATGTGTGCTTTCAGACTGTGTACCTCCGTCATCTGGACAACCAATTTTTTTTCTACCTACATGTACAATTATTAACATTGGATAAAAATAGGCTACATGTTGGCAATATCGCAGGGTAAAGTCCACCATTATTAGATAGGAGATGGGAAGATAAGAACCCTCTGCTTTCTGAAATAATATCATTAATTAGTGATGATAATAATAGACAAGCTAGTTAATATTTCATTGATCATCCGTTAATCTTGCCTGGAAGTACAGAATCTTCTACACAAACTAGTGAATTATTTTGTTCATGCACTGCATGAGTTGTAACTGATATAAAGTAGGAAATAAAAGGGAAATAAACACATTAGAGGGATTTTAGCAGAGCAATAATACTAGAATAATATGAAAAGTTTCAGTTTTATCAAAGAATGTAGGAAAGTGATAATAACACCTCTAGTTGAGAATCTTGTGAAACCTGGCCTCTGTTTCATAAAACTTGTGAATTGATAATAAGTTACAATGACTGTTATAAGCTACTGAAATCATGGCATTTGATAGGCAAAGAGCAAATTTGTCATAGAAAATTTTTCATTTGTTATTGATAACAAGTTTTTATGAAACAATGCCCTAGACACAAGCTCACATTGACAAATTGATTGAATGGTTCACGTAGTACATATGACATGCAATACAGTACACACAATGAACTCATTGTATACGTACATGTACACTGTACATGTACAGTACAGTATGTTTTACCTTGAATGTTGCTAAATCTAATTTCCCTTGATTTTCATTATTAAATTAACAAGTGCACAGGTGCATGTACATGTACATTATGTGTACTTTATGAGTGGGAAGGAGGGCACTTGCCCCCTGTATCCACCAATGAAGTAATTTGGACCAACATGTACACATTCATACAATTAACAACTAAATTATTCACACCCTTACTAGGTTTTTTGAATTTATTTAAGGATGTATAAAACAACTGACTTGTCCTGGCAATTTATGTTTCTTGAGAGTGTTACATAAAAGCTCTCATCTTTAAAAGTCAAAGGCCCTATAAATTCAACCAGTTTACTTTTCCTTCTCGAATTACAAAAATACAAACAACAACCAAGGAGTAATGAATACATGTACAGTAATCTTGTACTGTACATGTACATGTAGGCTTAACTACAGGCGGCACTGTAGACAATGACTAATGATCCATAACACTACAGAATTAATAAATAACACTATTTCATGTAATTAAAAATTTCCTGATATTCCATGTAGGGCTGCGACGAGTAGTCGGATGCTTGAGTACCCACACTGTTGACAACTACTCGAGTACGATTTGTTGTACTTGAATATTCGGCTGCAAAAAAATAAAAAATTAATAAATAAATCCCGGTCACCTGGCACTGATCAGGCCGACGCTTACCCGTACCAGGGAGAGCGCCAGACGCCGGCATGGTACCGTGGGTACATGTACAGTACATGTACAGTACTTGCACTGTTAACAACTACTCGAGTACAACTTCTCGTACTCGAATACTCAGACGCCAGACGCCATTTTTTTGGCACTGTCCAGGCTGACGCTCACCCGTGCCCAGGAGGCAGCGCAGGCATGGTACCGCAGGTAGAAATATTCCAGGTCCGTCTACGAAAACTCACGCTAATTTACTTTGAGTTGCGGTTGAAGGCGCCGATTTAATAATAATAATAAAAGTAAACAATGCTGTTTTTAAAACTAAAGATGACAGAATACATTTTCCTCCGAGCCCAAACAGAAATTCAGACATTTGGTCCCAGTTTCTGAGTGGTGAGTTGACAGTGATTGAGCTGGGAAACATTTTAACCTGCGGTACCATGCCGGTGCTGCCTCCTGGGCACGGGTGAGCGTCAGCCTGGACAGTGCCAAGCGCTGGCAAAAAAAATTGTGTCCGAGTACGAGAAGTCGTACTCGAGTAGTTGTTAACAGTGCAAGTACTTGAGTATTTGACTACTCGTCGCAGCCTCAGTACAGTATGTGCAGCTTTTAATACTAGTGAAACTGTACTTGGTAAAAACCAACAAAAATCTGTCAGAAATTTACCTTCCATCTTCCCCGCTGGCATTAAGCATAGAACTTGTAGGCACTGTGCATCCTGGTAAGGACCCGAAGGACTGATCATTAAGAGGAGATCCAGGCAGAATCCCCGTAAAAACAGCTCCACTCATGTCTGATGATGACGATGATCCTCCCCTTGGTCCAGCACCACCAGATCCAGGTCCCGCTGGACTAGGACCAGGACTCAAGCTGCTCAGGTAGGACATACTGGGCGGGGAAGACGGGGATTGGAGGACAGACATGAGAGAAGGGGACTGATGCTCCCCTCCTGACGATGAGCTCCCGCCCCCTGCCCCGCCCGCTTGGCTGCCATCTCTTCCAGTTGCCAAGGGTATATCAATACCCCCACTATTTGACGATGATGGCGGTTCATGAGTCTGAGACTGAGGTGTGGAGGGCCGAGAGTCTGGCAACACCTGGATAGCCTCCTTTGAAAAGGATGAATTCCGACTGACTTGCCCTTCACTGGCTTCAACCGGATTTGTACTGTTTGGACTGGATGCAGGAACGTTGGCCAGGTCTATTAAACGATTTTGGCCGACGCTTCCAGTAGAGTCTCGTTTTGTAGAGCTTGGCCTGCTCCTCTGTGGGTTCGACATTCTGAAGTTTGAAGTCAGTTGCCTGAAAATGGAGTACAAAAATTACTTATATTTAGCTGCATTGTACACATCAAAGTGTTGTATTTCTCACAAAAAGAAAACTAAATTCAAATCAAGATGTAAAATGAACGGTAAATTTTGTCAACATGAAACTGCCAACGTTTTTGGTAAAGATAATGCAATGTCTGGGTAAGTACAGTACATGTGTATGTACTGTACATGTACATTACATGTACGTACAGATGCCAAGTGTGACATGCAACAAAGAAAAATTAATTTCTGATATGTTCATTCAATAATTATCGGAATTCTTGATGGAAATACATGTAGTGTTGTGGGTTGTTAAATTTGTGATCAATTATGAGTGAATTGGCGACAATGAAACCTCCACGAACATAACTGCTCATACAATCTTTTCATTTTTGTTTGCAATTTCAAAAATGACACCACCGCCACTTTGTTGTGAAAATAACAGTTCTTATTCATAGTCTTACATGTACGTCTAGTCTTACATGAATTCAATGAGATCTTTTTGGAAACTTAATCTTTTGAATATTAAGGGCGCTGGTCCGAGAGTAAGGATATCCCGCATGAGCAAGGATATTGTCTCTGTAAACGCGGACAGACGCATCCTAAAAAAAGGGATTCCGCGATGATGCTCCTTCATGCATTTCACATTCACTTTGCACTGAAACTTTCACGTTGTAAACGATATATCCTCTGATCATGGGGGCATTTTCTTACGCACAATCCGTTTCTCACATTTCCAGCGCGTGGATCAGAAACACTACACCCCCAGACTGAGCACCAAAGGAAAAAAATGTCCGCATTTTTGTGGACGATCATTATTTTTTTATGTTTAGGACGTGATTTGTCCGCGTTTACGAGGATTATCGTTGTTGATGAGGACGATCTTAATTCTCGAACTAGTGCCTCCACTGTCTGTACTGATGAGGAATTCTAAGTCCGATCGTGTGTACGGGCTGTAGGCAGGTAGGTCTATCAAAAAAAAGTCTTAAAATAAATAAAAACAATGAGACATAGACTCAAGCCTTTTATTAACCGGGCGCCGGGCGATTTTTACCCTACGGTCCCTGACTTTTGGCGCCCGGTAAGACGGGGAAAATGAGTACCGGGCGCCGGTCATTTTTTATTTCTGGCGCCCGGTCTGGGAGAATTAACATTTTCTGTTTCATAAACTTCCACATGTCTAGCACTAAATGTTCACAAATGTGACAAAAACTTACTTGATACAAGTTAAACGTGGACTGAATGAACCCTAACAAATCATTATAATGAGAATCCTAATTAAAATCGCCCAGAAACAATTGCAGCACGAATACGAGCGGCCGCTATTTCCTACTCCTAGCGGAGAACGGAGCACACTACAGGGGATGTACACCACTCAAAGACGAGCGCATTTCCCCAGCCCAGGCCATGCATACACACACAAATGACATCAGTGCTGTACTGCAGTACACACACAGTGTCAGTACAAGAAAGTCTCGATGTAACTTCCAAAAATCCATCCGAAAAGCCAAATTTTGCTGTCAAAAATGCGGAATCGGAGCCATATTTCCAAAGCTCACGGGGGTTAAGCTCAGTTTTAAGAAACAGTTTCATCAAAATAGCGCTAAAAATCAAGAAATCAGCGATTTTGTTACCAGTTTTTTTGCCTATCGCATGCCCTTTGAATGTAATGGTATCTTCAAAAAAGCAAATGAAAATCAAAACACCGGATCTGCTGATGCATTGACTTTATGTACAAAGTTGATTGCAACTCCAGACTTGCCTTGATTCAGCGGCCCTCGTACTCATTGACTAAAATTCTGTGATGTTTTGAATAATGGACTTTTCTGATAAAATAGATAAATATATTTAACAAATCTTTTTTTTTAAATTTTCTAATTATTATTATATTATTATTATTATTATTTTTTTTTTTTTTTTTTTTTTAAGTGACAGGTCGGTCGTTCTCAATGATTAAATGCGTTTTTATTCAAAGAAACATGAATGCAATAGCATTTTATAGGGAAAATAACAAAAACGTAAAACAGGCATAATCTTTTTTTTTTCACCTAAAATATGTTTTTTCAAGCTGAATAATATGTTTTTTTGAAAGCGACAGGTTGGAAGCTCTGCATTGTCATTATAGATCTGGTTTTTCTTAAATATTTTTTTATAGAAATAATTTAATTCCCCCCTTCCCAACATTTTTAAATTTTTGACATTTAACGGCATGAAAATAGTATTAAACATGAACTACAACAACTACAAATGACAGATTTATCTAAGGTATGAGTGATTTAATATTAGAGTGCTCAAAATTTAAACTAGAAATTAAACTACCGTATGTATAAATAAAAGGTAACGTTTAACAAATAATTTAAAAGAAAACGGTACATATTTTCATCAATTTTGGAAACGGCTCCTGGTCCTGGAAAACGGCTCCCGGTTCTCTAAAAAAAATAAGGACCGGGAGCCGCTTTTTCAGATATTTGGCTCCCGGTCTGCTTTGACTTAATAAAAGGCTTGCATAGACTACATGTATTATGTAACTCACAGACTTGACAGAGGTTAAAATGCGATCCATCAAAAATAAGGTACCCGGTAGACAAATTTATAACTTGCACAGCAAGATATCATAAAATCAGTCTGTACCACTTATTACTTACAATTTTGAGGATATCTGATCTAAAAATGAAGATTTCCGGTATTTTCGGAACAGACACAATTTTTTTAATGACCGTAAAATTTGCCGATCTTTTGTCAATATTTTCAAAATTTCACACCCGATTCCAGAGAAAATTCCCACTGTAGGTAATTTTATGTTCCTCTTTTCAATGGTGATATCAGATTTTCGAAATCTTATCAAGTTTTCGAGATAGCGATCTATGCCTGGTCACACCGTGCCGCCGTAGGCCTACATGCTCCCTACACTGAATTAGCTGTGCACACTAAACAAACTGTTTTGCTGTGCAATTTCCCAATTGCCAGCGAATAAACCTTACAAAGTACAATTTAAAAAGTAAATAACACTTAGATACGACAATTTCATTAATCTATTGTGAACCATACTGATTTCTTACATACCTCACCTATTGAAATCTTTCTTTTGAGTCCATGAATGATTTGTAGTGAGGAATTAGCGGAAATCCTACATCCGTTTTTACGAAAAATATTGGGTTTCTTCAACGATGACCTTCATAGTTCTTCTCGTTGTAAAATCTCGTTAGTTCATCGCGAGATTTTCAACGAGACAGTGAAGAGCTAAGTTTGCTTTTCATTAAAGATGAGAGCATTAAAATAGTCCTATCCTAGCATGTAATATCTTAGAAAGTTCTCATCTGTGATGTTTCCGGTCAACACACAATCTTCTTCTAACTCGTCTATTGGCACGAAGTTGGTTCTGGGCAAAAAATATTGCCGCCATTATATCACCACGAAAGATACAACAACCCCCTACCTGTTGTAAATATTGTTGTAAATACCATGCAAGATAAGATAAGATAAAAGATACAACAACTTTCAGAATACCAATTATCTCGACATATTATCTCCCGTGCGCATATGCAAATGAGAATTAAATGCCACTTTATTAATAATACGCACAATTACAAGCGCACCAAAGTATGAGCGCAGGCGCGGCCAATAATACCCTTTTCACATCTACCAAATATTGCTTAACCCCGGGAAATAGGTGGGGCTAAGGGGGCTCTTAGCCCCACCAATTCCTTCCTTAGCCCCACCAATTACCCGGGGTAATTTTAGCCGGCTTTCTGTTCACATTACGTTTTGCCAAAGTGGGCTAACCCCACAAATAGTACGGGACTATCTGGCCCTGCAAAATAGCAGGGTTAGCCGGGCAATTGCGGGGTTAGCCGGGCAATTGTGGTGCTAAGCTGCGTAGTGTGGCGGACTCGATTTCGCCACCTTGGCTTGACACGGAGTATTTGTCAGGATGCCCGTATCTGGCCAGGCGCTCTCCGTCCGTTTGGACAAAATATATGCCCGTAGCTTAATGGCTGGAGTTATTAACTGCTCACACGTATCTCAACAATCATTCGTCCATCGACTACAATCGGTCACCTAAACGTCTCGTTCACAGCATCAATCAATTGAGCATCCTTCGAACAATCAATTTCCCTTGTCAACACTTGTCACAGGTTCTCGTCCCTTGGTTTCACTGCTCCAAGAAATCAAACCAATCATGATGTGTAGGTTGAAAGTCTTTATTGCGATCCATTCAACAGTCGGGTAAACCCAGTACAAGTACAGTGCAAACTATGTGAGACTTAGCTTAGAGGCTTAGGCCAGGCCAACTATCAGGCCGACTATCAGGCCAACTATCAGGCCAACTATCAGGCCAGCCTCGGTGAGGCTGGCCTGTATCGGATACAGTGCAGTGGAAAGCCCTAGATGCACAACCCTGACCATCGTAACAATTTCCCTATACATAAACGTGTAAAAGAACAATTATGTCCTCGTTAGTAAAACAACACTTCAACACAATATTTCTGCTAATCCCATAAAATCTTCACATATAATCTTCAGTATAACCCCTTATTCCTGATTAGATCACTACTATACAAGTAATATCCCCAAAAGAAACACGATAATTGCATCACATGATCAAAATATGTAATTTATGCTCATTTTCCTTCAGTTTGGTAATTGCTAAATCAACGATGCACCATATTGCTATAGCGCATGCTCGTACAACAGAAAATGCTTAACCTTCGTCCAATACTAAAACCCTGATTTGTTACACGATTCCCTTCCCTCCCAAGCTTGGTCCCCAAGCTAACTTATCTATAACTTATGCAACAACAACAAAACATATCAAAACTAAAATCCAAGTCTTTTCTGACAGTTCAAAATGGCTCTTTCCAAAAGTGTTCAACTGTTCAAAAGTTAGTGCGTTTCCTTTCCTTCTCAGCATCCCTGGGCTCATTGTTCTTTCTCTCCATTGTCGTTCCGCACTTCCGTCAGCTCGACCAGTTGCAACACCGTCAATGCTACCTCCCGTCGTCCCCAAGCTCCGTCAGCTCGACCAGCTGTGACGCAGTCAGTCTTACTGCCCGTTGTCCCCAAGCTCCTTCAGCTCGACCAGCTGTGACGCGGCAGTCTCACTGCACGTCGCCCCCAAGCTTTATCAGCTCGACCAGCTGTGACGCCGTACGACCTACTGCCCTTCGTCGTCCCCCAGCTCCGTCAGCTCTACCAGCTTGTGACGCCGTCAGGCCTTCTGCCCGTCGTCCCCCAGCTCCGTCAGCTCTACCAGCTTGTGACATCGTCAGACCTACTGCCCGTCGTCCCCCAGCTCAACCAGCTGTGACGCCGTCAGCCTTACTGCCTGTCGTCCCCCAGCTCCGTCAGCTCTACCAGCTTGTGACGCCGTCAGACTTACTGCCTATGGTCCCCCAGCTCCGTCAGTGCTATTGCGATCGTCCCCCAGCTCTGTCAGCTCGACCACTCCACACCATCAGCTATCCCACTTCTGACACCATGTGTGGCGGACTCGATTTCGCCACCTTGGCTTGACACGGAGTATTTGTCAGGATGCCCGTATCTGGCCAGGCGCTCTCCGTCCGTTTGGACAAAATATATGCCCGTAGCTTAATGGCTGGAGTTATTAACTGCTCACACGTATCTCAACAATCATTCGTCCATCGACTACAATCGGTCACCTAAACGTCTCGTTCACAGCATCAATCAATTGAGCATCCTTCGAACAATCAATTTCCCTTGTCAACACTTGTCACAGGTTCTCGTCCCTTGGTTTCACTGCTCCAAGAAATCAAACCAATCATGATGTGTAGGTTGAAAGTCTTTATTGCGATCCATTCAACAGTCGGGTAAACCCAGTACAAGTACAGTGCAAACTATGTGAGACTTAGCTTAGAGGCTTAGGCCAGGCCAACTATCAGGCCGACTATCAGGCCAACTATCAGGCCAACTATCAGGCCAGCCTCGGTGAGGCTGGCCTGTATCGGATACAGTGCAGTGGAAAGCCCTAGATGCACAACCCTGACCATCGTAACAATTTCCCTATACATAAACGTGTAAAAGAACAATTATGTCCTCGTTAGTAAAACAACACTTCAACACAATATTTCTGCTAATCCCATAAAATCTTCACATATAATCTTCAGTATAACCCCTTATTCCTGATTAGATCACTACTATACAAGTAATATCCCCAAAAGAAACACGATAATTGCATCACATGATCAAAATATGTAATTTATGCTCATTTTCCTTCAGTTTGGTAATTGCTAAATCAACGATGCACCATATTGCTATAGCGCATGCTCGTACAACAGAAAATGCTTAACCTTCGTCCAATACTAAAACCCTGATTTGTTACAGTAGTGTGAATCCGAACCGGGCTAAGGAGAAGCGGGGCTAAGCAACAGCCAATCACAGACAGCGTGGTCGTGTGGTCGTGAATTTGCATTTATCGCGCGCTATGCATGCAGTTCACGTTACGCATGCATGCTCTCTGTATTGACGTTTAGTCTTTTACGAGGCAGAGGTCATTATGAAAAAATCTTTATTATAAAATTGATTTAAAAAAATAGTGAAAGAACATGTAGCTCATAATTTTTTATTGCATTTATCATTATCAGTCATATTTACGTAGGTAAATTTATCAAGTGAATTGGATGAAAAATGGGTAATTGATTTGTATCGGTAAAATAATAATCGATCGGAATTGAATTTATATTTATATTGAATTTAGCGCGCGGGTTTTTCCCCTTCATTTAGTCGAAAGGCGCATGCGCGGTAGCAAAAGCATTAATATTCATGAGCTATCGAATAGTCCGGGGCGCGTTATTTTTTTATGCGGCACAGATTGGGGCATGGCGCGTGTTAAACCTATGGGAAGTACGTTCTTTCCCTTCTGAATAGTGTCTGCACGTACGTGAGACTAGTCATGTTTATAGCTAGCGCATTAGCGCTGCGAAGAAGTTTGTATATCCATCGCGAACTATGTGTTTAGATAACATACCTCTTCGTTTAAATTAGTTAAGTTTTATTGACTAATTATTGTGATGTTCTCCTTATTGACGTGCTGCCTCCTCTTCAGATTTCCAATTTGATTTTAATTGTTGATGTAATGATTTTCCATGCGGTAGTGGATTAAATATAACACTATTAAAAACTGACCTCTACTACTTATACTGTCTAGTACGCACACGACCAGTATTAGTCTGTAAATCAAGACCCCTTTAAAAAAAAAGCCCCAATCTGTGCCGCATAAAAAAATAACGCGTCCGGGGCTAAGGCGAACGTAGTGTGAATCGCGTGAAATTTCTTAACCCCGGCTAAGCACATAGTCCGGGGTTAAGAAAATAGATGTGAACAGCAAAAAAAATAGTATGGGGTTAAGGATAGTATGGGGTTAAGGATAGTCCGGGGTTAAGAAAAATAGATGTGAAAAGGGTATACGATGAGAGAAAAGATACAACAAAAGATAACACAAAAGTTACAACAATGTTCAGAATACCAACTTTATCTTATCTTCAAAGATACAACAATATTAGAGATAACACAGGGTTCAGAATACCGCCCCTGGAATGTCGGGGTGGGGTGCACTCAGTTGTATTCTTCCAATGGCGGATCGAGGGGGCGGGGCCAAAAAACAGGTAACTTTAACATTTAACAAAACAAAAAAGACGGGCCCCTTCCCCTGGCTAAAGGGGAGGGGGGAGGGGTATTCAGTAAAAAAATAAAAATAAATAAATTAAAAAAAGTGCTCACTACCCCCTCCCCCCCCCCCCCCGTTTAGGACTAAAAGCAAAATAAAATTGTGCTCCTCCCCCCCCCCCCCCCCCCCCCGCTTATTCGCCGCTGAATATTTTCTCACGTATTGGGCCCCCTATTGCTCTCTTGCCGCCGCGGCTGGATCCGCTCCGGGGGGGGGGGGGTGAGGATGACAAAGGGAGAGGGGTTGCATTTGAATGGTGAGCTGTGAGTATTCGTAACCATATGAAAGCCCCCCCCCCCCCCACCCTCTATCTCTTGATCATATCTCAGTGTTTTTTTAATTGAAATCATTAAAGTTTGAATTTGAATTTAAATCCCATCCCATAGTCTTGTCGGCCATGCGCATGAGATCGGGATCTACCGGCGATCAAGATTCGACTTCCATTAAGTAAACACATAATGCCATGGGTGGATCCAAATCGAGAAAAAAGACATTCTGTTAATACATATAAAATCATTGATTTTGATGTCATAATAACAAAACATTAAAATAGCAACAACAACAAATATATTACAAATCATAACATTGAATGAAGAAGATAATAAAAAAAAAATATTCTCCCTGCCCTGCCCACCCCTCCGGCATGCACCTGCCCAATAATCCTAGTATCCCGCCCCTGTGTATCCCACTTCCTACCCCTACACTGCTCACCCCTCCTAACCCCTCCTCCCTCCCAAACTACCTGATTTGCAAGGGTGAAAACACAAGGGCAACCGAGCGAGATCCGAAGTGGGGGGCCACCAACTAAAAAAGGGCACTTACCAAAGAAAAATCTCAAACTTAAAATATACCATTTTTTAAGACATTATTATATACCCCTATACATTTTGATGACATTATCAGGGATGGTTTTAGTATTTGTTTTTCTTTTTTCATCCAAAATACTTTGCAGTTGGGTGTGATGGTCTGAATAGTCATTTGCGAGTGAGCGAGGAAAACATTTAAGAGGTCATTTTTGTCAGTAGGGCTCAGTACTCAAAAATTGCAACATAAGGAAAAAACAATCCTGATTGGGTAATAGCATATTCTCACAACGGAAGACTGAACAGACCTTTGATAAGTACCATAATTATAATTAATGCGAGCGAGCGTGGAGAGCAAGCTTTTAATACGTTTGATGACGAGATGAAAGAGGGACCCTTATCTCAATGTAAAAGACACTTATTAGAAAAGAAAAGGAGCACGTGTCAAAGTACAAAGGGTAATTATCAGAGGTGAAAATGGGGCACTCCTTACACTTGTGAAAAGAGGCACTCATCAAGGATGAAAAAAGGCATTTATGAGAATGGGAAATGGGCATTTATCGACGGAAAGGGGGCAACCATTAGATTTTAATAGGGGCATTTGTAAGAGGTGAAAAGGGGCATTTATGAAAAGGGTATGGGTCCCTTATTAGAAAGGAAAATGGCACGTATCCTTGGTAAAAGAGAAATTATCAGAGGTCAAAGGGGGATTTATCGCACTTTGGCAGGGTCACTGATAAGATATGAAAAGGAACACTTATAAATAATGAAAAAGGGCACGTATAATAAAGGAAAATGTACATTTGTTGAAAGAAAAGGGTCACCGTTCAAATTTTAATAGAAGCATTTATCGGAGGTGAAAGGTTTTTTATATGAAAAGGCGGAAGTGGCTCTTATTTAAAAGAAAACGAGACACATATTAAACTGGGCACTTATCAGAGATAGAAAGGAGTCATAATCGGAAGGGGAAGGGGCACTAATTATTATTATTATTTTATTTTGTTTGCCCTCGAAAATTTAAAAATCGCACCCCCCCCCCCCTTTGAGTACCAGGGGAGGGGACCCGTCTCCAAATAAAGGTAAAAATAACGTGTTTTTACCTGTTTTTCAGGGGGTTATTATCGGTGGTGAAGGGGGCACTTAGCTGAAGTGAAAAGGAGTTACTTCTCGTTCCTGAAAAGGGGCATTTACTACAGAGTAAAAAGGGCACTGATGAGAATTGAAAATGGACACTAGTCTTATGCACCAGTCAACTGGAGTCAGGCGCGTACGCAGGATTTTTTCAAGGGGGGGGGGGGGGGTAAGGTCGCCTTTTTTAGGTCAGCCATGGGAATATTTTTTTTTAATATTATTATTAAAAAAAAAAAAAACCCAAAAGGGGGGGGGGGGGTTGGTTTTTTTTTTAGGGGGGTTTATACACCTAAAAATATCAAAGGGGGGTTAACCCCCCAAACACCCCCCCCCCCCCCCCCCCCCCTCCCCTGCGTATACGCGCCTGACTGGCGTCTTGAACCTACCCTCAAGACTTCACTCTTATTCACTTTTGGTCTTGAACGTCCGACACAAAGATTCACCTCTCATTCACCTTGCTTCGTAGCAAATAAGGTCGAGATTCACTATTCCAAATTATTTATAAGGTGCAGATTCACCCATCTCCAAGAAAAATAGGGTGCAGATTCACCTCGCCGCTAAAAATATTAGGTGCAGATTCACCAGCACCGCTAGTAAAGGAAACATAGATTGATCATGAGTACTTGTGGAAACAATCTGTTTTCTGAAAATGGTAGCTAGAATTTAAAAAAAAGGTACAATTTCGCCACTAATTATTATTTTCGGGTCTCCGCATCGGCTACGATGTCTCGCCAATAATTATTATTTTCAGATCTCCGTATGGTATCGCCAATAATAAAGTATCCTATCTTGGTGAGATTGGCGAGGCGCCGGATGAGTTCCAGCACACTCATGCTCCGCCAAAAAGATCGCATTGTCCATGATAACAATTTGAATTCGGGACAGAAAAAAAAAGATAAAATGACATATTACCTACCAATTCGGTTGCTAGTAGTATGATGGCTAAGGAAAAACACAACTTATTGTTACAGCTTACAATGAATTACCCCCCCCCCCCACTTTTCTTAAAGTAGCCCCTTTGGCTTTTTTTTACTTTAGGATGGGGAAAAGTAGCCCCTGTAAAAAAAAATTCCTAGCCTGTGTGTCAGTGACAATATTTTCTATCAAGCAGTTGAACAAAACACTCCTTTTGACACTCCTACTACTTTTTAATTACAAATATTTCTTGTTAACCCATTTTGTCGTCTCTCTTTGGACTCCTGAAAAATTTAAAAAGAGGGGAATAAAATATCTAAAAAGGAGTGTTTTTTTCTTCTCTCTCTCTCTCTCTCTCTCTCTCTCTCTCTCTCTCTCTCGATTATTGAGAAATTAAAAAAGAGGGTTATAAAATATCTAAAAAGGAGTGTTTTTTTCTTTTCTCTCTCTCGATTATTGAGAAATTAATAAAGAGGGTTATAAAATCTCGTGAATATTATATAGATAGGGGAATTGAGCAGTGTTTCGGATTTAGGGGGCTGGGAGGTGGGGGGGGGGGGTCCCAAGGCAGTAAAAAGCCCGCCAAAGGGGGGGGGGGTTCAGACATGTTGGCAGTCCTGGGATAGGAGGTGCTTTCAAAGCCGGAGGGAACAAGCATCAGCTTATACCCTAAATAACAATGAGTGGGGGGGGGGGGGGGGGGGGCTTTTAGTTTCATTTCAATTACATTGCCTGAAGGCTGTTGATATGAGGTACTCTTTTTCTATTCTCTTTGTTGTTGTTGAAAATTTGAAGAAAAAAACTGTGAAAATGGGGCAATTAGGGGGTGTAGCAGAGAGGCATAAATTAAATACATGTTACATGTACGTGTTATACAGGTCCGAAGTCACCAGGGATGCAATGGAAAGGGCCCCTGACCACATTTTCTGTGCTTGCATGTAATAGAAATCATGTCTGTTAGTACCATTTTTGTGTGTGTATAAATATTGACAAATGTTAAGATATGAAATATGAAAAAATCAACTGGAACTGAAAAAACAAAATGAACTAAGGCCCCACAAAAAAATTGCTGTTGCCCCTCCGACAATTTGTTATTTTTTTGTATAGAGAATGTAGGATATATTAAGAAATAATCAATTGTCACGTCAACAAAATATCGAGAATTCAAGACCCTGCATGTTTGGATATCAAGCAATCAATTGAAATTGAATTTGAATACTTTTTTTTAGGGGGGGGGGTCGGGGTGGTGGAATTGAAGGGCATAGATCTTGCGCAGGATAAGTTCATACATTATTATTTCTGTTGTTACACCTTTAGCTATATTAAATATCGATTATTATCGTTTTTTTAAATTTTATTTTGTTACTCAAAATTGTAAAATGATTGTAAAAAGTGTTATAATTTTGTTATCATCTCTGTATTATGCCGAAGAGGCATGCATAGTGTAATCCTTTGTTGAACAAAAATCGTTTTTAATTTGATAGCTTTCGTTTTCCTCCTTAACTTGCCATCTCGTACGATTTTGAGTGTAAAAAGCACGTTAACTTTGATACACTTCCCTTTTTATATTTATTCTTGTTATCGCTGAAAAGGTAGAAATGGTTTTAATCATAATAATAATACCACCCGGCCCCTCCCCCGGCGGCGTTATTTTTTTCGGCGGCACAGATTGGGGTTAGGTGCGTGTTGAGCCTATGGGAAAGGTTAGGGTTAGGGTTAGGGTTAAATCAAGACCTCTTTTTAAAAAAGAGCCCCAATCTATGCCGCAAACAAAAAATGACGCCCCCCGGCGCAGAGAGTCGTCCAGTGAGAGTCGACAAACCATAATCTCGTAATTTACGAGACTACATATTTCTCGCGAGAGATAAATTCCTGCAAGCGAAGAGCGATCTTGCTCTGATGGCGGATGACTCTGACGACGAAAAGCAAGGAGTATGTACAATTCTTTTGTTTTATCACCAATGTCATTGTCGTATTATGATCATCTTTATTCTATGTACGTACTGAATTCATGAAATTGTGTTGAATTTCATTAGATTCGTAAAAATTCAAATTTAACTTGGCGTGGGGCAGACAGAGACTTGCTCCGTTGTGGCGGCGGTAAGCTGTGGCTCCATTTCGCACGAGCGTTGCGTTGCTAAACAACGCGATGTCACTCGTCGGACTGAGTTGAGTTGAGTTGAGCAGAGATTAAATGGATTGCAATTGATGAGCTTTTAAATTCAATATTATTGTCAAAGTTAGTTCATTTAAAAATCCGGAAAGATCCAATAATACTGAATCGCTATTCCTGTTGACCAAATCAAACATGTTTATTGATTCAGAAATTATAGTCATTTTCATTCATTCATCATGCCATGGCATTAATCACATTGTCATTTGTCAAGAATAAATGTCATGATTCTGACTGACATGTCCAGTGTCCAGGCCATGGGATTGACAAATGAATGTGTTGACAGCATTGTGCCTCATTCTGTGTGCCTCATTTTGTGTGCACATTCATACATGATGTTTAATTTAAAAAATAAAAGACAAGCAACAAGATTTCTAGAGCTAGTCTGCTTGCTTCTGCAATATTTTTATGATAGAGAGTCAAATAGTAATCAAACTGATCAGTAAAACAGTAGGGGCGCTGGTCTGAGAATAAGGGTGTTCTGCAAAAACAAGGATTGAAGGATAACCTCTAGATCTAGACTATTTGCATTTTCAATCAATGAACTGTAATTTGCAGGGAAGGAGTACAAAAAAAATTACCTGTAATATTTTTTACATTTCAGACTAGAATTGTGAGTAGATATAACCTACTTTCGGATGAATCGCTATACCAAGTTCCTTTGACAGAAACAGTTGCATCACTCTATTACCCGTGTAGCCCTGGGCAGCCTCAGGATTTGTTTAAAAGTAGTTGAAAGTTGTCTTGATCTGTTGTGATAGATGATATTCCTTTTTGTGTCTTTGATATTACAGACTAGAATTGTGAGTAACCAACCTTATGATGAATCGCTAGAAGTTCCTGACGCAGAAGAAGTCGCCTCACTCTACTCCCCCAGCCCTCGGCAGCCAGGTGCACTGCCAGGTGGACTGCTAGGTAATGCTATTAAACTCTTATTGCATGTCACATGGTCTGTTCAGAGCCAAAAGAGTGTTAAAGGGAAAGTTGAGTTCTTGTTTCAGACCGCAAATACCTTCAAAGTGCACGGTTTTTGCTCTTATTCTTATTAATGACATTTCTAATATTCTAGTGCTCTTTTAGGACCTACAATTGTTGGGAAGGTAATTTTAGACCCAAAATGTGTGAAATTCAGCCAAAAGGATCATACCAATTCAGCTCCACTTTTAAAATGATTAATTAATTATTAATAACAATACATGTGCCGGCTGGTTGAGCGTATTATAACCAACACGAAATAGCCAACATCGGCAATGGCTGGAATAAAACTAAAGGCGCTATCACGTTGTTCAATGGCTGGTTCAAATTATCAAATACCTGTGGGGCACCACAAATATCAGAAATTGTTGTATCATTACTGGGGAGTGTTTTACAAAGACTAAGATTGACTTTTAGGTTGGGCTTAACTATGGCAGACCGTTCATGCCACTGTTTGCTCTCACCATTAATACTGGCATTGATCTCTCAAAGGACGTACAAATCATGGTCACAAATCTGCAGAATTTACACTTTCTGATATTCATTATTGAAGGAAAAAGTATTATCTGAAGATCATAATGGTGAGAGCAGACAGTGGCATCATCAGCCTTTCATTGTTAAGTCCAACTTAAAGTCGATCTTAGTCTTTGTGAAACACTTCTCTGGGACCTGTTTCACAAAGCCTTTTTTTTCAATGACAAATTACATAAAATCTGTGACAAATCTGCTGATAACCAATCAGAAGCAAGGATTTCAGAGTTTATAATAAAAACTGTCATTTGTCACTGATCACAAGTTTTGTGAAATGCCCCCCTGATTAAGCGATTGTATAGTGAAAGAAACGTTGTGGAATCGATCAGAAAAGGTTGATCATCTAGCTTAATTATAAGTATTGGTGTGTACTGCAAGGTTCTGGAATCAGCAAAATGATAAGAAATTTGGTAAAGATACACGTACTGTACACAAAAAGATGTATATGGGACTACAGGATATCTATCCAGGCCGTATCGATATGATAATTTACCAAATATATCAATTAGTAGGCGGTTTCCCAGCAAAATTTGTATCATCACATATTAGTCAAAAACATAAAGTCAATCTTATTTGTGAAATACTCCCCTGATGTCTTCAAGAGGCACTTGTCTATTTTGATATTCTGTTTATTTGGGTTATCCAGGTCAGAACAGAGGCATCTCACCAGCCATGACGGAACAAAGTGATGACTTTGAGACAGGGCCCATGGAGAACAAGGTAATTACCCAAATTCACTCCAAAATTATTCAATGTTTACCAGGGGAAAAAATACACTTGGGCTTGGGGCAAATTCGCCCCCAAAATGCCAAAAAGAGCCCCCGAAAGTCATAAAAGAGCCCCTGAAATTCGCATAGAGTTCAATACAAAACAAATTAATAAATAGTGTTGTTTTCATGCAAGCAAGCTTGAAAAGTAGCCCCCAAAGTTGTGTAAATATTTTTTCCCCTGAGGTTTACCAAATTTGTTTGGTTGATTTCCTAAGTGTGACTTCCTTCTTTAGGCAGTTTCATATTTTCTACTTTTTTTCTACTTTTTTTCTGGAACTATTTTACTTTTCAAGCAGATTTTTACTTTGAACAAAAAAATCTGAAATTTTCAAACATCTTTCAAAGCTGTCCAATGCTAAGCTGATTTGAGCTCGTTTCTTTTCAGGGGAAATGGTCTAAATGGACCAAATTATTCGTGCTGGATGAAAGTAGGCATTGGTATCCATATACAGTCAAACTTGTCTATAGCCCAGGTCTGATAAAACCCCAATTTAAATCGGTTTCCTGATTTTTTAATATTTTTCCCAATTTTTTTTTTTCTTCCCGATTAAAAAAAAAAAAAAAAAAAAAAAAAATCCAGATTTTTTTCCTCTTCCCTGTTTTATTCCAATTTCCCCCTTATGTTCTCTATTCTTCCCTATTTTACCCTATTTTTTTCCAAATTTTTTTCCAAATTTTCTTTCTCGAAAGGGGGGAATGTTGTTAGATGCCATTTTCCCCCCGCGAATCCTCTTTTTATTTTTTTACTCAAGGGGGGCGTGGTTGAGGGGGAAACAAAAAACCTTTTTTTTTTTTAGTGCTCACTATCACCCCTGCTATAGCCACTGCCCAAGGGAAACAAAAACTGGTCTTTCTAGACAGGTTCCTTTAGTCCATGTTTCAATGTGAAATCGTTTTCCATGGAAACAAAAATTGTGGTCTTAGACATGTGGTCACTAAAGCAGGTTTGACTGTATATTATTATCCATGCTCAGTTGCTGATACATTTTTTGTAGGGAGATTGAACATCTTTTTTTCACTTTCTTAAGTTCCACATACTTGATAAAAAGCATGCTTTAGCAACCATCTGTTTAAAAAGACTACCAATCTAGAAATACTGTATTTTGGTGTCCTTTAAAATGATACTTTTCATTGAAATACGTAACAAAGGGTATAAATGACACCTGATTAATTCGTTTCCCTTGGGCATTTTGTCTTAATTATTGGGTATTGGTATGAGTCTGTATGACATAATCATTTAGGAGGGGGGGGGGGGGGGGGGAGAAGCTTGGTACAATATCGAAATATGTACGTCATGTACTGTGTAGTGTATCATGTGAGATGTTCTTTATGTATCTGTATGTTTTTGTTTTGTCTAGTCGCCTGATGTTAACCTCGAAGAGAATGCACATCTGGAGGTATTTGGGGATATATAAATCAATTAATAGTTGTGTTGCTCCTAACATCATTCAAGAAGCAAGCAATTGTGTTCCTTTTCACAGTTCATTCTTTCAACACAAAGCAGGACTTCTCACTAACTTTTTAGGAATGGGGACCTGGGGTGGTATTCTGAGCATTGTTGTAAGTTTTGTGTTATCTTTTGTTGTATCTTCCAGAGATAACACAGCGCTAATATTGTTGTAAGTTGGTTTTCTGAACATCATTTTATCCCTGTGTTATCTCTTGAAGGACCGCCTCTATCTTATCTTTGACCACTGTTGACACGCCCATTTGTATGGACCCTACCAATCAAAATCTGTTTTATATAAGCATGATAAGTAGGTCCACCAATAGGAATACCTAGCGCATACTAATCTTGGGCGTAATTAGTTATTTGAGCGCTTATTACGCAAATCACGCTTTCACTATATTAGTTAAGATGAGAGCATTAAAATCGTCATATCCTAGCATGTAATTTCTTAGAAAGTTCTCATCTGTGATGTTTCTGGTCAACACACAATCTTCTTGTAACTCGTCTATTGGCACGAAGTTGGTTCTGCGCAAGAACTATTGCCGCCATTATATCACCATGAAAGATAAAACAACCCCAACCTGTTGTAAAAATTGTTGTAAATACCATGCAAGATAATATAAGATAAACGATACTACAATTTTCAGAATACCAATTATTTGTTCATATTGTCTCTTGTGCGCACATGCAAATGAGGATTAAGCGGCATTTTATTACTAATAAGCACAATTACACCAAAGTTTGAACGCAGGCGCAACCAAACAGATACAACAAAAGATACAACAAGAGTTACAACAATGTTCAGAATACCAACTTTATCTTATCTCCAAAGATACAACAATATTAGAGATAACACAGAGTTCAGAATACGGCCCCTGGATTGAACTTTTGCCAATCTGTATGCATGAGCCCTAATATGTAAAACTTCAAAATCTTTGGGGTCCGGATATAGATTTTGGGCACCCATACATCCTGACCGCCTGTTGGTGTCGAACCTGTTATTGTGGAAATGCCATGTTCTTTAGTTTAGTCACTACATTAAATCTTAATTTATTAATATTGCAATTTTGAGGCAGATTGGAATAGATTTTTTTTTCTACATCATTAGGTTTTCAAGCTTTGCATGCCTGTTGCTTTTTTTGATTGAAATCACTACAGTAATTAGAATTTAGAAGCTAACTTCTCCATTTGTAAAAAAAGCAAATTGCTATTAGAGTCTAAATAGAGATACAGTGTACACATGTTATTATTAAAGTTAACATGATAATTGCAATGACGACCTTCGTCATTGCCTTGTTTTCGTTCACATTCTGCCCCATTAATATTCTCCTCCTTTTCCTTGTTTTCCTTATCGTCCAAAAATCCCATTCGTTTTGCACATACTGCTTGTTATTCCTAGTTAGATGCTTTCCTCATGTCCTTTTCCTTTCAAATTTCATAGGCATAGTCTTTAACATCTCATCAAGGTCACTACATTCTTCGATTTTCGAAATCACTCATGCATAACCGTCCAGGCGCCATTTTGTCCGTTTCTGGTCCATTTTAAGGCCTTTCTTTCTTCCTTCCTATCTCCACTATCCTAGATCCTACAAACTTCTAACAAATTCCTCTAAATAGTCTAAGAGATGTTCTTTCATCTGCGATGTATAACCTGCCCTTCAAAATGCCATCTTCGTACCCAAAATTCAAATCTGAAACCGACTCCGTCAAAAGTCTCTCAAATTCTTGAAAAATTGACCCCTTAATAATCTAAAACTGCCATAACTTTCTCATATAAATTTCGTTTTGTATTTAAATCTCACAGTATCTTTATCTCATAATTGCACATAGCCATGCCAAATAATCACGCTCCAATTGCTTTGCAAAACATAAATAGCGCCCTCTAAAGTTCTGGGAATTGGCTTTCTCTCTGTGGCCGTATCTCCATAATGGCTTGGCAAACCCGTACCCTTTTTTGGATTTAGATACTTGAAGATATGCCCTTTCCAGCCATATACAAAATCATATACCCTATCACTGACCAAATTTGAGAAAATTGCCCTCCAAACTCGCCATTTTCAAGAAAATTGAGAAAAAACTTCAACTTGCTCTAAACCGGCGATCTTTATACCTACATCAATGAAACTTGGCACACACATGTATCCATATACGTGACAACTGTCTGTTAAGTTTAGTAAATTGTAATGCCCTCTTCGCCAAGTTATCGCCAAAAATGATGAATTTACTATGCTTTACGTAATAGCGCGTTTGATGCGTGCAGTACGTTTTGCGCAGATGACAATGGTTTCAAACTGACCGCACTGAAGTGCCCTTTCGAATGATACCAAGTATGGTATATGTTCACGCAGAAAATTGTGAGTAAATCGCATTTGAACAAGGGTACGCCGAGTTTCCGCCCTATTATAACACGTTTCGGCCATGAAGTCATTTTTTAAGACTGTTATTCGGTTGTGTTAGTATGGGCGGCCGTTCGTGCCAAAGCACGCGTCGCAACATGTTCATCATGCACCCAGTCCTATTGGTTTTGTACGCAGTGCTTACGAGCCCTTTCTATATGCCTTACTCTACTCCAATTCCCTTCAAAATTCGTAGGCGTAGTCTCTAGCATTCCTTCAAGGTCACTAAATTCTTCATTCTCCGGAAACCCTCATGCGTGACCGTCCAGGCACCATTTTTTCCGTTTCGGGCCGTTTTGGTGACCTTTCTTTCGCCCTAACTATCTCCACTATCACAGAAGCTACAGACTTCTTACATATTGCTCTGGATAGTCCGAGAGTAGCTCCTTCGTTTGACACGTAGAAACATGGCGTCATTGCACGCACATCGTTGTGACACGATTGCATTTCTAGTTATCATTTCTACATGTATTCACATTTTCGAAACAAAAATTGAAGGATGTTTAAAAAGTGTGTTGTAGCAGAATAGCAATCTTTAATAGGTTATTGTATTTTGTTCAGATTTTATATTAACCCTTGAACTAGAGTTGTGTTATAGTAAAGCAGTAATTACTGGAACATACATGTACATGTACACATAGTATATCATCACTAATTGTGTTCGGTCTGTAATTACATTACAAGTTATCACTGGAGCCTGACAGGCTGTGAATTTAAAGACCCTGTCAGAAGTGAAAAATTAAATTGATTAATTATTGTATATCAATAGAAAGCTTGTAAACAATAGATTACAATACTATACAAATATACACTGTCTTGAGAGGTTCTAAAATAAGATTCTAATTTGCTTTTGTGCAATGCCGGAAGGAAAATGATTTGTATTCCTTTAAACTTGTGTTCTACGATCATTCAGCTATCCATTGGTATCAAGTTAAATTTTCATTAGATAGGGTCTTTAAAGATGTCTATCTCAAAATTAACTGCATGAACGTTTATGAACATTTCAAGGATGTTCCTTGGTGAACTTAATTCAATTTGCTGTGTTGTGTTTTGCTCCTCAAATAACTGACAAGTTTGTTCATCTTATTTAGCCTCGAGAGAAGTTCTTTCTGCTTGAAGGATTTCTTTTATTGTTCTCCCATACTAACATTTCTTGACCTTCTGTAGAAATGTAGAAACCAAGGCTTTAGAGCTTGGAATGCACATGTACTTTAAATGTGTGCACATCACATCATGGGACAGTGAAAAAATATATGGGGGCTCGGGCAAAATAGCCCCCAAAATGCCCCAAAGATCAGAATAGAGCCCCCGTAAATTTGCATAGAGTTCAATGTAAAACAAATTTTAGAATGTTATTTTCATGCAGGCGTAACCCCCCAAAAATAAATATTAATTTTTTCCCTGTCATGGGATATATAAGAATGATATAAACGCTGTTATTTTTGTGTGATTAATTTTTCGCGCTGAGCGACCCCAAAACATACTAAAGCTATCCAAAAGCCCAAATGCAATCCTCACCTTGGAGCAATTGCCACTGGAGTATTTCACAAAACTTGTCATCAAATGACAGTTTTTGTTATAAGCTAGTCAGAAAATTCTTTGCTTCTGATTGGTTATCGGCAGATACAGTATGTCAATGATTATTGTCATTTGTCATTGGAAAAAGGCTTTGTGAAATGAGTCCCTGCAGTTCAATGTTTCGCCGCCAATAAAGGCCAGAAAGGAAAGAAATGTTTCAGATTGATTGAAATAGAAAATGAAAAGCATTAATCTTGATTTGAAATCGCTTCTTGCAGCCCATTTCCCAAGCCCAGCAGCCTCTCGCTCTGCAAAGACCGGAGGCTTCCGATGAAGATGATGACGACGATGACGACGATGATGATGATGACGATGATGACTCTGGATCCAGTGACGATGAGGAGGATGAAGAGGACAATGCAGGGTCTAGGTTAGAAGGGTAAGTCTGGTTGATGTAGACTAGTGTTCCATTTCAACAGGGGTCAAAGGAAATTGACCGTCTGAAACGAAAGTTCTCCACATATTTTCATTAAAGTGTATAAGTCTCCTGAAAACAAAATTGTGTATGGGTAGAACGTGTAAGATTAACCTCATAAAACGTTACCTGGCATTCTGTAGGGAAATGGTTAAGGAGTATGAAGAAGAAAAAAGGATTGCATAAAACCCAGGGTAAGTCTGGATAATGAAGACTAGAGACAGGGGTCAATGTCAACAGGGGTCTGATTGTCCACTGCACTCTATACGATGCGATTTTGGAAGGATTTTGGAAGAATTTGATAATAATAATAATAATAATAACAATATTTATAAAGCGCAACATATCCATCTCTAGAGATGCTTAAGGCTCATACAAATAATTTAAATTAATATTCAACATACTTAAGATTAAAAAAATATTAAATGTTAACTTGCATTAGATCATACAAGTTCATGGTGCCAAGGTACATACAATGTGGCACAGTGTTATTGTTTGTTTTGCATGCATAGTATAAAAAGAACATTGAAATTTAACAATATGCATTGAGCATCAGGTGAGTTTTAAGCCCAGTTTTGAAAGTAGAGAGAGTGTTGGCCGTCTGAATAGAGAAAGGTAACTTATTCCACAAAGAAGGAGCTGCTGATGCAAATGCTCTATCCCCCCAATTTCTTTTGGTACGTATTTCTTTAAGTCTAATATTATGTGATGAACGTAAACCAGAACAACCTGCGGAGTGTGGTAATAAAAGGGATGAAATATATTCTGGAGCTAGATCATTTAGTGCACGATAGGTTAAGAGTAGAATTTTATAGATCACACGCTGTTGAACAGGGAGCCAGTGCAGAGATTTCAAGATAGGAGTGATATGTGATGATCTTCTGGTGTTAGTTACAAGGCGAGCAGCAGCATTCTGAACTTTTTGCAATCGGTTAATTTGGTTTGGCGGGTAGCCGAAGGAGTAATGAATTGCAACTATCAAGGTGCGAAGTAACAAGAGCATGTACTAACTGTTGGGTGGATTGAGGTGAGAGATATTGCCTAATTGCACGGATATTACGAAGATTACAATTGGCCAGTTTAACACAATCCCCCAAATTTCTTGTCACTTGAAACATGGGTTGCAAGTGACATATGGCAGAATAAGGACATGTGTGTTAAATCTTATCATTTCTTATCATTTCCATCTAGATGTTTTGGTTTATTGCCATGTAATGATTGTTAGACCTTATGGATGGTAGACGAAATGGGCATTAGACAAACTAGGAATTAAAGAGAAAGTTGAGTTCTGGGAAGAGGTGAACAATTATTTGTGAGCGTTATCCTTCTTATTATGCAAGTGTGGAAGAACATCAGTTCCCTGAAATGCATGGCTCTTCAAATGCCATTATATTCTAAATATGTCATGTAACATCGTAAAACTCGGGTGGTAGGATTTTTACGCCACGTGTTCGTGTAGTCCCGTATACATCTTTCTGTGTACAGTGTTTGTAACTTAACCAAGACTTGGCCAAATTTCTTATCATTTTGATGATTCCAGAACCTTGCAATACACATAAATTCTTATATGCTAGATGACCAACCTTTTCTGATCGATTCCACACCGTTTCTTTCACAATGCAATCGCATGACCAGAACTCAACTTCATCTTTAAACTAAATGATCGATATACCAAATGGGTAGTAGACTAATTGGAGAATAGACCATGTGGGTATATGGGCTGGTTGTAGACCGAATGGGAATAGACTACTAATAAGTGGGTAGTAGACGCACTGGTCCTACCCCAAACGATAATTCACCGGATGTTGATCCATGGTTTTATCCTTCAATTAATACAGAGCGTACGATCCTGCTGAATACGAGAACCTGGCCGTCACATCAGAGATCAAGGAACTGTTCCAGTATATTACCCGATACACACCGCAGACCATTGAACTAGATCACAAACTCAAGCCTTTCATCCCAGACTACATCCCTGCTGTCGGCGATATTGATGCCTTTATCAAGGTAATGTCAAACTTCTTGTGAATGCAATGTGACACTCTCCACCCGGGTGAAGGAAATGGGAACCTGGGGGGTGTTTCACAAAGACTAAAGCTACGGTCACAAAGGTTGGTACGAACCATGCGTTCGTACGAATCTCCCTGTTTTTCCATTGTCCCGAATTTCCATTGTCTGAAAATTGTCCGTACGACGTTTGTAGTAGTTTGTAATGGCATTTGTGACCGAGGCTTAAGATTGACTTTAGGACTTGAAACTATGGAGGCCATTCATGGTACTGGTTGCTCTCACTATTGCTCTCTCAATTATGATCTGTAGATTTTTTCCTTCAATAACGAACTGTCAAAAAATGTGGATTCTGTAGATTTGAGACCACAAGTTGTACGTCCCTTGAGAGACCAATGCCAGGAATGGAGAGCAAACGGTGGCATAAACAGCCTGCCATAGTTCAAGTCAAAACTAAGTCGATCTTAGTCTTTGTGAAACACCCCCCTGGTGCTTAAGCACCATACTATAATGGCTTGGATAAATTGTGGGTAGTAATATGATCGCAAGGTCCTCAAGGGGGAGGTGGAGGGGGGGGGGGGGGGACAAATTCACAAACTTTTTATAAAATATTATTTTATGAGACAAGTTTCCTAAATTATTGATACCAATTTTCTCCTCATAATATCTTGATCTCCATTAAACCATTTTGAACCAAAAAACAAAATAACTGGCTTTTTTTTGTCAACAAAGTATTATATACTGTATAACAATATGGGCTGATTAAAGTAGGTTCTTTAAATTTTTAGGTTTTTGATACTTGTATATGGAGGAAGAACAAAATCTTGATGGTTAGGAATAGACATCTGCATTTCAATCGTCCACTAAATTTGCAAAATTCCTTGGCTATGAACATTAACATCTGTAAAGCGCTTAGGCACATCGTTGGATCGATGTATTGAGCACTATATAAACACAGAATATTATTATTATTATTATTCAATTATCATGCGATATATATTACTCATTGCGGATGTAGTATCAAAAATAATATCGCTAGCGAAATATATTTTATCACATGACAAAGTGTTGCAGCGGCGCACGAAACATTGTGATCTTTTAGATCCCTTGTTGACCATACATTGCGAGACAAACGAATATCACTAGCGATATTATTTTCGATATATATATCATGCTTGTTATCTTGTCATTGTAGCTTATGGTTTCACTGTTTTGTTCGATGACAGATCCCTAGACCCGATGGTGAGGAAGAATCTCTTGGTCTTACTGTCTTGGACGAGCCCTGTGCCAAGCAGTCTGATCCTACAGTACTAGACCTGCAGCTGAGGGCCATCTCTAAACAAACTACGAGCAAGGCTATGACGGTATGTATTGATTGCCTTACATTAAAGACGATATGGGGAGAGAGAGAGAGGGAAGGAGGTAGGAAGACATAGAAAAGAGAAGAGGGAGGGAGAGGAAGAGAGAGAGAGAGAGAATTAGGAGGTTGGAATACACGGACAAGAGAAGAGAGAGGAAGAGGTAGAGAGTAAGAGAGAGGGAGAGGAAGAAGGAGAGAGAATTAGGAGGTAGGAAGACACAGAAAAGAGAAGAGGGAGGGAGAGGTAAAGAGGAAGAGAGAGAGACAAATTAGAAGGAAGACACAAAAAGAGAAGAGTGAGGGAGAGGAAGAGAGACAGAGATAGAATTAGAAGGAAGGAAGACAGAAAAGAGAAGAGGGAGGGAGAGGTAGAGGTAGAGTCGAAGAGGAGGAGGAGGAGGAGGAGGAGAGAGAGAGAGAGAGAGAGAGAGAGAGAGAGAGAGAGAGAGCGAGAGAGAATTAGAAGGAAGGAAGACACAGAAAAGAGAACATATAGCAGCATCTAGCAAGGGTCTCAATTATAACATACATATCAGACGGAGAGACAAAGAGAGAGTGACTGAGAGCAAGAGAAAGAGAAAGAATAATGAAGAGGACTGTCGGCACAGTAAATTTAATCCTGCTTTTCCATCATGTGTCCCATTCAGGTTCGGAGCATCCAGGAAGCAAGCAAGAACCCCAAGCTAATCAACAACTGGATAGAAAGCATCAGTGATCTACACAGGTCCAAACCACCACCTACAGTGCATTATACTAAGTAAGTTTCTCACTTGTAGAATTGATATATTTTTCCAGAGGTTTTTATTACTCTAATGAAAATATGATATTCTTTTCCCATTTTCTGAAAGAAAAGTCATGTACATATGTATTACTATGGTGTGATGTGACAGACTAAATCTACTTCACCCTCATTAAACAGGAATGGTTTGATACATACATATTCATGAGAGGGAGAGATAGGGAGGTAGAGAGAGGGAGGGAGAAAGAGAGAGAGAGAGAGAGAGAGAGAGAGAGAGAGAGAGAGAATTTTAATTGGTGAAGGTGGGGGAAAGGGTGGATTTTGACTGTTTGGTACTCATGACTAGGAATTGAAAATACCTTAGAATTTGCTTTTGGTTAGGAGTATTGTTGATCAAGACTGGCCAGGAGGGATTAGACCACACAGCGTGGTCAATGACAGGTGGCTATCTCATCAACTCAGCTCTCAATTAAAATAAGAAAAAGAAGATCATGGGGGACCAATGGTCACTGATTAGGCACTGTATTCTATATAGAGGGAGCAAGTAGGACAGTGTGGCTTTAATACAGCAGAATTTGTTCTTTTCTTTCTCTAGGACAATGCCAGAGATTGATGACCTGATGCAGGAGTGGCCTGCTGAGTTTGAGGAACTCTTGAAGACCGTGGGTTTACCTACAGCGGACATTGACTGCGATCTGAGTCAGTACGTGGACATGATCTGTTCGATCCTGGACATCCCAGTATACCAGAGCAAGATCCAGGCCCTGCATGTGCTCTTTACGCTCTTCTCAGAATTCAAGAACTCACAGGTAAGTCTAGAGAAAAATGCACAACTTTACATCCAGCTAAATACAATTTTTTACAGTATTTTGCATTCATTTTAAAGGCATTGTTTAACAATTTTAAATCTGAGATGCACAGCTCTACGTGTTATCAGTGTCTGTGATATGGTGTACTAGTAAAGTCCTAAAATAATTGCGTTTCAAAATAATGAAGAAGTGCCTCTAAAAAGTATATATCTTGAGTGACCGGTTTTACCATACTCGTTTTCCCCAATAGACTGTAGTGTTGAGAAAACCGTTCGGAAAACCCAATTTTTTTTGTTGATTTCCAATCAAAAATATCTTGATAATCAGACAGGTTCCACTGTATGACAATGAATATGACAAATCAAGAATTGCTGCCGAGCTAGCGCCATGAGCATCCCTGGACAGTGTGTGTGCTCTATAAGTTTACACTATTATTATTATGATGTACAGACATACGTACAAATATGATAAGAATGATATGTTGCTATACATGAATTCTTGTTATATTGTTTTATTGCATATTATTGTAATCGCTGTGTACTATGAAAATCTTAACTAAATGCCTAATAATAATGATAATGATAATAATAATAATGATAAGAATGTTTGTTTCTTGTTTTTCCGCCTCTACAGCATTTCCAGAGTCTTGCGGAAGAGAACAAGCTTGACAACGCACTGAAGGGAGGGGCTGAAGAAGGGGACGAAGGGGATAGATTAGTTCTTTGATACATTCCATCCACCATCTAAACCAAGGGGGTGTTTCACAAAGATCCTAAGTTGAACTTATCTCTAATTTGGACTTAACAATTATGGAAAGCCGTTAGCATCCTTGAAAATATTTTGTAAAAGTTATTTCAAAAGGCATAACACTTTGATTCAAATCTTTCATATTTTCCGTTATCAAGGAGATTTCATGTTCTCGATGTGGAATGTATGAAAAGTCTAAAATACTTCAATTTTTGCTTTTGGAAATATTTAATTTTAAGGCTTCAATTGGCTCTCCATAATGTTTAAGTCCAACTTATAGTCAAGTTCGACTTAGGATCTTTGTGAAACATGCCCCAGGGGCCCATAACACAGACGTCTACAATAATTTGCAAAATGGCTATGGCCAATCAGCAACCTGAATCGTTATTTCCAATTTGCAATTGATAGGATATTGTGTTATGGGGGCCTAGGGGTGGTATTTTTAAAAAGATGTCATCTTTTATATAACATTATTTATTGTCATAACAAGTCAAAATTTGGACAAATCATTGGTTAATGTTTGCATAAAGTTGAAAGAGACATCCGCAAGCACTAATAGTTAGTGTTAGATCCAAGCATTTTCAATTTCTTATGACAATTAATATGTTTTTCATTCACATAAAATATAACATCGTTTAAGAATATGGCCCCATGGACCTCTTGCATAAATGCCCAGTAGAAGGTAATGTATAAACCCCCCTTCCAGACAGGACATAATTCAACGAATGCACCTGTTAAATTTCTTTGAAACAAAATCTATCTATCGCGTGTCGAAATGAAACACGGATAAAAAGTCTGGCCACTATTTAATTGGTGTTCATAGACCCTTCGGTCTGACAGACAGGCCTAGAAATTAATCGAGATCTATTTACGTTTGTGTGTCAATTTTTTTTCCTGACAAACTATCTGGAATTTGATGGATAAATCCGGTGTGAAAGGGGTATCAACTTTTATTTATACAAGGGTTATATTATTTGTAAATCGTTGTAGGGTTGCAATTAACAACATGTGAAATAATAGTTGGCAGTGCATTTATTGTAAGTAACCTTTGTTATTTATTTTAAAAGAAAAAAAATACCTTACGAAAATGTCTATCCTTGTCATCCATGAAAATATCTGAATGTGAAAATCTTATCAAGATATTTATTGATACGACTCAGCTTGAACGCGTGTTGTGCATTTCATATATTATGAAGTGATTGATTATCAACTGCAGTTTTGCATGAAGATGTTTTCCCTACAGGAAAAGTACATACAAGTTGCAAACCCGTTTCACAAAGCCTTTTTTCAATAACGAATCTGCTGATAACCAATCAGAAGCAAGGATTTCTGTAGCTATAACAAAAACTGTCATTTGTCACTGATGACAAGTTTTGTGAAACGCCCCCAGATGTAACTTTTCATTGCAGTGAAATCTGAATCAAATGCCAATTTGAGCTTCACATTCTCTGGGGGTTTTCAATTCCCTGCTGTAAAGTTTATGCGAGAGGCCCAAAGCAGATATCTGTATTTATGTACAAAGAATAATTATAATTATGATAGTGTTAAGTTAAAATGTTTTATGTGATGATATCTGGACTTTCTTCAGGCACTTGTGTTAAGGTTACATTTATCCTCGGTTTATCAACATGAACAAGGGCTTAATTACTGTGATATCAGAGTCTTGTCTTACAAGGTGTTTTATAGGTGTTGTGGTCCACATTTGCCACACTCCACCCAGGCAAGGTAAATGGGCCCTGTCTTACAAAGAGTTGCGATTAATATCAACCCTTTGTAATACGGGGCCCAGGAGTGACAATGTGCAAAACATGAGCACTATTTAAGACTCCACTATTGTTGAAACTGTTATGATCATCACACTCAAATAAAAATCATATCTGCATTCTCATCAAATAATAAACCAGAGTTTCTTGACACTCGTAGCTCTTCTTTAGCAACTTTACAAGTTAATAGTACACCTGTAAGTTTGTTAATTAGTTCATAAACAAATACTAATCATGGCATGTCTTTGGATCATCAAGTTTACACCGGCACCGAGATTAAATGAATTAAAAATTAAGATATTCATCAAGTAAGTTGTAGATCTGACATTATATTATTTAATTGTAGTTGTGTACATAAATTATTCTGAGGCTTTTTTGTAGCACATGTCCGTATAAAAAAACAGCAACATTCAATTTAATCCTGTCTGTAAATTTTGATCTCGGTAATCTTTCATAAGCTGCCACATGTATATTACAGTCTTGTGTAATGATAATTTGTTTCATGAATGGTCTCTTTGCTATAATAAAAGGTAGACGAGTCTCGATTCATCTCATTTACTCCTAGTACTTGTGTCTTTCATTATCAAAAGTTAATGTAAATGACTTGGAAACAATAGAGATCTGAAAATGTACAAATGTAGATAGTTTTGTCTTTCTTCCTCCATCTCCCTATCTTCACATCCCCCTCCATCTTCTTTTCTTTTGATGTTGATTTTCTTTTATCTTTCTCCATCTCATCATTTATCTCATCTTTCTTTCATCTCCCTGCATCTCTTATCATTCAAAACCATCTTACTTTCCACTCTTTTACTTTCATCTTAATCAGTCGCTTTTCCCTTTCATATTCATCTATCCTCCACCTTCCTCTCTCTTTCTCCTTCAGGTATCGCGCAACTCGTTTTCTCTGTCTTTTCCCTTGTAAACTACTATTCTGTTCTTCCGTTCTTCTTCCGTCTCGTTCTCATTCCATGCCATCGTACTCCCTGATTATATGAAACAAGCTTAACCTACAATTGCTCTTCCATCAATGTCCTACACTATGGCAATGCCCCACTTCAAACCCTAAGCCTAGTAAGCCAATACCCAACTGCAACCTTAACCCTGCATCCGTGACAAAAAAAAAGCCTGGAGAATTTGTCAAACGTTGCATCACCCCACTCGCTATTATCTCTCAAGCTTATCATCTCTGTACAAATCAATACTGTGCAACGATTCTTTTCAAAATGAAAGGTAGATTCTTTAATTTATAAATTATAATTATTGGGGTTTCAACTGTAAACAGCACTCGTCCATATGAGTAGAACATAAGCAATATATATATACTAAAATATTTACAAACAAAAATTCAGTTTAGGAAACCAATAGCCATGAAAATATTGTTTTGTATGTCCACTACATGTACATGTTTATTCAAAATATGGGCTTCAAATATTTGATCTGTAAAGAGATTTTGCAATTTTTGATATACATGTACTTTCAAAACTAACATAAAAGTGACTTGTAAGTAATGGTAGACTACTCAACACACACGTATCATTCCTGCCAACCCTTACGAAAAATCCAGAATATTTTAATTAATGGATTTTTAAGACCTGAAAATTCAGAATATTTCAATTTTTCAATATTTGTTTTATCATCTGCCGCGATGTGAGAGTGAGCGTATTGCGTTCGTTGAATGGCTGGATGAATAAGCAGAAAATTTGTATTCGCTTTTTGGTACAGATTTACCACGTATTGCCATTCTTATTCTTATTTTTGGAGGCATACCGTGCTAAAAATTCCTAATTTTTATTTTCAAATGTTGGCAGGTATGAAGTATGTGTGCGGCTGTGCGCATAAAAAAGGGCACATGCAAAACTCAAGTCAGACTTGGGTTCCACTTCAGCAGTTTTATTCAATTCTTTAATTTCTTCATAATCTTTATTCGTTAGCCCATAGAAAGCAGATTCCAGTTTTTAGAGGTAGCTTTTATGGATTATAGCATGGTAAACTGCTGCAGTTAAAAAATAAATTGCATATTAAATTGAATATAAGACTTCACATTTCTGTATCTTATAACACAGAGTTAAGTGAATATACTTCAGACCTCTGACTCTTTGTTGTGCACATTTACTATTCACTGACAAGTTTTGAAAAGAAAGAAAAAATCATGCTGCAGTTTATCACTTCGATCATATTCCAAAGAGCTTTAAAGGGCGGACCTGGTAAAAGACCCCTGACCATGTTGTTAGGCCCAAGGGGAAGAAATTTAAAAAAAAAGGAAACGCTTGCAGTGAGACTTTGCCTCACCCAATCCCTGATGTGAACCTAATAACCTGGTATTTTTTCAAGTACAGTTCGGTTTTCCTTTTTCCTTTGCTTCTTCCTTTTCTTTTTAACAACTTCTCTCTTCTCCTTTTCCTGAGTTTCAATGTTATTTGTCAATATCGATTGAGAGTGATCCATAATTTGGTGCATTTTCAAGGACTTGAGCGAGTGAAAGGTAGATGAACATATCTCACATATGATTAGGACGGGATCGGAGTGAGTTGCAATGTGCTCCAACAAGCTGTTTTCAGAGGCATACATGGCGTCGCACAGGGGGCATTTCAACTGCATGGCATGTGTAAGCAAATGGCTACTCAACTGCTCTCTGGAAGGGAATGACAACCCGTCGCATCGGTCACAGTTGTAGTCTGAATGCACAGAGGCCTTGTGGATCCTGAGCTGTGATAGCTTTGAGAACTTCTTATGACACATGAGACAAGGGAAGGGCTTGTCCTCAACGGCCCTTCCCGCAGGTCCTGAAGCACTGATATTGATTTGCCCACTTCGTACAGGCATTCGTCCTTTGGCACCCGAGGGCTTGTTGCTCTTCTTAGCTTGCCAACTTCGCGCAGGCATCAGTTCTTTGGATGTTGAGGACTTAGTTCTTCCTTGAGGTTGTCTACTTGGTACAGGCAGTGGTTTGTTGGATGTTGAGGGCTTGTTGCTTCTTTTAGCTTGCCCACTTTTCACAGACTTGTGTTCTTTAGATGTTGGGGAATTAACGCTTTCTGACCTAGGGCCCATTTCCATACCGCTCAGAGTCTTTGCAGGCTCATCTGATACATAGCCATGTACAACCATATGTTTCCAAAGGCGCCGTGGACGAGAGAACCCTTTATCACACAAACTACAATAAATACGCTCTTCGACTTTCTTTTGGGGGGAATCGTGCTTTCCTTCTGCCCCTGACGATTTACGACTGTATTTCTTACGTCTGGCAGCCTTCAGAGCCTTCTTGGATGCACAATCACTCACAACCATGTGCTTCCTAAGGTAACAGGGACGGGCAAAAGACTTTTTACACACACTACAATGAACACGCTTTTTGACTGACTTTTTGGGGGACTCTGTGTTTCCATTAGATGTCGATGATTTAGAATCATCCTTTTCTCGTTTCAAGGACCACCGCTGGCCAGAGTGTGTAATCAAATGCCTTCTAAATTCTTCATTTGATGTGAATGTCAACCCATCACATAATACACAGCTGACGTTTGAATGTACGATCATATGAAATTTGAGCTGATTAGGGCGTGAAAACACCTTATCACAGTGATTACACGGAAAAACACCCCATTGCACTCCCGCACCTATTGCACGTTTAGGAGCTACAGCGCTCGGTTGCCCTTTTTGTCGAGATTTTGAATCCTTGGATTTTGAACGGGACTTGGTACTCTTTTTTGTTGCTGATGATGTGGCATCTCGACCCTTCTTTGGCTTCTGGCATGAATAAGACTTGGTACTCTTTTTTGTTGCTGATGATTTGGCATCTCGACCTTTCTTTGGCTTCTGGAATGAAGGAGACTTGGTACTCTTTTTTGTTGCTGATGATTTGGCATTTCGACTCTTCTTTGGCTTATCAGAATGAACGAGCAAATGTCTCCTCAGTGCAGCATTGGATGCAAATGCCAACCCGCCACATTCATCACAACTGAAGCCCAAATGTACGACCATGTGCTTTTTCAGCTTAGCACTGCTTGAGAACCTTTCATGGCAGAGACCACAAGGAAAGTGGCTGTCCTTCGCAGCGCTGATCTCAGGTGCTGACACATCGCTACTCGGTTGCCCACTTTGAACCAAATTGACATCTTCGGCCCTTAAGGTTGACTTGACCTTTCTCTTCGGTGCTGATGTTTCTGGGTCCCGTTCCGTATGTCCAGCTGTCAGATCCTCGGTTGAACTGTTAGACTCCCTGCCCCATCCAGGTGCCGATTTGGGACCCTCTTGATGATTTCCTCTCACACCAGTTACTCCTCTCCCGTCTCTTCTACTTCCGAGTATTTTGAATCTCCAACCCACAGTTTTCTCATTATCGCTCCCTTCCTTCTTAGCTTTCTTTCTTGGCCTCTCTGAATTTTCAGAAATCTCATCGATTAAGGAGGTATACATGTATGGTGGTAGCAACTCTACGACGGGTCTGCGACTGTCGCCACGATGTGCATTCTTGTGTCGTAGGAGTTGACTCTCGAACCTAAAAGCCTTTGCGCATGCACTGCACTGGAATCTACTTTCATGGCTAGGAGTTCCGACATTCTTACTGCTCCCAAGGACTTCTATCTCAGGCACTGTCTGAATTTCAACAATGTTTGAACAACCAATTAAACCAGCAACAGAGAGGAATTCCTTTTGGGATTGAGATGGTTGTAAGGGGTCCATTTTCTTTAAGATTTTAATTATCCTTGGTTGGACTATATCTGCTTGGGTCTTGTTTGTGTGCTCCACTGATTCCTGGATCAAATGAAGAAAAAAATATAAACAAAGTTTGAAAAATGTACTTTTTCCTTTTCCTAGCATTACTACTAAGTTCACTCTTACCTAACTCTTACCCATCCTCTTAGAACTTCTTCTTCTTTTGATTATCATTTTCATTATTATTACGGTAGTAGCATTATTATAATTATCATTATCATCATCATTATTATTTTTATTTACATCAGAATAATCATCACAGCCATTATCTTAGCTCTTCCTCAAGATCATACATCATCTATGCCATCATGACGATGGCGATGCACATGAATTCATTTAGGTACACATACTGCATGGGTAAGCAAAAGTACACAATATGTGGTAACAAAAGAATTTACGTTATCTAGAGGAAAACGGCGCTCAATCTTATTAAAAGATGGAAAAGGATGGAAAATTAAAAAATGGAAAGATTTTTTTGGGGGTGTTTATTTGAACCCCGTAAGTGATGTTTTCCTGGCATCTATTAACACAATGGAGACCATAAAAAGCAGTGCGTGATAACGTCTTTTTAAATCAAGTAACAGTTTAATACAGTTATATCCTGAGTTATCATGTGTTTGGTTAAGTTACCAGATGAGTTGAATATCTTCTCACAATATTTGCACTTGAAAGGGTTTCTCTCCAGCGTGCGTTCTTTCTTTTTTTTTTTTTGGGGGGGGGGTTTAAACTGCCTAAACCCCCCCCCCCCCCCCCCCCCCGTAGATCCGCGCCTGCTGTTTTCGCTCAAATTTTCAGATTATCTTTAATTGTACATCTAGCATTGAAGTCACTACCTTAGCACCACTATCTCTCATCTGAACAACTGTTCTATTGATTCTCAACATTTCAAATTCCACTGTACAAAACTCAACCGATTTCACTTAAAATCGGTACTTTGGTGACAATTGATGACGACTAGTCTAGTCTAAATACCAGTAAAATACAATATTTTCAACTTGCCGATGTTAGAAAGAATATTTATATCGTGAGTCTGTTATACATGTACTTGCCGATAGGGTGAATTGCTGCCTCTCAGCAAGTATACAACGCTAGAGGTCAATACGCGTTAGCAATGACTGGAGTGCCTGTTAAACACACACTCCAGCAAAGCATAGAGTCGATGCTAATAATATTATATTTTTATTGACCTCTAGCACTGCATACTTCATGAGAGCTACATGTAGAGGCACCACACACACAATAGAACCGATGTGGCTGATCGGCAAATTTGACACTAGATACATGTACTCCAGCAAAGCATAGAGCCAATGATAATGCGTATTGACCTCTAGCACTGCACTACGTGTAATAATAGGCAGCATTCGGTACATGAATAGTCAATAGACTCACAACACACAAATGCACATAATCATGCCGATCTGGCTGATCGGTAAGCTTGACATTAGACTCACAATTTAAATTTTTTAATTATTCTTTCTAACATCAGAAAGTTGAAAAATTTGTATTTTACTGCTATTTAGGTGTCATCAATTGTCACTAAAGTACCAATTTTGAGTGAAATCAGTTCAGTTTTGTACAGTGGTGTTTGAAATGTTGAGAATCAATAGCACAGCTTTTAATACACAGCGAGGATAGTAATGCAGCTATGTGTGATCGAGCCTAGCTACTGCAGTACATTCACGTAATATTTTGTAAAACCTGCTGCAGCTACCGTACTAAACTGTTATCATACATATTAACAACTCAATATTGATGAAAAATAACAATGAAATCAAATTTACCAGTTTCGTTTATGAAATTTTACTCGAGTTTCCGGTAATTCTAGCAAGACTTCTGCCGACTTTGCACCTCCTTTCTCATAATGTAGGTGGCGCCCTCGATCAATCTACGTACGCGTCACGCACGACGACAAGCACGCTATGGCGCGCCATTTGCCCAATAATTCAGATAAAGAAAATTTATTTTTAGATTTTGTATAATTGCTTTTAATAATTGAGTTATTGCATTTCGACATAAAAATGTATATACTATCAGTCTCGGGAACCGTCCACTCTACCGTTTCTCCCTCCCCTCCCCCGAGTCTATTTCTTATTCCCATCTGCAGGCGCCTCTATTTTCTATTACTCTCCAGGGGCGCGGATCTATAGATTTTTGACCAGGGGGGGGGGGGGGGGGGGGGGGTTTGACCCAGTGGTGGATCCAGGATTTCCCAAACATTGCGCCGTTTTCCTTTTTTCACTTGGCCGCCCAAGTGGGGGGGGGGGGGGGGTAGTTAAACCCCCCCCCCCCAGATCTGCCCCTGCTCCCTGCTACATGAGTAGTACGTGATTGGGGAGGGGGTAAGACTTTCAGAGTATGAAGCGACACTACTAGCTTTATCTCAGCTCACTCTCTTTCTGTCATTTGATCTTCCTGCTCCAACCCTTTTCTCTGTTGGTAAAACAAATGTGATTTTCTTTTCCAACTCTCTCCTTCTCTTGGTAAAATATGACAGTCATTTTTGCCCCCATCTCTCTCTCTCTCTCTCTCTGTAAAATAAATTCATGATCATTTGCATCTTATTGATTTGTATAAGGTTTATTAATTTGCTCAATAGTACATGCATATACATTCCAGTAGATAATGTACATGTATTTTACTTTAAGATTTGCTGGGGAAGAACTCACTGTGAATCTGTGAAGTACCAACATTTATACAGAACTTTTGGAAAGAAGTGAGGAATTGACATCAATAATTTGTGACAAAGTTACAAATTTATTTTTGTTAGATAGCGATCATCTTCATATTATGAAAAAACTGTCAAATCTCTCCATAATTTTTTGGGTCAAAATGCATTAGCCCAAGGATAGACCTTTTTAAATACATAAATCAATAAAGTACTAGGGCACCGTTTCATTAAACTTCCTATCAGTGTTATCTATTGCCTTTCTCTAATTAATTGCTCACAGCCAATGGAATGCAATGATTTCAGTACCTCATCGCAATTATTGCAACTTGTTGCCGATACCAAGTTTTTTAATGAAACAGTGCCCATGTCATTTATCAGTAGATATATTATGTGGATGAAGGTTTATCGATAGGTGTTCCAACATTTGCTCTTGAAAAAACAGATCCGAGCTATGGATTGTCAAAAGAAGTAGATTAGTGTTAGGGTAGAATTTGGGTTTCAGGTTTGGTTAAGGGTATAGGGTTAGGGTATTGGGTCAAAAGTTGAAGTTAGGAATTAACTTAGTATGTAGGAAATTAGTGTGGAGCAATTGAGGCAGGAGAAAGTGTCGTACATGTGCAAGATATAAATTATCTTTAATCATAGTCAGACCTAAAAATATTTTGAGTTTTTAAAAGTGTATGATTTCTTTAATTCCCTCGTCTGGAAAGAATCCAATAACACGTCCGCGTTACCAAGAAATACATTCTTTCACTGAACAAACTTAGAGAGGTCCCAAATGTTTATACAGTGTGTCTCAGCAAAGTTTACAAATGGAACAAGTATATCATAACATACATTTCAAAACCTTTTCAGGAAATTATCAAAAGCTCTGGATAGATTAGGCTCTCTTTATTATTGATGTCATTTGACAGAAGGGACCATAACTATCCATAATTATGTGGGGAGACTTTTCTAAACCTGTAAACTTTGAAACCTTTTTTTCTCTGAGACGCCCTGTAAAACCATTACCTCCAACCTTAAACACAGAAAGAGGTTGTGGGTGCCACTTTGTGAGTTAGACGGACATCTTGGTTGTTACCTCTTAAAAGATCTCTTTCTATTGCTCTTTCTTCTTTATTTCTAATTGTTTACATGCTATCTCTTTCCTTTGGAATTCTGTGCACCTTTCTGTCTTTCAAGTTGCACTTTCATCTCGAAGTTGTCAAAAATGGTACATAATTTTGTGCATCTTTAAGGCTTTCAAGGAGTTAAAGGCAAGCTCGCATACATCACATATGTTTGGGACCAGATCAGAATGTCTTGCAGTGTGATTTGTCAAAAGCCTCTGAGAGGCAAACTGGGCACCACACTTGGGACATTTGAATTTGTTCGTGTGTCCAAGCACATGGCTCTTCAATTCTGCATTGGATGAAAAGGTTAAGCCATCGCACTTGTCGCAGTTGAACTCCCTACATTTCAGCTTGTGAAAATTCAGTTTGCAGAGTTGCAAGAACCCTTTACCACATTGATTACAATGAATAGGTTTTGTTCCTACAGCGCTAACCATAGGTTCTGCAGTACTAACATTTGGTTGCCCACTTTGTGAGCACTCTGAATATTTGGTCCTTGAGGAGAATTCTTTTTTTGTTGCTGAATGTCCATGTTGTACAGACTTAATTTTCTTGTCTTTAGAGGACTTGTTGCTTCCATTACGATACCCATTTTGAACAGACTTCATTTTTTTGTCCGACAGTGTCTTTGTTCTTCCTTTTGATTGTCCACTTGAGGCAAGGTCAACTTTTTTGGACATTGAGCTTGTTCTAGATTTCCCACTCTGGACAGACTTCAGCCCAGTGGCCACTGAGGAAATCATTCTTCCTTTAGGATGTCCACTTTGTAAAGACTCCAGAGGTGTTGAAGGTTCAGTGTTCCCTTGAGGTGATGATGCCTCGGAACCATGCTTCTCTTGTCTTGCAGACTGTACCTGATCATTATGTTTACCGATAAACAAATGATTATTTAATTTTGAACTCGATGAGAACACCAACCCATTGCACTTATTACAGCTTAACTCTGTATGTAAAGCCTTATGTTTCCTCAGCTGCCATGGATGATAGAACCCTTTATCACAAGCTCTACAAAAAAAGTGCTTGACCTTTAGTCCCTTTGAACGAGCCTTCCCGCCCCACCTAGGGGCTGATTTGGGACCCTCTTGTTGATTTCCTTTCCCACAAGTTCCTCTTTTCCTAGTACCACTGCCTGTTTCACCATCAGGTTCTTTTATCCTGAACTTCCATCCAAATCTTTCCTCTCCTCCGCTGTCTTTCTTTCCACTCTCTACCTTTCCAAAACTCTCATCACCGCTCTCCGAATCTGATCGTTCTCGCTTTGGAACAGGACGCCGACTTTCAAGACGGTGCAAATTTTCGTGCCTCAGGAGTTGACTCCCAAATGCAAAAGCTTTACTGCATGTTGAACACTGAAAGGGGGTTGTTCTGTTACAGGAACTACTGGTCTCAGGATTAGCATCAGATGTGGCTGCGGAATCCAGTACAGGGCTACATCTGTCGAGTTTCATACACCTATGCAAGGCCAACTGCTTGGTGTAGTTGTTAGAAAGTTTAATAAATAACCCACAATATTCACACAAATATCTATGACGACGGTGCAACTTTTTGTGCTGCAGGAGCTGACTCTCAAATGCAAAAGCTTTACTGCATGTTAAACACTGAAAGGGTGTTATTCTTCTGCAGGAATTACTGGTCTTAGGAATAGCATCAGATGTGGCTGCGGAATCCAGTACAGGGCTACATCTGTCGAGTTGCATTTCTTGAAGTACACTCTCTATGGCATGTGGTCGAGAATCACTCCTCAAGCTAGTCTGCCTAATGATCTCTTTTGATTGCTTCAGTAGAGACAGGGCGGATTGCTTCTGAGGACTAACATCAGGTTCTTGAAGCACACTCTCTATGGCATGTGGTCGAGGATCACTCCTCATGCTAGTCTGCTTAATGATCTCTTTTGACTGCTTCAGTAGAGACGGGGCGGATTGCTTCTGAGGACTAACATCGGGTTCCTGAAGCACACTCTCTATGGCATGTGGCAGAGAATCAGTGTTCTTGCTAGTCTGCTTAATGTTCACTATAGATTGTGTCTGATGTAACTCATTACCGGCTTGCACATTATTGTTCTTGCTAGTCTGCTTGATGTTCACTATAGATTGGGTCTGCTGCAACTGATCAAAAACGTTTTTCTGGCTAATCTGCAAGATTCCATCTGTGTCTTGAGCAGCTCTCCTTACCTTCTGCAGGCACAGGATAGATGGCTTCACTGAAGGACTAACATCGGGTTCTTGAGGCACACTCTCTATGGCATGTGGTCGAGGATCACTCCTCATGCTAGTCCGCTTAATGATCTCTTTTGACTGCTGAAGCAGAGACAGGAAGGATTGCTTCTGAGCAGCTCTCCTTACCTTCTGCAGGCACAGGATAGATGGCTTCACTGGAGGACTAACATTGGGTTCTTGAAGCACACTCTCTATGGCATGTGGTCGAGGATCACTCCTCATGCTAGTCTGCTTAATGATCTCTTTTGACTGCTTCAGTAGAGACAGGGCGGATTGCTTCTGAGGACTAACATCGGGGTCCCGAAGCACACTCTCTATGGCATGTGGCAGAGAATCAGTGTTCTTGCTAGTCTGCTTAATGTTCACTATAGATTGTGTCTGTTTTAACTCATTACCGGCTTGCACATTATTATGCAGGACTATGTGCTTCATGAAGTTGCCATGCCGTGCAAAAGAAACTCCACAAAACTCACACAAATATGTATTTATCAGTGCACAAGGGTTGGCCTTGCCAGATTTCTTCTTGCACTTGTGCTGTTTAAAGCTCTCAAACTGGCTGAAAAATTTCTTGCACCAAATGCAACGGAAAATATTTCCAAGCATGTGAGTTTCGTCATCATCTCTAAGACCTGTCTTGTTTATAGAAGTGTGATAAACGCATGTAACGGGATGCTTTTTATCCGGCCCTAACAGATCACATAAAAGAAGTGACTGAGAAGTACCCTCGGTAGTCTTCCCAATGCTCTCTGTTAGTTGCTTTAGTAGGCATGTGGTTTCATCAAATACATTTGCCGTGGTAAGAAGCTGAGAATCAGTCTTCTCGCCAGTCTGCTTGATGTTCTCTGTAGATTGGGACTGCTGCAACTGATCAAAAACGCTTTTCTTGCTACTCTGCAAGATTCCATCTGTATCTTGAGTAGCTTTCCGTACCTTCTGCATGCACAGGGTAGATGGCTTCACTGGACGACTAATGCAGGTTTCTTTAGGAACATTCGCCATGGTATGTAGCTGAGAATCAACCTCGCTAGTCTGCTTCATGCCCCGGATAGATGGCTTTTGGACACCAACATTGGCATCTTCAAAAAGATGCCATTTGTAATGTTCCGTAAGTACAAGGCGATTTGAAAAAAAAGTCCTAGGCCTACACAACTCGCACGTGGGAAGTTTCTTTGAAGGTTGTTGCTTTGAAGGTGGTTTCTGTGAAGGTTGTGCTGAATATGTGTGATCGAGCAAGAAGCTTGAGGACTTTGTTGAGGACATACTGCCCACAGGTCTGTTGATAGGGTCATCTAGAGCAGGTTTTGGATTACTTACTTTCGGCAGCTCCGGTAAGGAAAGACATGTAGGACTTTCCAGTCCTGGTTGACATTCAGTCACGGTTGGGGCGGCATCGCTGCTGTTTCTTTGATAGACATGGTCAAGCCCTATTGCGTCTACGACCTGAGTTTCAGAATTGGGGTTAGTTATTGACGGGATGCAGTCCAAGGGATCCTCAATGACAGCACAGGACTCAATAGGAAGTTGCGTTGTTTCTGATAGTCCACATGCTTCATACAGCTCCCATTCTTCAGATGCAAGATCAGAGTTCATAAGAAGAGTATAATTTGAGCCTTCGTCGGTAGCCATGGTTACTTCAATCTGCAAGAAATGAAATGAAATGAAATAATTATAAGGATCTTGCTTGTATCTAGTCCATAATTTTTTGCCCTGTATATATATATATATATGATACAACTTCCCAATGCACTTCGAAAGAGCTTTGGAATTATCATTCCGGCTAATATACATGTAGCTCAGTAGCCATTATCATGCAGCACACGGTGCATTTCAAGGAATAATCTTAGTACCGGGTACCAGGTACTCATTTAATATTCACCTCACCTGGGTGGAGTGTGTCAAATGCAGATTAACATCTTGCAAAAGGACTTTAGTGTTGTGGCATGAATTTGAACCCATACCTTGTGGTTCACAGTCCGGAGACTTACCCACTCGACCACAACACATCTGTTAATCAAGTGATTATTCTCAAGGTAAATGTGAATCTTTGTGGAAATATAAAATGAAAAGTTGCTCAATACTTACATCCATGCTAGACATGTCGTTTTGCTCACATCTGTCCTTCTTCAGGAAGACCAATAGAGATCGTGGTTAGCCTGTGTCAACGAGACCAAATTACAAATGACATGAGGTACAAAGGATTTAAAGGAAAAGTTCCGGTCCACCCTCAGGCTTTAAAAAAAGATGTTGTATTGCCCTTTGCGACCGACCAAAAAATCTTGAAATCTACGGTCTGCATTTAAAAAAGTTTAAAGCATTCAAAACTTAGAAATATCAGCCCAAAGAGGGAGAAAAAAAAAGTCATCAAAAAGAAATTCAAACCGACCAACCCATGTTTTGGCACCTCTAAGGTATTACAAAGTTTTGGGAAACTTTGAAAATTGGGTGGATAGTAATTCTCTACAATTTTGATATATTTGGATGCCTCTGTGGATGTATTATAAGCACTAGAAATTTTAGCCCCTAAAACACTTTATCTTTCGAGAAAAATTGAATATGAAAATTTACCTGTGCTCCCAGTAAATTTTGATAAATATCATATAGCGCCTACGGTCGTACGATGGTAGCTGCGACCATGAAAATCTCAGAATATGTAGTTGTGATATATAATTTCCAATCAGGAATAGCAAATCGGTCCATTTAGTCAAGAAACGTTGTTTTTTAGCTTAATTAATATCTTGACCTTGAGAGGGCGCTATACAACATAAAGAGTTTATTATTTACCATTTCATATCTTTAGACTCGATTTCAACCGTGACAACGATCACTGAATATTGTAGGATCGCATATGCTTCCAATACAGTGGGGGGGGGGGGGGGGGGGGGGGGGGGGGGGTTGTGTGCACTCTTTTTTTTGCTCCCGAAAATTTGAAAATTGCGCTGGCTGAAAAGTCGCTCAGTGGGGCTTGGGGGGGGGGGGGGGTAGTGAGCACATTTTTTTTTTTTTTGCCCTCGAAAATTTGAAAATTTTCACCCCCCCCCCAAAAAAAAAGCTTAAAAAATCACAGGATTATACATGATTTTTTCCCCAGGGGTGGGGGCCAGGGTCCCCCACCCCTGGATCCGCCACTGCCCCCCTCCCCTTCCAACATTGACATCTTTTAGTAAAAAAAAAAATGTCCCCAGGGGTGTGGGGCCAGTCTTTTTTGTTCAATTTTTTCCAGCTGTCTCCCCCCCCCCCCCCCCCCCAAGATGGGGTCAGTTTCTTGAAACCGGCCGAAGTTTGTGGACCTAATTCACACAATTCATGGGTTATGGCCCCCAGAAACACTCTACTCTAAGTTATAACTCAATTCTTCTTCAGACTTGCAGAAAAACACTTCCGATAACGTTTAAAAGTAAACTCACCAGGGCAGCAACTTTACCACAGCCAGTGCAGAGCAGAGCTGCGAGAGAGATGTGCCCTGACTTGAGTACGGTTCTCAGCTCAGGTTCTAGTTTCTACTAGTGGGTAGCTCGTAGCCGCGAGCCTAGGCCCGCCCGCCCCGGAGCTACGGGCAGCATCGATCCCACAGACTGGAGACTGATCACAAGTGAGCGGGGAGCCTTGTCGCTGCACTGCCGGCCGGCCGGGGAAGGAAAAAGGAATTAATCAACGTGCTGTACGTGTCTTGTCCGTTGTAGTACTTCACTCTAGCTCTGACAGATTATAATGATAAAAATGGGGACATAATCGGCTCTCAGCTCAGCTCAGTCTACGATGTACTCTAGCTAGGATATATCGCGCAACACATGTCATCAACATGTCGACAAAATTAATCAACAGTCCCATAGTTGTTGTTGGGGTCTAGATGGCGCTCTTCAATCTTGACAGATTATCTGCGCCACTGCGTTCCTTCTTTGGAGCCTTTGGTGCTTTTATCTTTTCGAACTTGATCTCAAGGCGCATTTTTACTGGTGGTGTGGGGGGGGGGGGGGGGGGGGTGGGGGGTCTGCCTTTCCAGACTCATGTTTTCGAGTTAAGAGTTGGCTCACCTGACTTAGCGAAGTGCTACTGTGCAATATTAATTATATTTGATTTCCCTTCACCTTTATAGTCGTGCATTTTAAAGATGCATCCTCAATGATATTCAAACATTTCAATCATAATCATAATATACTTACAAAGGAAAACGCACTATCTATAGGAACATGTCAAATCTGTTATAGCTTTAATATAATCTAAGAGGACTCTAAAATCGGTTAAATTCCCTAATAATTTTACTAAATCTTAATCGTCTTTGCATTCAATCCCTTTTTCTCTTTCATCATTTCTTGCATTCCTAAATAGTTTCCGCTGAAACCTAATTACAATCAATATAGTCCTAATTCATGTTGATATGTGCTGATAATAATTTAATTTTCATTTCCCTAGTCTCAACTGATGTATTATTACTCCTTTTTCTATTAATTCCTTGAATATTTTCGTTTTTTTTGTGTGCAGACATTTGGCTAAATTCGCCATAATTGTCTTCCATTTTAATGAGGACTCCCAAATTGCCAGATTTCTTTAAAAAATGAAGATCATGTGGTTTGTCAACTTTTCCTTTATGTATAATGTCCAGTTCTAATTTTTTATGTATTCTTTCAGCGCTCCTTTTTTGGCGAGATTGTCTGCTATTTCGTTTCCTCGAACACCGCAATGGGATGATCCAATTATTTATCTATTTTTAGAAATTTTGTACCAAATATCATGCAACATTAAGGGTATGTATTTTGAACTGCTGACAATTAATGAATCTGTTAAAAAACAACTGATATTCTTACAATCTTCAAGCCAGCCACTCCAGGGTCATATGCAACTATATTATGTTTGAATGAAAACATAACTTATTGTTATGCCCAATTCTGGTATATAAAAAGCAGATCCAGCGCGTTTGTCCTCTATAGTTTAGATCCATCAGTGTATATTTTTAAATAACCTTTCCATCTTGCATGTATATAGGCATACTTTCTAATACACAGTTCTTCATCTGTAACAGATTTGTGTTTCTTATTAATAATTGTGTGATATTGGGCCTTGAATAACACCAGAAAGGTTCGATTAACATTCTTTTACTCAGTTGCTCAACTTTAAAATCAGTTCTACATATGCTCTTTTGATAAAAGGACCTTGACATGGTTTCCAGTGAAGTTGCTCAAAATATATGGTTCAATAATTGTTAAGTTGGATATAGTGGCTGTCTTTATTTGATAAGTAAAACAAATACTTGTCAACAAATAGATTTCTTCGATCTTCTTCTAGATTTTTTCCATTGAGCCACCAACAGTGTCTTTATAAATCGTACAATCGAAAAGGAGAACAAATTCGTAGCCTATAGCCATAAACCTCATTGTACGAAGAGATAGATAAAAGGGCTAGCTAGGATCACACAATGAGTAGCAAATAGGACATTATTGTTGAACATGTCATTTGTTTGTTCATTGTAAATTAAAGCATGCGCTTTGGAATTTGTGTTTCCATTCACATTTGATATTATTTAAAAAACAGTTTTGGAACTAGTATAATCTGTTATTATTCTTTAAAAAAGGAAAATCAGATTTGAATAGAGGTGGAGAAAATAATATTGAATGTATACACCAGGGGGGGGGGGGGGGGTGTTTCACAAAGATCCTAAGTAGAACTTAGATCTAAGTTGGACTTAAAAATTATGGACAGCCATTGGAGTCTTAAAATGAAATATATTCAAAAGCAGAAATTCAAGTATTTTATACTTTTTTTTATAAATTCCAAATCCAGAACATGAAATCTCCTTGATGAAAGAAAATATGAATGATTTGAATCAACATTTTATGCCTTTCAAAACAACTTTTACAAAATGAGATGCTAACGGCTTTCCATAATTTTTAAGTCCAACTTAGAGATAAGTTCAACCTAGAATCTTTGTGAAACACCCCCCTGCATGATCAGATTATTGTATATTTAAAGGGAACCCAACCTTCATACTAAGTTACTTTTATTGTAAAGTTTAAAAGATTTGAATAAAATCAGTGAAAATTTGAACAAAATCGGGCAAGGAATAAGGAAGTTAGAGTGTGTGTGTGTGTGTGTATTGGGTTTTTACAGACGTGTATCAATCAGATATGACTATTTACGTCTGGGACCGACCTTTAAACGTCACCATCCGAAAGACGTGACTCAGTTTCGAACCTGCGTCCTCGGCTGAATCAGTTTGTAACTTCCACTTTTTAGCTGGATTACAGGCGCACGCCACAACGCCTAGATGCATGGACGTATATCATTTAGGACATGTTGCCATTTTGAATTGTATTTTCTTTTTTTAGAGCTTTTTGAGATGACTAGTCACTAGAGGGCGGTATTCAATTTGATGACATCATCTGTGGACAACTCTCCATGCCTTTTGTACATAAAATTTCACAATTTTTTCGTTTTCTTCGTATTTATTTGTGTTCTTGATGCGACTTGATAACAAGTGAAGTAGAATATATCATTTTGCATTCCATATCTTGCTTTCAGGGGAGTAGATTATCTCAATCACAAGAAAGAAGGAAAAACATGAAATTTGATGTACAAAAGGCATGGAGAGTTGTCCACAGATGCATGTCATCAAATTGAATACCGCACTCTAGTGACTAGTCATTTCAAAAAGCTCTAATTTCCTTATTCCTTGCCCGATATTTTATTCAAATTTTCACTGATATTTTTCAAATATCTTAAACTTTACAATAAAAGTAATAGTATGAAGGTTTTGGTTCCCTTTAAACTAAAAGGTATAAAAGACAGTTTACTGATCAATTTTACTTTCAAGTTCATGTACAATATTTTGGCAATACCAAATAATTAGTTTAAAATATGGAAAGTAAATGCCCCTGAGCAATGTTATTATTGTAATGAACCAGGTGATTGTATGCATATGTTCTTTTCTTGTAACGAAGTCATTAAGTTTTGGAAAGATCGAAGTAGAAAAGAATATAAAGAAATATTTTGTGTCTAATTTTAATTTTCAAACCACGTCATCTATTGTTTGGTATTGATTTTAATTCAAAGAAGATGTTGATATTATTTTGCATAGGCCTATAATGCACTTTCCACTATTTACAAAAGCTTTGTTGGAAAAGAATTAAAAAATAAAAGAACTGTAACGGACCAGCCCCATCGAAATCCAAGTACCCGTTACAGGTAGTTATCTTGCAGAAAACGTAGAGGGCAGTAAGCTTTTGGGGCGTAAGGGCTCAGAGCGCGATTACGGACGCACCATGCGTAAAGCAGCTCTCAGAGCGTCTCAGATGCTATAAATTGCAGTAACCAGCTAATATTTCGTCACTTCGACGCTGGCTCTCGTCTTGGTCAGATAGCGAACTCTCCGCTTCGCTCCAGCTGAGCTAAAGTAAGGAAAAGGACTGGAAGCGAGAAATAGAGTTCCTACAAAAGGCAATCCCTGCGTTTACTACTTGTTGAGATTAATACAGATAATTGGTGTCGGTGTTAACTATGATAACGTGTTGGAGAAGTTGACTTATGTTTGTATTAATAAAGTATACAGTTAAACAATCCATCGTTTCATAACGTGTAATTAGTTGAGTCTCCATAGACTGATGTAATATAATCCTCTCATAGAGAATACACGTCCAGCTATCCAAAACACCTCTCATCTCCACACTCATATACTTTGGGAAAACGGAGCCACGTCAGGGCCTCTAAACTACAAGCCAAATAGAAACCGCTCGCATTATTCAGGATGGCAAATTCTTCGTCAGATGACGGTAATAGAGGCAAGGGACAGGCCAGCCCTCCAGCATCCAGGACCCGTTCTAGGATGGAGGGCCGTAACAGAACAAAACAGAGACTTATTTATATTTTGTTTTACGTATTGAATTATCGTTTACAGATTATAGAAAACCATGTATATCCCTCCAGAAATCGAGGCAAATGCTGAAAATGTGAAAATTATTATATTATCATGAGGAAATAAAGAAGACCAGAAATGGTTATTTTACCCCCCGAAAATAAAAGTAAACAGTGTTTCTAAGTTTGATGATCAATATTATAGAGCTACAGCTTTTGGTACATGAACATGAACGAAATGAGAGGGAGAGGCATAGAGATCGAGATCGAGAGAGAGAGAAAATCGGAAAGAGAGAAAGCTTGAGAGGAGAGAAATAGAGAGAGAGACAGAGAGAGAGAGAGAAAGAGATAACTTTAAGAAAGGTGAAAACATTAGAGATAGAATATAAGACAGAGATAGAAAGAGAGAAAGAAGGGGGTGGGGTCACTAATTTTCCATAGGTTTATTTGGGCATACATTAATTTATACCATTAATCTAAATAATTCTCTCACATAGCATTTTTCAAAGAACTCTCTCTCTCCAAGTGCCATATCGTTTGACTTTGGCGATCATACTGTTCCACAACCCTCGGCTCCTAGCCTTCTGTATTAGTACCACTCCCAGTTCTTTCACTCCTCTCTCTTCCAACAATTTCTGCAGACTGTCCATCCAAAGTATCCTCCTTCTTCCCACAATTTTCCCTGCCAAAGCAAGATTCTCTAGACCTTCTTTACTGTAATGTGACCAATGAACTTCAACTGCCTAATCAACATCTCACGTATCATTTTCCTTTGCACTCCAGCTCGTGTAAGAACTTCCTCATTACTAACTTTGTCAGTCCAGGGGATTTTCATCATTCTTCTTAAAAACCACATTTCACAACTTTCCAAACACTTTTTAGTATCAGAGAGAGGCTAAAGTCCATGCTTCGCTACCATACATCAGTTTTCAAAGAACAGAAAACAGAATTAGGCATGGATGTACACTTGAACAACTGAGACTTTTAATATAATTCAACTTCAGTTTTATTTGCTCAATAATAAGTACTATTTACAGTTGAGTAGCAAAATAATTAGTCATTCTTGCAATAGTTCTCTTTTTCTCATAATATATCCATCAAAATCAAGGTTACAATAACATACACATCATTTATATACGCCACATTTTGGATAAAGAACAAGTCCAGGCTATTTTGTCCCATACATTACCAATAATATCAAAAGTGTTAGTATACGTGCTGCTGTATCTCATGAATTGTATGTAAAAGCTCATGTTTAGTTTTAATTGGTAAGCCCTAAAAAGACTTCGTCAGATTTCTTTGGTTTTAGATGAAAAATAGGAAGATACAAGCAATCTGAAGCTGTTGTACTATTTTTCCCTCTTAAAGTGAAATATTAACCAAATGAGGGGTAGGAAATAATTTAGATTCCATCTCGAAAAGTAAATTCTAATGATGGCAAACAGCACAACACTGACAGGTGTAAAACCTATGAGAACTGTGTGTGTAAACGCTATACATGCCACTTGGTAATGTATGGGGCAAGACAATGACCAAATACCACAGACTTGCTCTTAAAAAAAGAGCAATATTCACTTTTAAAAATCTTTCACATGTTACAATGGTAAAAAAGAAATTTGTAAAATGATAAAGAAAATGACATGAAGCAATATACGTTTATAAAGAGAATTTGCTGCACCGCACAGCCATGAACTCACATTGCTCAATATTGACATATTGTCTGGAGGGCTACTATAACAGCCCTTGCCCTGTTTGAAATTTAATAAATTTATTCCCATGGGTACAATTTAAAATGCATTTTCATTCTCTATAACATGACAAGGTAAATTTGGAATAAATAACATGTCAAATGAGAAAGACCATTTACACAACATCAAACATTGTAAAGTATTAGTAGGACTGGGTCTTCCCTCTTTTCTTTTTTTACACCTGTAATAATATAGCGCATAGAGAAACTTTTGTTTATCATGCGCTTTATAAATATTGTATTAGTATTAGTAAAGGGTGTATTACTAAATATTTAGATTAGAACAATAAAAATCAAAACAGTGCCTCTGGTAAAAGCTGGCTTCATTAGTCACATTGCACAAACCAATTCAAAAAATGATAAAACTGTATATAATTGCAATATCAAATTATTGTAAACAGTCAAAATATTAATATAGCACAACCCTACTTTTGGCTCGCCCATAAGAAATCTGTACCCTTAGTGGGGCTCTGCGGCCTGAAGCTGAAGCATTTCGGGCAAAACAAAATGATATGGGCTCTGGTTAACCAAACTTTGACAGTTATTAGTACATATTATTTTTACTATTAACTGACTATTACAGATGTGTGGACAGCTAGGGCTCAATAGGTCGATAGGTGTACATATACAAACCCTCAAATCGTGGCACGTGGTAACCATAAAACAAGCCATAAATAAAGAAATAAATAAAAAATATTTGGTCATTCAAAATTTTGAAAAATCTGAATATTCTGATTAAATCGGAACATACGTTGGCAGGTAATGTAGCCCTGCTTACATTTATATCCCATTGGTCCAATAAAATCCCTAACCTGAACTAAAAATAAGAATAGAATAACATTTAGAACGGATTTATTGCAGCGTGACATATTACATGTAGTACACATTTCTATGTTGCTATATTGTTGTAAAACTATGAGCTTTAAACATTTCTTCTACACAGAGATATTGCAATTTAAATACACTCCCAGGGAACTATAAAACGTCTTGTTGAGTAAACCACTAAAAGTTGCTCATGCGTGGGTTTATAGAGGGCAGCACAGGGACATATGCACAGGAGCGTAATATCCGTTGGCTCAGTGTTATGTAGTGATCGCCAAGTTGCCTACTTCACGAACAACTATATACCCATGCATGAACATCTTTAACATGTACAGTATAGGATCAAAACTACTCTAGGATTCGACCCTCATTTAGGGAACATTTCAAAAAGTGATGTACGCGGATGATGTATGGTGCTCAATGTGACACCCCCTCCCCCTCCCCACCCCGATGTATGAAGTCAAACTAAAAAACAGGTTTACAAATCATGTGTGAGTGCGAGATTTAAAAAATGGCAGCAACCATGGCAGTACTTGTCATCCCATCTAGCGTGTATGTTCCGTGGTGTCAGTGATCATCCATTAATCCGGAAGACTCTCTATGGGAGACAGTGAGAGGGAGAGAAATGACAACTGAATGACCATGGAAGAGAGAAAGCATGGAAGCAGTGGAATGACCCAGGATGAATATATGGGTAAAACTAAAGTGGTCATGAAGATACAAAGATAGCCAACTATATGCATACATGTACATACAGATGTACAATTATACTTGCAGTATACTTACTTTGCTCCATACGTTTCTTTCATTTCTAGCTGATCATTAAATTTTAATTCAATATATTTCTATTAACTCATCCATGTTTATAATCAAATAATTATGAAAATTCCAAAATAAATATCTTATACATGTATGTCTTACTTAAAAGTTGGTGTCACAAACCAAAATTTGGGTAAATTTTCTATTCATTCTTGCATAAAAGTGACTGTTTCTTCAGATTTTGTTTTAAAGATTAAATAATGGAACCTTTGCATGCTGAACTGCTTTAGATGGGGTGCCAATTTTTCCAAAATGATTGTTAATGCATAATGAATGATGCTTAGGTGCAAGGATTTGTAGCTTATTCAATATATGAATCCCTTTCACAGTTACAAGACATTCATAGGCAATTATAGCAGATGTGTAAAACTGTTTTAAATCTTACTACAGAAAACATAGTGGATTTCACTTTATATCGACAAATACATGCAGCACAATAGTGTCAAAGAGATTCAGTAAAAAGGCAAGATGATATGACTACGTGACCACATCGACTAAGTGAACATGATACGTGCTATGGTGAAGGCCAGCTGGGTGATATTGCAGTTTACAGAAGAAGAATGAGGAGGAGGAGGAGGAGGAGGAGGAGGAGGAGGAGGAGGAGGAGGAGAAGGAGGAGGAGAAGGAGAGGGGGAAGGAGAAGGAGGAGGAGGAGGAGAAGGAGAAGAAGAAGGAGAAGGAGAAGGAGGAGGAGAAGGAGGAGAAGGAGAAGGAGAAGGAGAAGGAGGAGGAGGAGAAGAAGGAGAAGGAGGAGAAGGAGAAGGAAAAGGAGGAGAAGGAGAAGGAGAAGGAGAAGGAGAAGGAGAAGGAGAAGGAGAAGGAGAAGGAGAAGGAAAAGGAGAAGGAGAAGGAGAAGGAGAAGGAGAAGGAGAAGGAGAAGGAGAAGGAGAAGGAGAAGGAGAAGGAGAAGGAGAAGAAGAAGAAGAAGAAGAAGAAGAAGAAGAAGAAGAAGAAGAAGAAGAAGTAGTAGTAGTAGTAGTAGTAGTAGAAGAAACATTGGATGAACAAGCTTTAGTCTAGCCCTTCACAGTTTATGGACAGTAGGATATTTTTGATAGATACACAATAGTGCATTAGTATTTGATATGCCAGAAAAAAATTGACAAAGATTATCACAAAGCCCTATTTGTATATAGCAAAGATGACAAAGCCTGCAAAGCAATAATTGGAGGAATACAAATGGTAAGTATAAAGTCTTGAAGGATGTGTATAAAGTCTTGAAGGATGCATTTGCTACCCTAGGCGTTGATAATGCCCCGACGATTGCTATTGCCAACGCTCATCGGCTACCTCGAAGAGGAGCGGCAGACCAGACCAGCCAGCGTGGACCCGTCCCCATCATTGCGCGGTTCTGCTACATGGAAAACAGGAACGCCATACTAGCTGCATTCGACAACCAGCAGAGGAACCGCGCGAAGGCAACCGCCTCTCCAGCCAGGGCCCAACCCCAATCGCGGCTTACAGTTAGAACGGATCTCCCGCCTTCCTTGAAGATTCGTCGAGCTCTCCTAGCCACAGAAGCCTACAAGATGCGCAAAGAACAAGGACTTTCGACGAAAATCTTCGTTAGAGGTACGGAAGTCTGTTTACAGTCAAAGGAAAAAGGCACATCCAAGTGGATTGATTACAAGGACTAGTAATGTCTATCACCAGTCAATGAGGTACTACTGACTTTCATACTCTTTAAATATTTTGTTTAATGTGCCACCTATCTACTGCAGATTTGATGGTGTGATTAGTAGTGTGATCTCTCAATCTATAAACTTTCTCATATCTTTGCTTCCATATCCTGTAACTACTACAAAGTTTGATGATGTGAATTGATTTGACATAGTTGTTAAATATTTGACCAAAGGAAATGGAGAAGCAGTTAATTTATCACATTGTATTTTGCTATTGTATACCATAACTAATGCAAAAGATTGATGATGTGATCTGGTGTGATTTGTTTTTTGTTTTTTTGTTTCTTTATCTTCATGACAGAGTGGAGAAACTGTAATAGCATTACTTTTTCATATCATATCGCTCGTACGCTATACAGTACACTATAATGACTTCAAAGGTTGATGTTGTGATCTCTTAATCTTTTCTAGAGAGAAAGAGAAACAGTTTTGTTTCCTCATGTCATATTGTGTCACAGGTAAAATATGATCTCTTTAATCTCTTATTTTTTTTTGTTTTTTCCAGAAGTTATGGATAAAAAATAGTTTTACTTTCTCATATGCTACTAATAATAATGCAAAGTTGATGCTGTGATTATTTTGGTATTCTGAAGAAATTAAGAAACAGTCTTACCTTCTTGTATTATACAGTACCATAAATTTGTTTTTTGTAATGATATGATCTCTTTATTTTTTCAGAGGAAATGTTGAAACAGAGATTAGAGAAACAGTTTTGACTTCTCATATCGTATTATCCTACAAGTGATGTGATCTCTTTAATCTCCTATCTTTTGTTTTTTTTCCAGAAGAAATGGATAAACAGTTATACTTTCTCATATTATATTATGCTATTTAACAATGCAAATTTGATGGTGAGATTTTGAGAATGAGAAGCAGTCTTACCTACTCATATTATATTGTGCTGCAAGTTCAATGATGCAATCTCCTTGTCTTCTAAGAAGAAATGTTGAAGTATAGGAAAAGTTGTGATTTTTCATATCGTATTGTGCTACAAATTTGATGATGTGATCTCTTTAATCTCTTAATCTTTTGGGGTTGTCTTTTTTTTTTCTTTTTTTTTTCTCCAGAAGAAGTGGATAGATGGTTGTACCTTCTCATATTATATTATGCTATTTAACAATGCAAAGTTGATGATGTGATTCTCTCAGCCATCTGAAGAAATTGTGAAGCAGTCTTACCTTCTCATATTATATTGAGCTAAAAGTTTATTTTGATGATGTGATTTCATTGGAGTTTTTTTTTTTTTTTCAGAAGGAAATGTTGAAACGGTTATACTTTCTCATATTAGGCTACTTAATAGTGCAAGTTGGTGAAACGATTCTTTCATGTCTTTGAGAGAAATGTAAAAACAGTCTTACTTTCTTATACTGTAGAGTTTAAATGATATGGTTCAGTGTACATCCTAGATATTTGTACATGTATGCCTGAGATAATGCCTCAGCTGATTTTTTTTTTCTCTCTACTTATACATGCATGTTCAAGGTAGGGAGCTGACCATCATGCACTTTTTTGTTTAAAGTCAATCCTTTTACATGGATATATTACTGATAACATTTAAGAGATAGTATTTCATTATACTCAAATGTTTATAAGTTCAACTCTAATATGTTGGGGTATGGCAGATACCTCATGTTCTGTTCGAATGCCTCTATACATGTATGCCCAAGACATTTGGGCAGAAACAATTTTTTGTATTTTTATTTTATTAAGTTGCCCCGTAGCATTTTTCTGTTTTAATGTACCTCAATTGACTGTATTTATTCAACAACATTTGTACCTCAATAAGTGTTATTCAGAGATGTGTGGATTTATCGATGGCGGATGATATTAGTCCCATTACATGTCCAAATGTTAGATGTGAATATTATCTACCAGCTGATTTCAAGACAAAATTTCCGAACAAAGGTCAATCGCACATTTATTTGCATATGAATGCTCGCAGTCTTGCAAAGAATTTCGACAAAGTACAGCTGCTCTTGGATTCTCTGGAATGTTTCTTTTCTGTTGTAGGTATCAGTGAAACGTGGTTACATAGTAATTCACCTCCTTTGTACGACATTCCAAATTATTCCCTGATACGCTCTGATAGATTAGAGGATAGAGGAGGAGGGGTTGCTTTCTATATCAACAATGCTTTGTCTTTTAAACTTCGCTCTGATCTCTCTTTCCATCATAGGAGTGCTGAGTTGCTCTCTATTGAAACAATTTCCCGTCTTCCTGGAAAAAATAATGTAATCTGTATCGTATATAGACCTCCAAATAATGACAAGAAAGTCTTTTTGGATGATTTCGATAACCTCCTTCACAAACTAAATCTAGAAAATAAAAATATATATTTGATGGGGGACTTCAACATTGACTTGCTCTGTGACAACGATATTACTGCTGATTTAAATACACTGTTAAATGTTCATGCTATGTTTTCTACTATTACAAAACCAACAAGAATAGATATGAATACTAGTACTCTAATTGATAATATATTTACCAATGTTTCTGATAATAACATTGAAGCAGGGCTCATTTATTCTGAAGTTTCAGATCACCTACCCATTTTTTTGCTCCTTTCCAATTGTACTAAAACTAAAACTAAAATGAAAATGGTTGAGGTTCGTAAATTTACAGAGGATAATATTGGCAAGTTTAAAACTGATTTGATGTCGGAAACGTGGAATGATGTCTTAAATTGCAATGAAATTGATATTGCATATCAGAGGTTTTTAGAAACATTAACAAACTATTTGAATATAAATATACCAAAAGTCCAAATTAAACCTCGCAGAAATTTACCCAAACATCCTTGGATTACCAGAGGAATTCTGAGATCTATCAAACAAAGAAATAAGTTATATAAAAAAAGCCTTTGTAACCCTACAGATAGAAAGAAGCAGGAATATAGACAATATAGAAATAAGCTAACACATATTATTCGTATATCAAAAAGAATGTATTACACCAAACAGTTTGAACAGGCAAATGATTCTTCCTCCAAGTGGAAGATAATAAATGGTATTCTGAAAAGGGGGAATGTTTCTCATTCAACTGTGTTTAGACATGATGGTATTACTGTAACGGACCCACATGAAATTGCAAATTGTTTTAATAATTATTTTTCAAACATAGGTGCTGAACAGGCTTCGAAAATCAAAGGGTGTAGCAATAGTTTTCGTGATTCTCTTTTTTATTCTTCTGTAAATAGTATTTTCTTCAACCCTACAAATCCAGTTGAGGTAATGAGGATTGTTGCATCACTCAAGTCCAGTCATTCAACTGGACAAGATGAGATGAATACACATTTGCTAAAAAATATAATTGGAAGTATAATTAAGCCCCTAGTTTACATAATCAACCTGTCATTGTTCTCTGGTAGTTTTCCCTCATTGATGAAAATTTCGAAAGTAATACCCATCTATAAGAAGGACGATGCCAGTTCATTCAGTAATTATCGGCCTATCTCAATACTTTCATGTTTTTCTAAAATATTAGAACGACTCGTTTATGATAGACTATATACATTTTTGACTGACAACAGTTTACTTAATAATGATCAGTATGGATTCAGGAAATTTCATTCAACAGAATTTGCTATTATTAAATTATATGATAGGGTATCATCTGCCTTAGCCAAACACGAGCATGTTATAGGGGTTTTCATGGATTTAAGTAAGGCATTTGATACCCTAGATCATGACATACTTCTACACAAGCTCTACCATTACGGGATTCGTGGTATACCTTTAAATTGGTTTCGTAGTTACCTTACTTGTAGAAGTCAATATACAATATTTAATAATGCCAAATCGACCATGTCATCAGTTGGGTATGGTGTGCCCCAGGGCTCTATTTTAGGTCCGCTTCTTTTTTTGATTTATGTTAATGATATTTCTAATGTCTCTTCCTTACTACAATATATATTATTTGCTGATGACGCTAATATTTTTTGCTCTAATTCCAACCTAGAGAGTCTTGTTCAAACACTAAATACTGAATTGCCAAAATTATCTAACTGGTTTAAATGCAATAAATTATCGTTGAATTTGGGTAAAACTAACTTCATCCACTTTAAAACTCGTGCTCATACTGAAGAAACTAATGTGTCATTAAAGATAGATAGCATCTCCATTCAACAAAAGAAAAACACCAAATTCCTAGGCATTTATATTGATGAGTGCCTGTCTTGGCATGAACACGTACGTGATCTTTCTCGAGTTTTGTCTCGTTATATTGGTGTTATGTACAAGTTAAAGCCTTTTGTTCCACTTAGTATTTTGTTCATTATTTACAATTCTTTCATTCATTCACGTATTTCTTACTGTAACATTGTATGGGCTATTAATAGATTAAATACTGATGGTATCTTTAGATTGCAAAAGAGAGTCATGAGACTTTGTTGTGGCTCTGGGTACTTTGATCATACTGACCCATTATTTTTCAAATTGAGAACTCTGAAGGTTACTGATATTCATAATATGCAAATTGCAGTGTTCATGTACCGACTTAATAAAAAAGAACTGCCTTTATCATTTTGTAACGATTTCACTCTAAATAGAGACATTCACAACTACCCAACCAGACATTCTTCCGATTTCCATTTGTTTACACCATGGAGCGCCTTAGCCCAAAGATCAATTAGATATGTAGGTCCTGACATTTGGAACGCTTTGCCACCTGAAATACGAGCTTGTAATACCATTATGTTATTTAAAAAGAAAATGAAGGAATCATTTCTCTTAAAATATAATCGTTAACTTTTGAGATTCATGTTGTATAGTGCTGAATATGTCAAGAAGAGGTAATGTGTATTTCATTGTTTTTGCTTGTTATTCAAATATGTTAAGGGGCATGATTTTTGTATTTTGTTTTATTTTTGTAACGAATGTCTTATTTTAAGCCATGTTCTATTTTTACCTAATAATTATCAACTATGTTACTTAGGGACGTTGCGCTTCAAACATTTTTTGTTTATGCATTGTTCCTACTATGTATTATATATCAATGTAACCCACTGTATTCTATTATCTGTAAACAGTTATTTTACATGGTGAATAAATAAAACAAACAAACAAACAAATAAGTGGATCATCTTAATGAAAATTAAAGAAGTCAAAACATTAAACCTTTATCATATAATAATACAGCTTGATTATGAATGTTAAGCAACAACACTGGCAAAGCAAAATACAAGTGAATGTATATCATCTGGAAGAAATACGGTTATTGGATATTAAACATGACGAAAAAAGATGAAGTTAAAACATACACGTAATGCAAATGTATAAACATAAAACAAGGTACATTTTCTTGCCGAGTTTCTCCACATACTCTCTGTAGACTGGTATTGTTATTCACAATATGGTGCACTATAGATAGAGTGTATGTACATATAACATTTCATTTATTAGTACAATTAAGTTGACATCTAGGTGGATATTAAAGTAACCAAACTTATTATTGGTCACAATGACTTACAAGTGAAGCTCACTATTAAAGAGTCTCCCACGGGCCTAAAAATCAGGGCCCGCTAAACTGGTCTCTGCGTAGAGGGCGGTATTCCTGTTTGAGAAGGAAAGGTGGAGTATGAGAGGGGCGGAGTCTTCCGTCTATGGGTTAGAGAAGGATAGGATAGAACAGATGGGTGAGAAAAGAGAGAAACAAAATAGGAGCTATTTAACTAAATTTAAAATCATAAAGGAGAGAGAGTTGGTTAGGGGAGCACAGTCGCAAACATCTCTTGATAATCGGCAAAACACAAGGAACAAGAGCATATTAAATCTTTCAATATTGGCCTAAAAGTACTTGATTCACAGTCAAGTTCAACACTGTGAGAGTCAATTTTCTGAAAGTGTTTGTGACTGTGTTTTGGTGAGGGCATTAAGATTAAAGGCATGTTTAGATGTGATGCAATAAACTGCTGCAAAAAAGCTGTGATGTTTTTTTAAACATGTAAACGGATAGCAACCGCGCTCAACAAAGGTCCCACACGTATTCACTATGCTTTGTGCTATAAGAACCGGAAATGAGAAGGTTTTTTTTGCACTATTTAACATCATCATTAAAGAAATGCAGCGGTTTTGCCAAATTGTATAACTGAACTAAGAGATACTAATAGTCAACCTTATCCTGGAGAAATAAGGAGGATTAAGATTGAAATGTGAAAGGGGTATCAGTATCAAAGAGAAAATATAGATGAGTTACAGAAGCCAAATACCAACCAGGTCCAAATCACATTCATGACAACAAACAAATTAAACTTGGAACATTTTATAAATAATTGTACGACCAATGGAGTTAAATTGACACGTGGGCGAGTCCACAGAAGCTGGGCTTGCACTGGCAGTAAGGAACCACAAGCATCTGCTTAGGTAGGGGGCTGGGTACCAGTCTGTGACAGAGCATGTGCAATGCAGTGGCATTATACATGTCTAGTAAAAAAAAAAATCAAAAAAAATCAGCCTCCCCCCCGAAAAAAAAAATTGGTTCTGTGGCCCCTGAGGTAGTCCCATGTCTAAGGGATGCATTGCAAGCTTCTCTCATTTCTATGCTTTCTATGGTTCTAGCTTTAAAATACTAGTTCCAACTAAAAGCAAAACATGTACAAACAAAATCCAAGATGCGCACACAAATTAAAAAATTGAATACAATAGAAAAAACCTGTGAAATAAAAAGAAAAGGTTTTCCTGAAAGGAAATAAATAAATAAATTAGAAACATACATGTGTAGAGTCCCACTCACCCATTTTTGTACACAGTGCTATTCACTGCATGTGATTTTGATCAAGATTTTAATCAGTTCTTCTATAATTTTGATGATCTGATAAACTCATTAGAAAGAAATCATATATGTACAACAAAAGCTACAACAACAAACAAAAACACAACAAAAACAAACAGAACAAAACAGAACAGACATGCAAACTACAACAACCTGTAGTTCTTGAGTACAAAAATTAGAGTAAAAAATTCAATCATAATGTAGTAATTATTTATATATCTCATTTCTAGAGGCATGGCTTTGCACTTTTTATAAAGTGGGGTCATGTATAAAATAAAAAAAGGCAAATAATGGACAGGCCCCTTTAAACCTCACTGTATTGATTTTGATATTTTTGGGGTCGTTTATAATTTATGGAGTCACTCATTTGCCTGCTAGGTGCAAAATGCTCTTTTATTCGCTCAAAATTATTAGCTGACATCAAGCCTGTCATTGTTCAAAGAAAATGATTTTAAATGATTCACCAAGATTGTGATCGAGAAAATACTGGTTTTTATTTGGTTTTCGCAGGAAACTTTCAGAATGTTTTTTTTGGTGAAATCTACTTCCTTCCATTCACGTTCATTTGGAGACTGCGTACAAATATTTAATAATGATAATGAAAATAATAATAATAATAATAATTATATTAATATTAATAATAATCATATTTTGCTCAACTTTTGTTGACATACAATACATGCAGAAGAAAACATGAATCCAAACAAGTTTAAACTGCAGAAACATATTACCTGGAGTACATGTTTACAAATATCTTTTATCCCAGAAAGTATGTGGGGAGAAAAACATAAAGACAATTACATAAATTGTGTACTGGGTATAATGCTGGTACATATAATGCGGGTACTTGTAGCGCCTATATGCTGGTACATACATGTGCTGCTTGTATCCTACATTTCCTTTTTTTCTTTTCTTTCTCTTTTTTTGTTGCCATGATGTGACAAGGTTTTGTTATCACAACTGCATACATGCCAACATTTGAAAATCAGAAATCTGTACAAATTATGCTATTTAAAAAAAAAAGAGGAACAATCCTAACTCTCCTATTCAATACTATAGACAAATTTGTACAGGAAGAGGAACACCTGCATTAAAATGATAATTATCTTCTCCCAAAAAGAGGAATGTTCCTCTTTAATCTGAACAGTTGGCATGTATGCAACTGTTATCACAATATGATTCCCTTGATTCCAAAGAAACCGTTGTAACAATTTTTTTCCTGCTTTTCTCTTGTTTTTCAGACCTTGTATACTGAGCAGAAGGCGCAATGGCTCAGTGGTAGAGCAGCGGTCTCTTAACTGGGAAGTCCCAGGTTCTAAACCAAAGTCAATATGCTATTGCCCTTTGGTAAAGCATTAATCGTCATTACTAAGTCCCTCAGAGAGGACTTACAGGTAAAGCCATCAGTCCCCTGGTTGCTTACTTACAAACAAACATGCTTTTTAGCAGTCAGTTAAAACAAACAATCAATTTTTAAAGTTCTCATTACAACAAGGTAGATTACTTGGCTACCGGGTAGATGGAATTTGTGATAATGAGGTTTCCCTGTACACATAAAGTAAAAAGCATAACAGCCACAGAATACATGTAACTAGTACAGCAAATTACTGTAAAACAATTTTTTTAAAAAAAGCTCTGAAAATTAATGATGTTGAAGTTTATATAAAATTTTCAATTACACAAGTCTGTGTTCATGCATCTTCTAGCTTGTTGTAATGATATAGAATGAGAAACTCACAAAATTAGTTTACTGAAAACCCAATAGAAAACCCAATAATAACAGGGGGAAAAAATATATAAAACTTTCAGGGGCTACTTTTCAAGCTTGCTTGCATGAAAATAACACTCTTTAATTTGTTTTGCATTGAACTCTATGCCAATTTGTTGGGGTTCTTTTATGACTTTCAGGGGCTCTTTTGAGTATTTCGGGGGTTGATTCGCCCCGAGCCCTCGTGTATTTTTTTCACTGAATAATAACCATAACTGTTTCTTATCAATCACTTTACCAAGTACAGTGTAACTGACCAAAACGTTATACAATACTATACTATTGCCCTGGTCACTGGATTCTGTTACGATCCTGCACTTTACAATGAATACTCTCCACTTCCATAGGAGCATACTAAATTTGGCAGGGGGTGGGGGGGGGGGGTGTTTCACAAAGATCAAAAGTTAAAGTTATCTCTAGGTTGGACTTAACAATTATGGAAAGCCGTTAGCATCTATGAAAATATTTTGTATACCGGTAAGCTATTTAAAAAGGCATGAAATGGTGATTCAAATCATTCATATTTTCTATTATCAAGGAGATTTCATGTTCTTGATGTGGAATTTATAAAAATTCTAAAATACTTGAATTCTCACTTTTGAATATATTTTATTTTAATGCTACAAATGGCTCTCGATAATTTTTAGGTCCAACTTAGAGTAAAGTTTGACTTTGGATCTTTGTGAAACACCCCCCAGGTCTCATATCTTCCACATTGAAGCAACACATTGCATTGTCTAACTAATGGGCAAGTTTGAAATCATACACAAAATCATGAACAGAATAACAATCTAGAGCTACTATCAAATTAACAGAAAAACTATGGTAAAACTTTGAGAGAAAAAAAGCTGCACAGTGTATTTGAATATGAGGCAATGCATTCTTCGTAAACAATAAAGAAAATTATTAAAATGCACTTATAGGTAAGAAAAAGGGGATTTGATCAATTGAACAATTTAGGGAAATCATCTAAAAGCTTGTTAAATTCTAACTTTTTGAAAGACTACCTTAAAACATTAAGAAAAGAAAGTGCACTGTGTCGTTGAATATGAGGCAATGTATGCTTGGTATACATAAGAGACTACAATGTAAATATAAGAAATAACAGGGGGATTATAGAAATCAAATATATATTTAGGGAAATTTCTTCAGTTTTAAAAGCTTGTTCACATGTGCCAAGGTAAAGCCCTACAGTATTCCGTAGTAGATTTTTTTGTGTGTACTAAATGAATGGGGAATGGGAACAAAAAAATAAAATGGCTGCCTGCATGTAGCCTAGGGGAGAGAAAGACTTTTTTTTAAATCCATAGGAGAAAAAAAAAGACAGAAAATAAACAAATATAAGCATTTCAAAGCATGCCACTGCTTATACACCAGAATAAGTTTGGGAAGACATATACAAATTAGTCAAACCGTGACAAAATTAAGAAGAATGACATCAATTACAATTGCAAATACACCTATTAGGGCTAAACACCATGTTCATCAATGACAAATTATGACACCATGACACCAATATTTTGTAGGCCATCACAGGCGTGTACGAGGTGTTTACGAGGTGTGTGGGATGGAAAGGCTGCAGCCTGCCTTCCACAGAGAGTTTTTAAAAAAATACCATTATTTTGGTAGTGAGGTGCTTGAATAAGCTCATATTCGCGCACCAGGGACCCATTTCACAAAGCCTTTTTTCAATGACAAATGACAAAAAACAGTGACGAATCAGCTTATAACCAATTAGAAGCAAGGATTTCAGTAGCTTATAACAAAAACTGTCATTTGTCACTGTTGACAAGTTTTGTGAAACGGGGCCCAGATGAGTAAATATGATCAGGTTTGGGCAGCTAGAGCCTAACTATGTGATTTTTATATCCTATCTAATGTTCTTTGATGATGAAATGACATTTTTGCCATAATAAAGTGACATTATTTCACTTGCTTGCAAAATTGAGAAACTTTAAAACTGATATTCATGCATGCATAAGGCACCAGTCCCAAAGGAAAAATGTACCCAGATACCCACGTTACACATGAACATGTTATAAATGAAATATTAAAAGACAAAGTAAAACCATCTTCCTTCCAAATAAACGTTTGTGCAAAATTTGCAAAGTCTTTACTTTGCAAAGTTAAATCATATTTCACTAAATTTTACCCTGTTTCTTGGAGTAGCGTTGAAGGTCTAATAACCTTAACAAAATGCGAAATACAAGGGAAAGGAGTGGAAAAAAAGAAGAAGAAATTATGGATTTTAGAGGATATATTCACAAAAATGTTATGTAGATTATCTAGTACATGTACGTATACTACATACCATAGTGAATTGAGAGAGATAGTTGTGACAAGCGCATCTAGGCGTACACGACATGGGTCATAGGTTAAATCATGGAGCTCCAAATATTTCCCTCCTGTGTACAGTCTCTATGGGAGGGAACTGTTTTGGAGCTTCATGAAATGCCTGACCAATCAGAAGCAAGTTCCGGTGATGTAACTATCTCTCTCAAGTAACTACGGTACATATGAACAGGGGTGATAGTGAGCACTTTTTTTTCCCCTCAACCACCCCCTTGAGTAAAAAAATAATAAGAAGAGGATTTGGGGAAGAAATAAAATGGCATCTAACAATATTCCCCCCTTTTGAGTAAGAAAATAGTAGAAAAATCTGGAAAAATCAGAAAAACAGGGGTAAAATCGGGAATTTAAAAGAAAGAGAAAAAAATTGATGGAAAATTTTTTTAAAAATCAGGGAAAAAGAAAACAAATCAGGAAACCGATTTCAATTGGGTAATTACCAGGTATGACGTACTCACATCAATGTCCTTCATTCACACAACTTTCATTTCATGCCTCAATCTTTGAAAGGAATCTGTTTATTATATTGCTTTCTTAGCTACTTACCCGTCAAAATCATTGGGGGCGGAGTTTAGAGGTTGGTACACGGTTGATTTTCTGCAAAAATTGCGGACTTCTTTTATGACCTGCCGAACCATCAGCTGTAAAAGAAGACAAATTTTTAGTGAATTCATCACTAGCCCTTCAAACAAGCCCTTCAAACAAGACACCTGCCTTTCATGTTTGGTGATGCTCATTTGCAACATTTTTTTTATTTGATTTGATTTCTGCATTTTTCCAAATATAATATACCAGTAACTGAATAATAAAGAACATATAAATGTAAGGTATAATACTATACAAACAATAATTTCTGCATGTCAAAATGTCTTTTTTTTACATCATATATGTACTTATAATAACAAAACTTAATATTTCCATAAGATATTATCATAAATTTAAAGTATTATCCGAACTATTTGTTGAAAGAGTGAAGGAGACCGCAATCATGAGTGATGCTTGAAAAGGATGGTGGCCTAAATTAATATTTATTTATCCAAAAGAAATTAACAAATATATCAGGCCTTGTATGAACCTGAACAGGCTCAGATCTCTTACGTATATATCTTTCTGTTGGAAATGAAATAAATATGAATTGAATAGCTGCGATATAAGATGTGCTTAATATCAACTCTTTATAAGAAAGGCCCAGGTTACCATGCATAAATAAGAAACAATATTATATTCATCATTATAGTAACTATATGATCTAACATGAACATAGTATGATAATAATTATCAAATTCATAAATCAACTTACCAAAGCTCCAACTATTTCTGCAGCAGCCAACATGAGAAAGACCTTATACCAGCCTTCTGCATCGTTGTTAGGGTTTAAAACACCAGTGAGAAGGGGGCCTACAGCTGCCCCTATCGTCCCAGTACCATCTATGATTGCTGAGACTGTTGCCAATGCTTTTGCATTGCCTTTTAAAGATGGATGTGTACCCTATTCACAATGAAAAGAAAAAATTGCAATAACACATTATCAAATCCGTTATATTAAACAGCAAGAAGTGAGCCCAAGCTGCCCCTATTATCCTAGTATCTACATGTACATGTACAGCCACCCCTTGAAATAGGCCATTTATGTAATGTAATCAAATTTAATACACAAATCTATTCTAAGTGTCAGATACAAATTATTTCATTCAGCTGTTACAAATAATAGCAATTGAATACAAGTAGTCAGAATTCAGATTGCATACATTAGTTGTTGCTAGGTAGGACAAACATAATGGTTTGTCCCACCTAACACCAAGTAATATATGCGATTCGCATTCTGAATATTGAAATACAATTATTCGTAACAGGTGAATGCAACAATTTGTATCAAGGCACTTAAAGGCATCGTTTAGCAATGTTGAATCTTAAATGCATGGCCCAACGTGTGATCAGTGTCTGTGATATGGCGTTAATATTGTAGCCCTGAAAAAATTGCGCTTCAAAATGATCATGAAGTGCTTTAACAAAGTAAAAATCTTGGAGAGACCGGTTTTACCATACTCATTTTTCCCAATATACTGTAATGTTATAAAAACCGTTAGGTAAACGCAAAATGAAATTTTTATTCCCAATCATAAATATTTTGATAATCAGACAGGCGATCGACTTGTAATAGTCATGGAATTCCTGACTGACCTAAAGGATTTTTATTATGATTGCAGCATGAGCTAAATCCAGGATTTTGTTTCAGAATCTTAGGCAATGTTACTGAGTCACTTTAAGAAAAAATGTGGTTACATTATGAAAATGGCCTATTGAGAAGAAAGCTACTTGATAACATCACACTCACCAGATCTGCAGATACTGCTGTTGTTATCAGAGCATATGGTCCATTTACAAAGAACCCTGTTATAGCCATCAGTGCTGAAAATAAAAAGTATGAAGATTAAGACTACAGCGTATACTCTTGGTTACATAACACTCTAACAAATAGTTTGACGAAACGTAACAAGATTACCAGTACTATTTAAAGCCTGTCTGCACTACTTGTAGCTATGTGCGCCCTCTATATATCAAACAACGCCTATAAAGCGGTACCCATTGGTCCCCAATGATCCCCTTTTTCTTATGTTAATTGAGAGCTGATTTGATGAGATATCCAACCGTCAGTGATGATGCACGGAGGTCTAATCCCTCCTGGCCAAACTAGTGCAGACAGGCTATAACCTTTGTTTTTCTGCTGCGCAATTTGATCTGAAGGATTGAGAATAGCTAGGTAATATCGGGTCTAAAAACAGTCAGACCTGTCTTTAGTGGCCACCTCTCTAGCAAAGCCACCAGTATGTAGTGGCCACGAAACAAGGTTTGGAATTTCTTTTAATAAGCATGTGAAAATTGATTTGTCCTGATTTAAGTTTCTTGAAAATGTGACATATTAAAGCCTACATGTACATCTAAAAGTATTCAATGAAGCCCCTAATTCAACCAGTCCACCTTTTATTCTGGAGTTTCACTAAACAAAACAAAACTAAACAAAACACTAAAGACATGAAATTTACCAGGAGTATGAATAATTCAGTAGTTTATAATACATATACATGTATAAAATCAATTAAACAAAAGGGTATATACTTACTTATACTGACTGTAAAACTAATATATCCATATGCATTATAGACGTAAACCTGGAAGAAAAACAGAAAGGAACTATAATTATATCAAGTTTAGTCACATATTGACAATTTTAGATCATTTCTTTGGCGGTGTTGGTAATTGCACTTGAAAACAACATCATTTTTGTTGTTCTTTAAGCCTCGGTCACAAATGCCATTACGAACTGCTACGAACGCCGTACGAATGATTTTCACACAATGGAAATTCGGGAAGACAATGGAAAAACAGGGAGATTTGTACGAAATTATCGTTCATACGAACCTTTGTGACCGTAGCATTAATTACATGTTGTAAGCTATGATTACCAACATGGCCTCATCAATGGTCAAACCATTGATGTTCATCATACATGTACTAGATAATACTACAAAGATAGCACAGGAAGCATAATCAACATGTGCATGGAAATTGATATACATGTATGATCCATGATGCAGTCCCAAAAGATGAGAAATATATTTACTCACAATATTTCTTAACCCATTGGAGAGGCTTAGTTCAGTACTGATTAATAAAAATAATAAATACAGTCAAGCCTGTGTTAGTGGCCACCCGACTTTAATGACCATGCATTTTCATCTCCCACAGGTAGGAAATGTGTGTTGTAGAACCTGCCTAGAAAGTCCACCTGTCTACAGGGACCACTTTTTCCGTTTCCCTCCAATGGCCTTAATAGACAGGTTTTTTATCTTCCATGAGAGAGGAATGAGTATTGTAAAACCTGTCTAAAAAGGCCACCTGTCTACAGTGGCCATTTAACAGATTTGACTTTGATTTTGAATATGAGACAGTTCATGGTCAGCTGGTGAAATTACATGTAAAACTGTCATCCTTATTTGAAGATGACTTACTGAAGACAGGTTTTATCTCCCACTAGAGAGGAATGTGTGTTGTAGAACCTGTCTACAGTGGCCACTTTTCCTTTTTTTCCCTTGGGTGGTCTTAATAGACAGAATTTTATCTCCGAGAGAGGAAAGTGTATTGTAGAACCTGTCTAGAAAGGCCACCTGACTACAGTGGTCACTTTTTCTGTCTCCCTCATGGTCTAAATAGACAGGTTTGATTGTAACTTTGAATAAGAGACAGTTCAGGGTCACCTGGGACCTGTTTCACAAAGCCTTCTTTCAATGACAAATGACAAAAATCAGTGACAAATCTGGTGATAACCAATCAGAAGGAAGGATTTCAGTAGCTTATAACAAAATCTGCCATTTGTCACTGATGACAAGTTTTGTGAAACGCCACCCTGGTGAGAGTAAAACTGTCGTCCTTATTTTGATGACTTACTAAAGGTGCAGCTATAATTAAACTGATGAAAGAAACGGTGGCGCTGCAGTCTGCCATGTCTGATAGGAAACCAGCAAAGATTCCCCCTAGGATTCCACCAACGTCAAACAGAGTTGAAAGGTCGGCGGCTCTCTCGTCAGTCACATGGGCTGTAGAGTGAGAGGGTGAAAGAGAGGGAGAGAGGGGGAGGGGGGAAGAGGGAGAGAGAGAGGGAGGGAGAGGGAGAGAGAGGGAGAGAGAGAGAAAGAGAGAAAGAGAGAGGGAGAGAAAGAGAGAGAGAGAAGGAAAGAGAGAGAGAGAGAGAGAGAAAGAGAGAGAGAGAGAAAGAGAGAGAGAGAGAGATGGAGGGAGAGTGGAGGGAGAAAGAGAGAGAGAGAGAGAGAGAGAGAGATGGAGGGAGAGAGAGGGAAGATGGAGGGAGAGAGAGGAAGTGGGAGGAAGTGGGAGAAAAGGAGAGAGAGAGAGAGAGAGAGAAAGAGAGGGATAAATAAGTAAATAAAGGAGAATGTGTAGAGTAATATATAGAGGAAAGGGACAGTAAGACATAGAGAGATCAGTAGGTAGAAAGAGACAGAGGAATTAGAGAGATCATCAGAGACAGAAATAGAGAGAGGGAGAGAGAGAGATATAGATATAAAGAGAGGCAAGGAAAGGGATGGAGAGAGAGAGAGAGAGATAGAGAGTAATTTACATGAGACAATTGTTTACTTTGTAAATCGAACTTGACCCCAACTACAAATCTCATTTAGAAAGTATACATAGTAAGGCTACAAAAGTTTCTTTTCCCACACATTATCAGTAGTACCAGTAGGCCTATTGTATGCAAATTACTCACAGCAAAATATCTCCCAAGTTAAATCTGATAAGTACTTATAACCTACCATATATACACAAATCACTGAATCACTTAATGCAAGTTTGTTGGTATGCAACATGAATACCAAATTGTATAGTAAAGCTGCAATAGCTTCTGCTTGAAATTGCTCTTCTTTCAAAATCAGCTTTAAAAATACAGTTATAAAGATAATCCACAATGAGAGACTACTATTTTATTTGTACTCAAATGTGTACACCTTCATTCCTGCCTTTAAAAGGGAAGTACATTCGATATTAAGTTGATTTTTATAAAAGCAGAAAAAAGAGAGAAACAAATTGAAATATACAAAATAGGAAAGTTATGAATTTGTAGTATTTGTCATCGGAGAAACACAACTTTGCAACACTGTGAGGTATCACGCATGCTCCTCTCTAAATTGCACAGTACAGAAAATTTGTTAACTTTCATTAACTTAGTTATTGGTGACGGAATAGATTTTTTTCCATACAGGAGTTGTATAAAAACGTATTTGCATTTTGCAATAATTATATTTAGGGTAAACATATGATTAAAAATTTTCGAAGGTAAAATATAGATTTTTGAGCCACTATCAAACATACAAACAGAGCAAGATATACAGTGTATATAGGTGATTGATACACTTTAAATTTCATTTTGATCCTAGACTATGTTTCATATAAAAGTTGTTTTCAATAAAAAAAAAAAAAAGAAGCTAAATATTCTCTGACAAATTAGCTCTCAGCCAATCGGATGCCATAATTACAGTAGCTTTATATAGAGTGGTGAAGTGTGACATCATCAACAAATTATTTTTGCAATTTCTCAATTTTTTTTCTTCATTTTTCGGTTATGAGCCAGAGCATTATAACAGCTATAGGAAATCTATTTATTCAGATGGTCATATCTCAGCCAATACAGGTGTGTACTTAACATATTCAATTGGTTTTAGACATTTGGACATTATTTTTGATGATCTTTCGGAAAATGAAGACAAAATTGAGAAATTCCAAAAATAGATTTGTATGATGTCACAGCTTCGGTACTCCATAACAGTCACTGTAACAAGCTTGTTATTGATATCAATTTTTATGGAACAGAGCCCAGGTTTGATAGTACATATACACAGTGACTCACATGTTGAATGAATGTACGCAGGTAACCAATACAGGAATGTGTAGCTGACTAGTTTGGCAAAGAAGAGACAGAGGGAGAACTCGATCACACCCTGAAAACAGAAACAAAACATTAATGATATTAGTAGCAAATTAGTTTCTATGTTTTATATTATAAGGCCCTCTGCTACTTACATGTACAACAATCCCTGATTACTAATGGGTCCACTCAAGAGAAGACAAAGTATATACAAAATAAGTCTTAAAGGGGAAGTCCACCTGATTATTAAATTGGTTTACATACATGTAGATGTAGAAAAATGGGAGGAACAAGTCAGTAAAAGCTTGAGCAAAATGTATGAACTTTGGAAGTTGCGATGGATCAAAAAAAAATTGGCAATAGAAATAGAAATTATTTATTAATAAAATTTTTATCCCAGCCAAACAAAATACATACAGTCTATTCCAGTCACGACTAACATACAATAATATCCAGGTACACAAACTATAGTTTAAGAACATACAAATCAAATAGTCAGTGTTTGCCTAGACATTTGGAGAGTTAGGTAAATGTGATGTTTAGGATCAAAGTGAGAAGCATAGGTCAACTGTTTCGCACTAGTTTAGGATAATTTCTCATGAAATAAAATCTGTTCATCAGAACTCAAGTTTAGCTTCACAGGCCCTTTGGTATTTTGGCAAATGTTTGGAGAAAACAAGTAGAATAAAGAATATGCAAACAGTGACAGGTAAAACAGAAAACAATCTTATCAGTACTCTGGTAACTATGTTTAACTTGAGCCCTGGTTATCAGAAATAGGATACACAGATACAGTCCTATGTGGGTTATACCCTCCAAAACACTTCCTTTATAGGCTATTCTTACTAGAGCTGGGTTCACATGAGAGTCCACAAAATTAAATTTTTGATTTTCAAAGTGAGATTGATGTGTATTTGTTACTAGAGCCAGGTTCACATGAAAGTCCACACAAATAAAGCTTAGCTTTTGCTTCATTTGAGAGTCCACAAAATTGAAGTTTACCTGTGCCTCTCTGCTTGGTCAGACTTATTTTTTTACATGTGCAATTCCATGATATCCGGAAACAGTTAAATAATCTCAAAGCATTTGGTGATGATAGATACATTGTGGCACAGGAAGATTACTTGTGAGGCATATACAGAGTTTAAAGGGCTTGTAACAAGACTGAACTACAATATTTGCGGGGAGCTTCTCAAGGCTCATCATATTTTTCTCTTTGAGAAATACGGATCCACTCACTGGAATTTGAAGAGCTCCCCAAAATGTGATTGCCTTTATATCTTCTGGTTTAGCCTGTTCCTCTCTCCTCGAATGAACTGCTTCTCCATCATCTGAATATTCATTCTAAGAAAGAAAAGAAAAAAGGAAGGGAAAACCACTATAAACAAAAAGAAAGTGTAAGATTAATCTTCTTCATCTTTGGATTATTCATTCAAATTATCATAATTGGAAACGCTTCAGGATATAAATGAAAGGAAATACAGTCAAACCTGTCTATTATGGCTGCCCAAGGGAAACACAAAAAGTGGTCTTTGCAGACACGTTCCTTTTAATAGTACATGTTTCAATGAGAAACTCTTTTCAAGGGAAACAAAAAATGTAGTCTTTGCCCGGCCCCCCCCACTCCGAGAACGGACGGACCCCATGCGTGTTACCAAAATGTCCTTTCGTAACAAAAGAAAAAGGTCGAAACGTATTGACTTTACACACCGGACTTTTGCTGAAAAGGGGGGGGGGGGGGGGGGGTGCTGAAAAAGGCTTGTATAACAAAAGAAAAAAGGTTGACCCGTATTGACTTTACACTCCGGACTTTTGCTGAAAAGGGGGGGTCGCTTGGAACACGCATATGCGTACCCTAAATAACACTGAGTGGGGGGGGGGGGGGGGGGCGGGAGTCTTTGTAGACAGGTGGCACCAGGTTTGACTGTATACAGTTATATCAATCATAGGAGCCAAATACTGTTTCTCTTTCAACTTCAACATCCTAACAAGGTCTGTGTGTCATTTGAACAGGGCTATACTGAAACTACATCATTTTAACATCTTAATTTGCCTGTTAATTTAGTCTAAATGTCGACAGACTTTCATGTATCAACATGCACAAGAAGGTCATCACAATCAAGTACATGTACGCATGATATAGCAATATACTGTATACAATGACATAATATAACAAATAATATAACAATTCGGAAGCAGTAATCAAAATGTGAATTACCATCCACACCCATAGTTTACATATTTGTACAGTTTACATTAAATCTATTATTGGATTGTTTTTTTGGCAGGATGTTTCATAATGGGTTTTTTGGGTAGACTTTCTCTATAGAGATTAACTTACTTTTGTCCAACCATGATGTCACCTCAATCAATATTTTGGATTTGAGTATCAATCAAGAAAAATATTTAGAAGTTCAGTATCACCGTACCATAATATTTTGACAATGAACAGGTGAAAAAGAGTTGACAAGCATGTGCCCATGTCTCATGCATGTACTAATTTACTTCTTTAAATATATCTGGTGGATTCTTCAATTTTTTGCTTTGATAATGAAGAAATGATATCAATGATACTTACAGGATCAGGGGATGGTACCGGTAAACTATTGGTTGGCTTGCAGTCAATATCAGAAGGATCTAAATAAAGAAGAAATAAAAGAAAAAAGAGGGGGGAAAAAAATCAGATTAATTCATTATAGCGCAGCTACTACTGGTATAAACACAACAACAACAACCAAAGAGAATGAGACTGCCAGCTCAGGGGGGTGTTTCACAAAGCCTTTTTTCAATGACAAATGACAAAAGTCAGTGACAAATCTGCTGATAACCAAACAGAAGCAAGGATTTCAGTAGCTTATAACAAAAACTGTCATTTGTCACTGATGACAAGTTTTGTGAAACACCCCCAGGAGACTCTAAGGGAAGCAGTGTTTACATGTATGCAGACAAGAAGGAATAGAAATTAAATGTCTGAACAAACACTTGACCATTCCAAAGCTAGCTAAGAGAAGGTTATGTCTTTTCCCGATTGGTCAGTCATTTTATTGAGCTCCAGAAAGTTGACTCCCATAAAGATCGTACATGCAAAGGAAACATGTAGAGCTTCAAAGACCTTTAAAGGGGGGTGATGGCTCAGGTGTAGAGTAGTGGTCTCATTACCGGTAGGTCCCGGGTTAAAAACCAAGTCAATGCGCTAGTGCCCTTTCAAATAAAGGTATTAATCCACATTACCAAGGCCCACGGAGAGGACTTAAAGCCGTCGGTCCCTTGGCTGCTCACTCACAAGAATGCTAGTTCTTTTGCAGTCTGGTAAAACAAACAAATCAACCAATAAAAGATAGCTTCGTAATTTGACCTATGACCGCGGTTACACACGTGCATACATGTAAGTGCATATTACAACTATCTGTCTCAGTACGCTCTGGACCATTCCATTCATATCCTGGGGGTGTTTCACAAAGATCCTAAGTTGAACTTATCTCTAAGTTGGACTAATAGAAAGCCAATAGCATCTTTGAAAATATTTTATAATTTATTTTAAAAGGCATAAAATGTTGATTCAAATCATTCATATTTTCTATTATCATGGGAGATTTCATGTTCTTGACGTGGAATTTATGAAAAGTCAAAAATACTTGAATTTTTACTTTTAAATATATTTCATTATAAGACTACAAATGGCTCTCCATAATTTTCAAGTCCAACTTACAACTTAAGTTTGACTTAGAATCTTTATGAAAAAGCCCCCTAGAGTGGTTTACTTACAAACTATGAGGAAGAGGAAGATGATGACCCCCATCCCCCCGATGATGAAACCGGGAACGACGAAGGACCAGCCCCAAGCTTTGTCCACGAATATCCCTGCCACCAGAGAGCCTAAGATGTTCCCGAGGCTGGTGTGGGTGTTCCAGACACCCAAAATCAGTCCTCTCCTGTTTGGGGGATAATTCCAAATAATAATAATAATAATAATAATAATAATAATAATAGCTGACATCTATAATGCACCTAATACTTTGTTTCTAGGCGCAGCACATAATTTTACCCTGGTCATCGGATTCAGGATTACCCGCAACACAATGCAAGCACATTTTCCACTCCCAGGGGAACATTCCAGCCTGTCGCCATTTTACAAGCGCCACTTGCTAATCCAACCACATTAACTTTCTCATCCTACCGGGTACCCATTTAGCACCTGGGTGGATAGTGGCAAATGTACATCAATGTCTTGCCAAAGGACATTAGTGCCGCGGCGGGACTTGAACCGAGGACCTTGCGATCGACAGTCCGGTGACGTATCCACTCGACCACAACACCTCTAAAAATGTGACGAGGGATCTAGGGCAGGAATTTGGGGTACCTTTTTTATTTGAGTTACCTCTCAAATTTTGGATGGGCACCCAGGTCCCCCAAAATGATATAACAAAAAACACCTGCTAGATCTACATGTTCCTATAAACATGCTTACATTTGACCATTTGTAACAGCAAATTATCTCCAGGGCCTTTGTCTTGTAAGAGTCAATATCAATTGCAACTTATTTACAATTGATATCAATCACAACTACATGTATGTATAAAGAGATAGGAGTCTGCAAATTTGTGATTAATTGGAGGACTTGCGATTGATTTGGATCAATCGTAACTCTTAGTAAGAAGGGGCCCAGATATACTTGCATACCTTGGTTAATATCGGAATATCTCACATGACATTATATTTATCCATATTTGTTGATGTTTAGTGCTACTTTCATGCTTGTGAAGGTAAAGGGGTAAAAATAGAAAGGGAACAAGCTTGCCACCATTTCGATTCGTGCAGGCTGAAAACAATCAGGTTGAAAAAAAGAAGGGCTAAAAAAAAAATTGTCCCAGCTCTAATAGGACCTGAACATCATCAAGACCCAGTTTACAGGCACAAACCCTCTTCACTCACAACATGTAACAGAAGGCACAGAGAGGCTGAAAGGTGAGACTACTGTAGATAGAAACAGCACTTGAAATCCTAACTATTAATATCTTATGAGTAATGATAAATCATTAAAAAATTAAAAAAGGCCGGGTGAAGCAGTTCACCCAATGTATAGTTACTTTTCACAAAAAAGGAGGTAAGTGGGCATTTTAGGCCAGATGCTAGTTTAACACAACACACTAAAAACAAATATAGTGTACTTGAGAGGGAAGCTTCCCCTGAAAACCCATGTACATGTACGAAACAAAAGTCCTCTAGACTGAAACTTACAAACAAAACTTTTCAGTTTCTATACATGCACAGAAATGAAAATACACACGTCAACCACTTCAATTTCTATCACAATTTCTTTCGATTGTCAGTTTATCATGACTCATGAAATATTAATAGGTTTGATTTGATATGATTTATGATAAAAAACATTCAAATAGCAGCCAGAGGCTAAAACAAATTGAATTTACAAAAGATACATACAAAAGCATAACAAATATAAATGGCAATTCACAATGAATAATCAAGGATAGGATAACAGAAAAGAAAGAGAAACAAGAGAAGAGATTGAAACGGATGACTAGAGGATAATAGAAGGAGAACGAGTATCAGAAGGCAATAAGACAAATGTGGTAGAAGATTAGAAGGACTGGTAAGACAATAAGAGAGAGAGAGAGTAGAGAAATGAGGTTGAATCTGGAGAGCAGTTTTTGGCTAGCCTCACATGTCAGGCTCTCCTATGCTTGTGTCAAATCAACTTTATCTGTCAAAAAAATAGTAGATACTGTTGGTTGCTTGCAGGAAGGCTATTACCGCCATTGACAATAACCCTTTCATTTGATATCTACACTGTTGCAAACCAATCACCTCTTTTCATAAAATGATTGTGCCAATATGATTTATCATTATTATCATTACTATTATTACTTTATTATTATAATTATAATGATAGTCATTGTTATTTTATTATTATCATTATTATTATTATTATTATCGTTATTATGATCATCATCATCATCCTCATCATTATTTTTATTCTTATTGTTATTCTTATTATTATCATTATTATTATCATCATTAATCATTATCATTATCATTATTATTATCATTATCGTCATTATTATATTCTTTCTTATACATTACTAGTCACGTTCTGCATGAGCACTTACCTTCCTTTTCCAAACCAGTTGGCAACTATCGCCACCACGCTCGGCCATCCGGTAGCCTGAAATAGACCACCTATGATCTGCATGACAATGATGATGGTGATGGTAGTGATAATAATAATGATGATGATAGTGATACAAACAATCCACAAAGTACCTTACCTTCCTTTTCCAAACCAGTTGGCGACTATCGCCACCACGCTCGGCCATCCGGTAGCCTGGAATAGACCGCCTATGATCTGCATGATGATGAAGTAGTAGAAGCTATGGATATTCCAGAAGTAAGCCATGCCGACCATCGCCGTCCAGAACCCGGAAGCGATCATCCCGAACGACAGGAAGTACCGCAAATCCACGCGCTCACCGATGTGACCACTATATGGAATATCAAGAGAAAGATGGATACATTAGAAGTTCTGGGCCCTGTAACATCTTTAAAAAAGTGATTAATTGCATGTTCTCAAATTGATAGCATCTCATTATTCAATCGCAACTTTACATCAATGGCAACTAAAAAGTCCATTTAAAGTAGAGATGCAATTACTTGCTGCAAGATTGGAGTTACGTTACATTTTCTTACTATCGTTGTAGGTCAATTTTTATGTTACAGGGCCTTGATCATGTTAACCCTATCTAGCCCGGGGGGGGGGGGGGGCCTTTAAAAGCCCCCCCTCCTCGACATTTTTCGCGAAAATTTTTTTAACAAAAAAATTATTGTACTGAAATTTTGTGACTTTTTTCTTTCGAGTCATGCGCATCTTTTGAAAGAATTTTTTTTGAAAATCGGACCTACTGTACAACCATTACAAAGTCACGTGTCCTTTTGTCTTTGCATGTCAGCCCGAAAATCGCTCATTTTTGTGATTTGTGTACAAAACATATGGAAATCTCATTTTTCAAATAAAGAGATAAAAAACATTGGCTATTATAGTTTAGGTGTTTATTTTGGGGTCAAAATAGTTGAATTATAGTTGGAAATGAAACAACAAAAACAAAGAAATACATAAGAAATTATCAAAACAATAGATAACATAAGGAATAACCTGGCTCTTCCAATTTTGTTGGCTGTATTATTATCCCAAATGATCTAAATAATATAAGTCATTTCACGGCCGAGATCATGGGGGGGGGGGGGGGCATAGAAGCCCCCCCCCCCCCCCCCCCCTCATTGTAAAATCGATCAGAAAAGGTTGATCATCTAGCATAGATGTACTGCAAGGTTCTGGAATCATCCAAATGATAAGAAATTTGCCCAAGTCTTCATAAAGTTAGAATCACTGTACACAGAAAGATGTATATGGGACTACACAGTACACACACGTGCGCGACACATGCATTTGTATCTCTCAACAGGTGAGAGATTTACCAAATATATCAATTAGTAGGTGGTTTCCCGTCAACATTTTTATCATGTATTATTCAAAACACATTCTTTCACATGATTGGTAATAAGAGCTTGCATTTCATTTTTGAAATTGGGGCGTTTCCAATACTGGCCTTTACCTTTAATTGATAATGCCAATTTCTTTGAAGTATATTATTTAAATGAAAACTATTACCAGTAAATAAATGATATACATCATTGAAACATTTTACATAGAATTATCATTAAAAACGTAAATAAATTTTGGATTAACTCTGTTTTCATTGTCGATATACATGTAGGTCATAATATTTGGGAAATAACTTCACAATGCAGAAAAAAAACATCATTTAACTGCTAACCGAACGAAAAGGGTTGGCTTTCCAATGACCTTTTAAAAGTACACGTAATCTACGAGGTGTGTACCTTACAAACATTCCAACAGCGTAGGCAAACAGGTAGGCATAGTCCAGACTCCCTAAGAGTATGTTGGCATTTCCACCACCTGAAAAACAACAAATGATAACAAACAGGTGTTTACAGTATGTACTGTACGTACTACATGTATTATGGTAAATGAAATTCATTGTATTTAAAGGCCCACTGTACCACTTGTAGCTACAGTGTACTTGCTCCCTCTATATAGAAACAATGCCTAATCGGTGACCATTGTTTCCCCATGATCCTCTTTTTCGTATGTTAATTGAGAGCTGAGTTGATGAGATATAGCCACATGTCAGTGACCTTCCTGTGTGGTCTAATCTCTCCTAGCCAAACTAGTACAGATGGCCTTTAATGTATCCATTATCAAAGGCCATTTAATAAAAGAGGAAGTTGAGTTCTGGTAAATAAGAAAAGAAAAATTTCTAAGGCTGTGCACAACAGTGTAATGAGGTACCCGAGTACACTCCTATGTTTACAAGCGAATACTCGAGTATTCGGACGCCATGTTTTTTTTTTGTTTTTTTTGTTTTTTTAATTTTTTTTAATTTTTTTTTAATTTTTTTTTATTATTATTATTATTATTATTTTTTTTTTTTGCCACCACCATACATACAACTGGAGCAGTATCCCAGTTCTGTCGCCGAAAACGCATGCAATTTTACTTTGAGTTGCAGTTGAAGGCGCCGATTTAATAATAATAATAACAGTGAACAATGCTGTTTTAAAAACCAAGGATGGCAGAATAATCCATTTTCCTCCAAGTCCAAGCAGAAATCCAGACATTTGGTCCCAGTTTCTGAGTGGTGAGTTTGACAGTGCTTGTGTTGGGAAACATTTTTACCGACGGCACCATGCCAGCGGCCGCCGCTCACCCAGGCACGGGTAAGCGTCGGCCTGGACATTTTTTTTGCGGCCGAATATTCGGGTACGAGAAATCGTACCCGAGTAGTTGTCAACCGTGCGGGTACTCGAGCATTCGACTACCCTTCACAGCCTTAAAAATTTCTCATATGTTAGTTTGGAATTTCATAGCAGAAATGTCCTTTGATTTGAATATAGGATTTCGAGTGACTTGATAATCAAAATGATAAGAAATTGCTGAAAAGTTGCAACCAAACATAATATAGCTTCAAGTCACATAGATGTACACATTTCAGTGTGCAGTGCGTGTGATCTCCTGCAAGGCCCAATTTAGTGTCAAAAACAGAGTAATGTGAGAGAAGAGTTTCCTAAAATAATTGGAACAAGGTCAATGCTAATCACATGAGCCAACTATGACAGCCATTCAGATTTTATCGTGCTAAGTGTTGCGCTAGTCTGCAGTCATTAAACCCTTTCCACTTGTCATACATGTAGACCAGTTTGTGTGCAGTTACATACATGTACATACATACAGTACAAATTAATTAGACTGGATAGTCTTTGTGTAGTTGTCGATCAATAGATCACCATACATGCCAACATTTGAAAATCAGAAATCTGTACAAATTATGCTATTTAAAAAAAAAAGAGGAACAATCCTAACTCTCCTATTCAATACTACAGACAAATTTGTACAGGAAGAGGAACACCTGCATTAAAATGATAATTATCTTCTCCCAAAAAGAGGAATGTTCCTCTTTAATCTGAACAGTTGGCATGTATGGATCACTACAAGCCTATTTCATGTTTACAATATAACAACATAAACACATTTTCTAGTATTCGGGTATGTAGTCAACAGTTATGACAAATTAAGCAAGACAAAAAGTTACATGGTGATTTTACACAAACCTGGCGCTATTACTATTAGCCTGTGAAAAAATGATTTGCATACATTTATGTACAATTTGCACATTTGTTTACAAGTACAAACGGTGACCGACTGTACGATGGGCCTTAGAATTAATGCTGACACATTGGCCTAATTTGCATGCGAGCCTGAACTGTCTAGTTTTGGCCTCTGTGTACTAAAATTACTGGTAGCCTACAGGACATGTACTGTACAGTACTGTAGGCCTACTTGTATGATAGATATATGGCACAGAGGATAAAAGCTTTTGCTAAATGCTTTTGGTGATGACTTTGTTTGTAGACAATGCAGGTACTGTCCTACATTGTACACGTAGTTGGCAAACTTTAGAAAGCTAGCCTTTTAATAATTAGATTGATTTATATAGTGCAGCTACTACAGTGTATTGTAAGTATACCCAGGGACATGCTATACTCTACTGTGCTGTTATGAAAACAAAACTCCTATAACGGTGCTACTTTACAAACACACATTTAATCAGATTTTTTCTTCGAACTATTCAAAAAGGTCCTGAAACAGTGGGTCTGCAACAAAACTTTGAAGCTTTGAAACTTTGTCTCCTAACTATTTCTTAGACCTAAGATGTTGTGTCTGTATGGAGAAAGAAGGATGTTACATGTAGTTCATACAGAGTTTAAAGGTACTATGTCCCTTTTGCAGCCAACCTCAAATTCTGTAGAACTTCGCAGGAATTATGAATATGTCATGTATGTTCTATCTGTGAAAATTTAAACGTTAGCAGTGTCCTCATATTCAAATTATGCAAGGAAACCTGTTTACTTGCTAGACTTCACTGTCAGACACTGTTGAATGACTGACTGGCCTTTTTTCTTCTTTGGTAATAACACACATGAAAAGAGTTGTAAAGTGTACATGAGCATTTGTCTACATCAATAACCCACTTCTTGTGATGGCCAAGATTAAACTGATTGAATCTTTGCGCAGCATGAAACGTATGACCATTTGGTACAATTGTCTGAAAATCAAGACTATTACTTTTGGGCTCTATAGCCCTAAAGTCGATTTGACAACTAATAGTCATTATTTTCCCACTTGAAGACATTTTCAAGCCCTACCTTTTTTAGGGAAGTTCTAAATTGGTATTATCTTTCAAATGCAGTTGGAATTTAACTTTTTCATTTTTTGGGCCTGCAAATGGGACATACTGTAGTACCTTTAACACCCTTTACTTATGGCTCTGAACAGACAATATCTCTTCAAAAGGAATTTGGGTGGCAGTCCACTTTGGCTAGCAAAATCGGCAGGAAAACAATTGGCTTAACCTTGACCTGTACATGGGGGGGGGGGGGGGGGAGAGATGCCTCTAGAATATATTACAATAAAAAGCAATTAAGAAATCTTAATCTCTTGTCAGCTTCATATCAAATCCATATCGAAACCCATACTTCAAACAATGCCCTGTAGGATATACATGTAAAAGCATTTGCCCTTTTATTGTATTCCAAGGATGAGTAATCACTTGATATGACCACTAGTAATACGTTTTTTCAAGTACCCCTATATTCAATTTCAAATGGCCATGTTCCGGAACACAGCAATTTGTTAGCAAAATAGTAATATGTTTACGTTCAGCTGAGTTTTGTAGGTTTTCATGATGGGACTATCATAAGTGCACTTCAGTTGTATGGCAAACACATAGACGTAAGTTTAATAGTCCATAAATGGACTGTTGGTGTTTTTTTGTTTTTTGTTAAGGTTCAAAAGGGGGGCAAAATAAAGGGAAGAATAAGAAATGCTAATGAAATTATTACAAAGCTATGAAGTATTGTGTCTTGAATGAGCTCTGAAAAGAATTTTAAAGCTCAAAGTTAGTAGGGGGTGATCTGTATCGTACTGTATCTACCCGTCAAAATGACTTTCAGTCTATAGAATAGTTTTGAAAGGCTCGTTCATATTAGCAACTGTGTTTGTTTTTTTGTGCTCTAGCTGTTTTGTATATAATGACATCTAGGCGTGATGACACTCCAAGTTTCTATATACTGTAGATCTAATAATAAACATATGGTACATATGAATAGGCCTTTAGTTGCATGCAGCTCCTTTTTTCCATTCCAACTTGCCTTACAAGCATGTTTAAAGATACAGATACGTGAAGTGAATTATAAAAAAAATCAGTTTTTTACTGCATCACATGCAAATGAGTTTACTAAGGTTTTGAATACCGGTGACTTTGGTGTGACTTCCTGGAAATACAGTGTACATGTACCAGCACTCTAGACTTGTTCTAGTGTGTAAGCCTATAGAGTAGGGTCATTCATACTGTCAGCCTATACAGTAGGGGCATTCATACTGTAAGCAAAAACCATGGGCTTTTCTCACATCCAGCAGCTTTCTCTGAAGTTTCTAGGCAACTAACCACAAACAACTGAATAGAAAAACTCACCTCTGGGACTTTATTTTCATTTTCAAATTGAAAACTCCATCAGTTTTTTGCAGGGTAAATGCTTACTTTCAAAACACAGGTGAATTATTCTGATTTTGCAGCATGTGACTCTCACCACTTCTGCACTTTCACATGCAGAGCAAAGCCGAGCCATGAACGGGCACTACTAAAACAAAAAAAGAATTGGCAAACAAATACTGATATTTAAGGGTTAAATTAAAAGAAATGGTAGTTTAGAAAAGAAAACAATGCTTTAAATTGTTTTGTTTGTCAGTGTAAATGGGCCCTAGTATGTGTACACTTACCAAAGGGGGCCCAGCAGCACCAGCAGCTATCGTTAACATTGCTGCTGTTGCTCTCAAAGACGGGAAAGAATGGGATGCTAGCATCATCGTCATCGTACTTGGAGCAGTTTGAGTGCAGAACACCCTGAAAGATGAATGAAAATGTGTTATAAACAGGGGTGATAGTGGGCACTAAATTATTTTTTTTTTTTAAATTCCCCCTCAACCACGCCCCCCTTTTAAGTAAAAAAAAGAAGAAGGAGGATTCGGGGGGGGGGGGGGGGGAATGGCATCCAAAAACATTCCCCCTCTTTTGGGTAGGTAAGAAAATTGGGGGAAAATAGAAAAAATAAGGGAAAATCAGTAAAATCAGGATAAAATAGGGAAGAAAACAACAACAACAACAACAAAAATCAGGGGAAAAAAAATCTGGAAAAATAAAAAAAATAATCAGGTAATTATCAGACCTGTATAAAGTAATCAGCATTCCTAACTCCCTCTTATGAAATTGTATTTATGTTGAGATTGATGAATTCCAATGTTACTGGTTACCAGTAACTTGCTACTATGTCCATCAATACAAACATGTTGTCAGCATGTTACTTATATTGCATCAATAAACAATTGAGAGAGAGAGAGAGAGAGAGAGAAGGATGAGAGAGAGAGGAGGAGAGAGAGTGAAAAAAGAGGGGGATGGGCGAGAGAAAGAGAGGTACAATGTAGGGGGCAGGAGGAGAGAGAGGAAGAGAGAGAGAGAGGAAGAGAGAGAATAAAAAAAGAGGGGAGTGGGGGACAGAGAGAGAGGATAGAGGGGATGAGGAGAGAAAGAGAGACGGACAGACAAACAGCTTGAGAGGATGTAAGTGAGTCAGAGAGAATAAAATAACAAAATCCAACATAACATCTACAGTGAGGCAGGGTAAGAATGTTATTTTTCTAAATGTAGTACATGAAGGGAAATGAAACTCCCAATCTCACAGCACAGGACAAGCGAACCTACAGGATGTTGATGGTTTCCTAACATCCTGCAGGCTTCAACAATGTATTTAGTATAAGAAATAAAGATAAACATACATGTAGAATGTCTGTTTAATACACTCACCTTTACAACCCCAATAGGTTTTCTTGATAGATGGTATGTGGTGTAAGCTAGGAATGTCAGAACCAGGATGTACCCTTTGTACCTGCAAAGGAAATTACAGAAAATCTTCAGTTCTAGTAACGATCAATAATAGTAATAGGTCCATTAATATCTGAAGTAGAGCTACTACATGTATATACTGTACCTGTATACTCTACTGCGCTTAATACAGAGTATAATTATTACCCTGGCGGTAGCTGAGCTGCCATAATAAGGCGCTAGAGCCTAGAGCATTCAAGGAATTTCTTCCTACCGGGTACCTGTTATCCGGGTGGAGAGTGGCAAATGTAGATTAATGTCTTGCCAAAGGACATACATGTAAGTGCTGCATTGGGACTTGAACCACACAAAAAATGTGATCCGAAGCCCTGTTAGATATCCACTAGACTGTGACACCTCTAGACCTAAAAAAAAAACATGTTGAATTACCCTTTAGGTGCCAAAACATAGGTCAGTCGGTCAGAATTTTTTTTAAATCTTTTTTCTTCCGTTTTTTTCTTCTGTTTTTTTCTCCATATTTCTCAGCTTTGAAGGCGTGAATATTTTTTTTCTCTAAAAAACAGAAGACAAAAAAAAGATTTTTTTATTTATTTTTTTAAAGCCGACCATGTAAAGATTTTTGAGTCGATCGCAAAGGGCAATACAACATCTCTTTTTGTAAGGCCCTATGATAAATAATAACAGTATCATACACAATGATCTAACACAATAACAAAATGAACAATAATAGAAAGAAACTGTAATTCAAGCTTTATTATTTACATCACTTGTTTTAATATACATGTACTACTAATATCATAATTCAACTTGGTATTCTAACATTACAAGTACCGTTTATTCCCCTTTACAATATTTAGTGCTTATTTGTAACCATTGCATGTACCGGTACATGTACATGTACAGTATATAACGTGCAGTTCAAATGACTATGGGGCTAAGTCAAGAGAAAATGTTGAAAACACTTTTTTCTTGTCAATAGTAGATCTTTCATTTGTTTGAATGATTGATCTGCAAGGAGTGCCAAATGATTCTGAAAGAAAATGTGTATTTGCTGAGTACATGTGTGTAAATAGACATTCCCTAAATTTTCAGGACTATTGTCAATGCAAGGCAATGTTCATTGGCGAACCATAAACCTAACTTTAACGCTGTCTCATGTTCATGTACATGTACATTATCCATGTTTTCACTATTTTAATTGTTTCTTAACTGAATACTGTAGCCTTAAAGCTATAGACAGCATTAAAACCATCACAATTAATTCAGAACACTCTTTAAATCAGTTTTCTCAAAATGAAGCTTACCGTATACATTATTCAGTAATTTAGTATTGTAGAAGTTTTTTCTGTTTACCGGTATTAGGTACTGTATAAAAAGATTTCATTATTACATGTACATGAAACTTTTTTAGTAATGCACAAAATGTATTAAAATGTAATTTATTATCATCAAGTATCATCTACATAGTACATGTACAAGTTGCAAGTAATAATGATTGGCTTCAGCAGGATTTATTTACTTTGGTGGGATCTGCATGTACAGTGTAGATCAAACAAGTGAGAGTATCTGATCAGAACTTCTGTTTACCTCCTATAACAATACTACACCAAAGAAAAATCAAACACTCATGTGTTATATAATGAAAGGGGCTTCCAGAGTCAGTTTAACAAATTCTTATGTTTAAAGGTAAAGACCAGTATTGGAAACGCCCCAATTTCAAAAAATGAAATGGAAGCTCTTATTACCAATCATGTGAAAGGGTATGTTTTGACTAATACATGATGATAAAAAATTTGCCGGGAAACCGCCTACTAATTGATGTATTTGGTAAATTAGTTTATCTATTGGTGTGTGAGAGATAAACGCACGTGTCGTGCACGTGTGCGTAGTCCCATATACATGTACATCTTTCTGTGTACAGTGCTTGTAACTTTACGAAGACTGGGCCAAATTTCTTTGCAGAACCAGAACCTTGCAGTACACACAAATACTTAATATATGCTACATTGTAGATGATCAACCTTTTCTGATCGATTCCACAACGTTTCTTTCACTTTCACGATAACTGGTCTTTATCTTTAATACTCTTTATTCAGTTGATTGCATATGTTCAATGGGCCAAAAAAGTCTGTTAAGAAGATAGATGAGCCCTAGCTGGCTACTTTTCATGGAATCCTACTTTTTCCCAGTTTGCAGACACGAATCCAGGGCCACATTTCACAAAACATTTTTGTTTTGTTATCAGCTACTGAAATCTTTGCTTCTGATTGGTTCTCAGTCTCACCAGATTTATCACTGATTTTTTATTATTTGTTATTGAAAAAAGGCTTTGTGTAACGGGTCCCACCTTGCGCAACAGATTGTATGAACTAAGAGAATATATGCCGATTGTACTGTCTTTTTAAATGCACCCCATAGGCTTTGCACAGTTTTATTTGACACTGCCAGAAACTGACAGAACTAGGCTCTGCTCAAGACTTGATAGAATTGTCTTTAAGTGTCAAATCAGAGACTGTGCCTGCAGAGTGCAGACTAATTTCATCCTATTGCAATCATGTATATTTGTTCGCATTTTTCCTCTTCAGTGTTCCACTCTCACTTATTTCCCAAGCATATTGAATACCGGATTGATACAGGATTTTTTTTTTTTTTTACATGTAGAGAGTACCAAAATAATAACGCATCCTACAACTAGGAAAATTAGCCTGCCAGAATCCCTCGTCAACCAGTATCAGTTAAAAAATACAGAAAGATGAAAAAATGCACAAAAGGTAAACACAAAAAAGGGCAAATTTGAAGAAGTAGAACTCTACCAAATTGAGTGATTTTTTGTTGTTGTTTTTTTTTTTTTTTTGGGGGGGGGGAAATTAAATTATTGACAAAAACAAATTTTATGCTGAAAAAAAAAATCAAACTCCCTCTGACAAGAAATGGTATTCTGTACACCGGCCATTGTATTAATACTGTGGGCATGGAACAAGGACAGTGTCACTTGATCAGCCATTGTTCCGAGATTGTGCTTCTGCACTTTCAACCCCTGAAATCTGTCAACGTTATCATGTGACGGTTCATATTTCAGGATATTTCAACAACGTCATATGACAGTTCTGGTTGTAAACAATGTACCTACACTTACTGTGGGGACTTCCCCACATTCTCTTGGTGATATTTCTTTGGGTGGGTCACAAGTTTGTATTAAAGAACAGTGCAATGCTCCATACTTTACATTAGTGTTCATACATAGAGAGCTGACCAAACCATGGACATTATATACTGCTGGACCAATTCATTTTTCACATTCATACCGGTAGTCTACATGTACATGTATGCATAGATTTTGTCATCGGAAACCTTGACCACAGGGGAAACCCACTTTCTCTGGAAGCTTGGTATTAGATATGATCATGTGATAGTGTTGACATGTGATCATCATGTGATCATCATGAGGAGGACTCTGAGCTTAAAGACGTGGCTATGGTTACTACTAATGCTATTGTCTTGCTAGGGTCAATTCAACCATTGTCTGCTGAATTCCAGATAAAAAACAGACTGGTCTATGGCTTTAAGGGTTTGTGACTAAGGACGAAAGTGGAATTAGAAGAAAGTGGTATACAGGAAATTACTGGTACAGTAGTCTTTGCAAATCAGTCATTTCAATAGTTATTTAATAGTCTTTAGATCAAAGTCAGAAAGTGATACAGAATAAAGTAGTCTTGTTATCAATATCAGTATCGTTTCTTAAGAAAAAGATGATTACCGGTAATTATTAAATCCAATACACTACCGGTATCTAAAGAAAATATCAATGCAAAATATAACATATTAACATATTGTAACAGATTACACAATATAGCCGAGGGCTATTAAAGGCATGATCTGTACAGTTTTTAGACATTAGATCATTTCCAAAGGGGCTCAAGAAAACATACATGTACAATGTACATGTACAAGCCTACAAGTAATTCATTCATTTTCATTTCATCATTTCATGATCATTTCACAAATTGATTGAAAAGGGAAATGGCATTAAATTGGCTTCCTTTCAAATTGTCCGTCAGTGAATGAGCTATCACGCTAAAGTACTGTACGTTTAATAGAAATGAGAGATTAGGCCCAAAGCCAGTGGCAAACACTAAGACAATGCCAAGCCTCATTAACACAAAAGGTCATGGTACATTGTATTCCTTTTTCAAGTTCATATGGCACTTGTACATGTACATGTAGCCTTATGCAGTACTGGTAGTTAGATGAAAGTTAGATGGAAAGCAAACAACATTCAGGAATGAAATGATTGCAATATATTCACTGAGATCATAACCTAGGCTGGGAACCAGAGCACTTATAACACCGAGTTCACATACATGTAGGACTATTTATTCAAATGGTCATATGTGACCCGGCACCACAAAACCAACAAAAAGTCGCAACCAGCGATTCTCCGTAATCAGCTAAAATGTCAATTTAGGTGAAAAAAATAGATTTTTGTTTTTTTGCATTTTCTGAAAGAGTGGTCTTTTCTGTACCTAGTATCAAAATTTGGAAGTCTAAAACATAGTAGAAGATGTGTTTTAAACGGTTTTTCTAGACCAGTTTTTTTCGCACAGCCTTCGGTCTCTTCCAAATTTTGATCACTTTTCCCGAGCGAAATTATCGTAGTCCGGAAATGGTCGGTCGTTGCTAACGGGTCGTTAAAGCTCTCTTTCTCACAATTTAATACCAGTAACCTCCCCCACCTGCTCTTTTCATTCACTAAATTGAAAGGGTTAGGAAGCTTCAATTTGGACAAGTAATATACCATTTTAATGAGGAGAACTTCTTCTTTCATAATCAGATGAAATCAGGAAAATAATTTTTTGCAACTTGTTGGTGGTTTTGTGGTGCCGGGTCACATATAGTTCTCAGCCAATATATTCAATTGGTTTTCGACAATCAGACATTATTTTGTATGTTCTTTTGGAAAATGAAGACAAAATTGAGAAATTCTAAAAATTGATTTTTGATGATGTCACACTTCACCACTCTATTCTGTTTATGAGGTCTGGAATCTGTAGCAAAGGGTTGTTTCTTTCAAAAATCATGCAGCCTTCTCAAGTTCTCATCCATGTCTGTTTGTTTACTTACAGTAAGAGCCAATGCTCTAAACGTAACATTAGGCCTGTCCTCACTAGCTCGGGATAGCCAAATATCCTGCTAACCTGATCGCAAACTATCCAGCTAATTTGCGTCTTCATCAGCGAGATGTTGCAATTAGCAGGATATTTGGTCATGATTGTCTCCCAAGAAATCTTGGGATAGTTTGCAAAATATCCCACTATTTAGCATAATATATTTGTCCGGTGCGTCCTCACCAGACCGAAGACTCGCACTATGCGCGAACGCTGAGCAAATATCTCAAGCTAATTTCTCAAGGTCGAGTTTCAAGTTTTAAGGTCGAATCTCGAGCTGATGAAGACGCCATTAGTAACCTCTGGATTTTTTCCCAAATCAGAAATAGCGGGCTATTAGGCAATCTTGAGATGATGAAGACGCGCCTAGAGTCTGCATTTCAAGTCTGACACGCCCATCCAGATAACAGGGGGTCTGTAATAGGATTAATAGGGGGCTTGGCCTTGGCCTTACGATGGGGATTAGGGCAGGAGATTGTGTGTGTGGGGGGGGGGGGGGTGTGGATGTCACATGAAGGCAGCCAGAGTAAAGCCTAAAGGAAGTCAAAGTAGAGGGAAACTTCAAGAAGTTGTTTCATGTCGTAAATGTATTGCATTGTAGCGATCTATTCATACATTCTTATTATCATATCAATATAAATTCATTATTACAGTCTACAATGTATATTTTATTATCATCATTATTAATTTATCATCATCACTCTTGTTGTTGTTGTTGTACTGTATGTGTAGACCGTAACCAAACTATAACAAGTAGTATCAATAAGGTCAAAACAAACACTGTCACTAGGTATTACTTTATTATGTTCCTCTTCCTTGTGGGAAAGAGGAAAATCACCAAATTCTTTATTTGATCCACTGGTGATATCAGATTTTTCTAAATCTTACCAACTTGTTTGAGAGATATGGAACTGTCTGTGAATTAAGGTTACACACAGGAATTATGATCACATCCCCATATCTGTACAGGGTCTACATACCATAGTCTAGTCATTCCAAAACCATGAAGGAACAAAATTGTAAAAAATATTGAGAAAGCCACACATCGACCGTGGCCTTCACTAAATATATTTGGAAGTTCCCAGATATTTTTATTATTGTTTAAAAAAGAAGAAGCTACATTCTAACATTGTCTACTACATTGCATGTAAAATTAAAGAGGGAACAGACAAACAAGGGGCAAGTTAACTTTTGAAACATGTCAAAAAGAATGACAGTCACAGGAAAAACTTAAACATTATGATTATGAAAATGATGTTATTCTTGCTCCGATTTGTTTGAGCAGTTGAAAAAAATTAATCAGTAGGCTGGTAGGGGTCTAGAGTCTAGATCTAGCCTATCAGGAATATTACAAAATTAAGCATTTAATTAAGGATAAGATAAGGAGTATAAAAGACATTCTTGTTTGATTTAAAAAACGAATCTCAACTTCAAGTTGCGCAGACATAGGGTCTACACGACACGTAGGCCTAGATCTGTACGTAACGATATGGCTCCCGATCTAATGAAGTGCCCAGTACTCCACAGCTGACCGACCCGGCCGCGCGCCGTCAGTGCAGCGAGCAATGGTTGGATAAAATTAGAGCAGGTTAGTTTACGTAACGTTCCTGATGTAGCTGTAGAAAGGGTCAGGAAAATAAACCATACGGACAAATTTCTTACCAGAGATCTCTGTTCCCACATTTAGGAAAATGCTTCACAAGATGATAACCCAATGGAATACGAGCCATTTCACCTCAGGAAGCGATTCGTCAGATTTTCCGACGAATTTTCTTGAGGCTAGTTGCCTCTCTCTCTCGTAATCTGCTCCAACAAACAGCTTGTCAGTAGTAGTAGCCGTCGCGACGCGTCGATCGGATACGGATTTCACACATGTATCCGAAACCGCCGTTCGTTTACGTACATCAAATCCAAAGAGTGTAGGGGGGGGGGGGGGGGGGGGGGGGGGGGGGGGGGGGGGTGCAGGGATCGGGGTATTGTGTACTAACGTGTCGATGTCATGTTATGTTTTTCCAATTTCTCACCGATTTTGAATGTAATTATTTTCTATTTCAACGTCATGCTTTTGATGTCTTTTTTTATTCATGATTTTAATGTAAACGCAATATGTAAAATCCCAGATTGTATTTCCATGTCATTAAATAAAATTGAATTGAATTGAATTATAAGAAGGAGAATCCAGCACTTTAATTTGGGAAGGAAAAGAGGGCCCATATAAGGAGGGGAATTAAAGGGCACAAGGAAAAGGAGCACTTGTCAGAGTAAATGGGGCAAAGCGTCAAGATTCGAATAAGGGCAATCATTAATTAGAAAAGAAATTATGCACTTGTTTAAGTATTAGGGGCACCTATCAGAGATGTAAAGGGGCTCTTATAATAAGGGAAAGGGGCACTTATAGATTATAGATAGATTCGTCAGATTTTCCGACGAATTTTCTTGAGGCTAGTTGCCTCTCTCTCTCGTAATCTGCTCCAACAAACAGCTTGTCAGTAGTAGCCGTCGCGACGCGTCGATCGGATACGGATTTCACACATGTATCCGAAACCGCCGTTCGTTTACGTACATCAAATCCAAAGAGTGTAGGTAGGGGGGGGGGGGGGGGGGTGCAGGGATCGGGGTATTGTGTACTAACGTGTCGATGTCATGTTATGTTTTTCCAATTTCTCACCGATTTTGAATGTAATTATTTTCTATTTCAATGTCATGCTTTTGATGTCTTTTTTTATTCATGATTTTAATGTAAACGCAATATGTAAAATCCCAGATTGTATTTCCATGTCATTGAATAAAATTGAATTGAATTGAATTATAAGAAGGAGAATCCAGCACTTTAATTTGGGAAGGAAAAGAGGGCCCATATAAGGAGGGGAATTAAAGGGCACAAGGAAAAGGAGCACTTGTCAGAGTAAATGGGGCAAAGCGTCAAGATTCGAATAAGGGCAATCATTAATTAGAAAGAAATTATGCACTTGTTTAAGTATTAGGGGCACCTATCAGAGATGTAAAGGGGCTCTTATAATAAGGGAAAGGGGCACTTATAGATTATAAAAGAGAAAAGGGACACTTATACAAAGTGGCATTACGGTAGTCAAAGTAAAAAGGGGTCGTTAGTAGATTGGAATAGGGCAATCATTAGAGAGGAAATGGGGCTCTTATCAAAGTGAAAGGGGCACTTATAAGGAGGGGGAATAAGAAAGGAAAATGGGCAATTTGGGGGTACAATTGTACTTGAAAAAGTGAGAGGGCACCCGTTTGTTATAATTACTACAACCTCGTGATAACAACCTCTTTGGGACCAATGAAACAACCTCTTTGGGACCAATGAAACTACCTCGTTTCAATGAACCTTGATGTATATCAGGAACTTGGTACAAAAAACTTCAAAAATAAGCTTTTAAGCGCAATTTCAATACCCTACTGCCCTATAGAAATCATGTTTGGATTGCAAAATATGTCATTACCAGGTACATGTATAAACAATTAAATGGGTGACAAAAAATGCTGCTAAAATTGCTTTAGCTCGATTTAAAAAAAGGAAAAAGGACGTTGCAATCGCATTCAGGGCTAGAAATATATAAACAACTCCAAATTTGGAGCAGATAAATGTACGTTCTTTTTACAAGTGTGTCTTACATCTGTGTTCTTTATAAAGAGGTTTGACTGTATAAGAAGAAACACTGGGCACAGAAAATATTTAAACAAGACAATTCAGCAAATTTCAATTGCAAAGAAAGAATTTTTATTGAGTTCACTCCTGAGGCAAGGGTGTCTGCGATGGCAAAAATACATTAAAAAGGCAAGAGGAATGCAATGTTATCCAGAAAAAAAAACTTACATGTACGAGAACATTGTATCTAATTGTGTTACTTTGATTTAATACATTTAAATGTAATGTTGGTTTAAAACGGGACATATCGAGTCAGTGGTGGCATTCTAGATATTTTATATCTATTCAGTGCAACTGTAATACATTTATTCAAGGCTACTTTTAAATATTTTGTTATCTTCCTTAATCAGTCAAAATCATAAATTATTTGTCAGAATCTGAGAGCAAATTTGCTTTTAAAGGCATTGTTTCACGAAATATATTTAACAGGACCATTCAGCACATTTCAATAACAAAAAGAAGTAATTTTTATTGAGTTCACTCCTGAGGCAAGGTTGTCTGCGATGGCAAAAATACATTACAAAAGGCAAGAGGAATGCAACGTTATCCAGAAAAAAAAACTTACATGTACAAGAACATTGTATCTGATTTTCTGTCTTCGATTTGATACATTTAAGAGTAATGTTGTTTTAAAACGGGACATATCAGTGGTGAGCTGGTGGCAATCTATATATTTATCTATTCATTGTCACTGTAATACATCGATTCAAAAGTACTTTTACATATTTTTTTTATCTTTCTTAATCAGTCAAAATCATGTGATGTCTGTGATACGCTGTAATATCGAAGCCCTAACAAAAATTGCTCTTCAAAATGATCATGAAGTGCTTCAAAAAAGTAGAAATTTTTGAGCGATCGATTACCATACTCATTTTCCCCAATAGACTGTAGTGTTATAACAAAACTGTTTAAAACCGTTTCTGAAATTTTAAATTCCAATCATAAATATCTTGACAATCAAAGATGCGATTGGCTTGTAAAAGTCATGGGATTTATTTCTGACATAAAGGTTTATAATAATGATTGCAGCACGAACTAAATCAAGGATATTGTTTAGAATCAGAGGCAAACTTACCTAACACCCTTAAAATGACTCGCTAATATTGCCTCGGATTCTGTAATAAAATCCTGGATTTTTCCCATGCTGCAATCATAATTATAAACCTTTAGGTCAGTCAGGAATCCCATGACTTTTACAAGCCGATCGCCTGTCTGACTATCAAGATATTTAGGATTGGAAATCGAAAATTCATTTTTCATTTTCCTTATGGTTTTTATAACACTACAGTATATTGGGGAAAATGAGTATGGTATAAATAAAACCGGTCACTCAAATATTTTTACTTTTTTGAGGCACTTCATGATCATTTAGAAGCGCAATTTTTGTAGAGCTTCAATATTACACCATATCACATAAACCGATAACATACTGTGTAATTAGTACTGCAATGATGTTATACAGGTCTTGAACAGTAGATGGCGCTCTTTCAAAAAAATCTGGCCTTTTCGTGTACAGTGTACACTTTTTGAACGGTACAAAAATGCTGTAGCACAGGGGGTATGCCGCGCGTTTTAAGCCAATAGCAGTCAAGTGCACGGTTAAGTACATTGCATACAGACTAGATACAGACTCATACTAGATCATAGAAACATTTGCTATGTTCTTTCCCAACATAAAAAAGAACTTGTATAGATAAAAATACACAGAGTGATAATTCTTCATTCTTTTTTTAGAATAAAGTGAACAGTAGAGTAATACACAAATATAAAGAGCCATGTTTGCAGCACACTCCAGCTTCATGTGCAAATGCGCTCACTGTCACTGAAATGTCAAATACTGTGTCAAAATAATTTCATAAACAACTATACCGTGTGAGTCAAAAAAAGTTTACACCTAGAAAATTGCTAATTATTTTTAAAATCATCTATGAACAGTAAATTATTATACATATTATGAAAGAGTGTTTGATCCCTAATCATTTGGTACCATTTTTGTGTGGTATGTGTTCACGCTTGGATGAACAGGTGGCATTGTTTGCGAGAATGCAAAAATCTTCTAGGTGTAATTTTTTTTTGGACTCACACTGTATAGGGATCTTGTACATCTAGTTTCCTAAGATAATTATGAACATGTACAATTGCTTGTATTGGAGTTCAAAAATGAAAGGCAAACGCAAGTATAATTTGAGAATTTGCAAATATGAAACAAGGGAAACCTCTCGGCGGTCTCGCCTGCATTACGCGATTCGATATGATGAAAAATTGAGGTTGTGACATTATTTATAGGCAGGGTGGCCCATAAGCAGGGCACTACCCCTCCCCCCCCAAAAAAAAAAAAAAAAAAAAAAAAATTAAAAAAAATCCTCTGAATATTATATAATTAGTATTTTGAAGTGACTATTGACTAAGAATCAGAAGAAGAATTATTTACTATTATTTGTACCAAGATTGATAACTTTAATGAAATATGAGCAAATAACAAACAATGATTTATTCATTGTCACATAAAGTTGTAAAAACATAATCCAAGTCTACTGACCTAAAATTGCCTTTGACCTTGACTTTGTGACCCTGACATGGTGTTATATGATTTGTGATACTTGATAACCCTTGGGTACAATACAAGTTTCATGGAATTTGAACAAATACTTTTGAAATTACCAGTATGATAACAATTCAAAATCTTGATGTTGATGCCACAACAAAGTCTGTGTGCTTGCTTGTGACCTGTGTCATGTGTTTTCTTGTGAGCAATGACTTCAGATTCGGAAGAAAACCACTTTCCACATTCAAACACCTTGTCGAAACCAACCCTATGATGTTTTACCTAATGGTGCACAAGTGGCCTTCATTGGATTATTATTTTTTTTTTTTTTTTGGGGGGGGGGGGCGGGGGGCTTTTAGATTGTAGATCATTCAAAAGTATTTTTTTACCAGTATGTGTATACATGTACATATGATCTTTCAGGTGACCAAACTATCCAAACTTCTTATTTATTTTAGAGCACATCTTTCTGTCTTCAGGGCCAACATTTGAAAAAAGAATTAGGAATTTTTAGCACGGTATGCCTTCGAAAATAAGAAATCCCATTTGCAGTGGCAGTGTAACTGGAAATACGCGGTAAATCTGTACCAAAAAGCGAATCCCAATTCGCTGCTCGATCATGCAGCTTTTTCAACGCAATCAATATGTGATCTCCCAAACCGCGGGACATGATCAAACAAGCCTAATTTGGCAACAACAAAAAAATAAAAACTAAAATAAAAATGGCAGGTATGTCTAATGGATGGTGAATGCTTCCTCTGAACAAACTCCCTCTCCACATTCACAAACCTAGCCGATTGTAAATACCAGCATGATGCCTCCTTAAATGATCAACAAGCCAACTTTGATGATAAAAGCCTTGGTTACATTCAGAACATGCAAACGGTTTAAAAACTCCTTTCCCAAGTCTAATCGTGTTAGACCCTGAAGGTAGAATAATACTTGATTCTTTGCCCTCTTCTGCCTCACATTCTCTTGCAGTGAGGTTTGACTCGGGTACATCATCATTGATCAACTTTGCATTTTCTGTACAACTTGCACCATTCTCAGATTTGCTAAGTCTTTTGTCATTTACCGGTACACTCTTCTGTCGATTTTCATTCAGTTCCTCTCTATCAATTCCTCCTACAGGAACACTTGAAGACAACCCTTGTTCAAGGCTATTCTTTATGCCATTTTCTGCATTGCTAAGTCCCTGCCTTGGGCTATTCAAACAATCATGTGGGTTAACATTGGGTTGTTTTGTCTCACATTTAATTGATAGAGCAGCATTTAGAGGTAAAATCTTCACATATCCAGAGCAATACGGCCTTTCTGCATCGTGTACCGTCTTCAGTTGGGTCAGATCTATCCCTCCAGGAATTTGGCTCTCACATTGAGCACACTGATTCAACTTCTTTCCCCTGCATGTTCTCTTATGGCCGTCGAGTTGCTTATCAGTTAATATATCTCCGCATTCACAGGTCGTTTTGTAAATGCTCCTGTGGCGTATTTTGAAGTGGTACTCCAGATCCCTCAGTCTTACGAAACCTTTCCGACATTGAGGGCATTCGTAAGGGCTCTCTCCTGAATGTATCCTATACTTGTGTTCTTTCAGGTGATATCGCTTAGAAAACCTTTGACTGCACGTCGGACAAGCGTATGTCCTAGGAACTGGGGCTTCAACCTTAACTATAGCTTTGTCAGCTTTTGAAGATAGAGCCACATTTGCTTCACTGCCGTCTTCACTCTCAGTTATTTCCTCTGCCTTGATATGTCCCATCCCAACATTACTGGGCAGCTTAGCATGCTTACTTCTACCGTGTTCCGAGTTCCTTTGCCTCGATTCCTCGAAGACATTTCTACAGCCCCCTGAAGAAACTCGAGATGTTGCCTGTAGGCCTACTCCCTCTTCTTCAACAGAATCTTGTTTGGTATCTAAGAGAACATGCCTCGATTCCTTGATGACATTTCTGCAGCCCCCTGAAGAGACTTGAGATGCAGCCTGTACTCCCTCTGCTTCTTCGACAGAATCTTGTTTGGTATCTCCAACAAAAGTCTTCTCCTTTGGTTGAGCTTCCAAAGTCCATTGCTGCAAACTACTTTGTTCCAAGGCCATGTCTCCTTTGGAACAGGGACCTGGTGAAAATGCACAAATCGTTGACAAGATGGCATTTTTTTTATACAGGGAAATAATAGTAACAGGGATGATATTTACATAGGCCCCCCAAATAAACATCATTGGCCAGCATCCAGGGGCAGAGCCCCGGAAAGGGGTTCAGGAGAACAACGTCTCCTGAAGTTTCTGCCTTCTGATGGACTTAAATGTTAAATTTCTATTGGATTTAAATGCTCAAATAAATTTACAAAAGATCAGAATATCATGCCTGTAACAACAACAAAAATAATAATAATAATTCAAAGTAGAAGAAGACGAAGTAGTAGTTAATTATTACCAGTCTCTTGTTGGCAAACCTCTTCCTTGAGTTCTTGTTTGATGAAGTAAATCTTGAATCCATCACTTCTCTGGAACACCACCTTCTCTTCTTTGTCGATCATAAGGCTTCCTATGGCAAAAGCACATCAAAAAAAAGAAATGCATTAAAACATTTGGAAAATATATATAATATATATTATCAAGAAAGACTGCATTGTGTACAAACCTAAATAGTATTTCATAGAATCCCATACTTGGCATATTTCACATCATGGTATTCATGAAGCACGTCCATTACTTTGGCAGAGATTATTCTAAAATACACAAAGTGGGACTTCTCCACGTGTAACAGATCAATGGGTATTTGGGGCCATTGGTACCCCGAACTAACTACAAACTGGTCTATTCTCTCTGGGTCCCAACCTACGAACACCATCTTAAAGCCTATCTGCACTAGTTTGGCCAGGATAAACTAGGCGTTGTGGCGTGCGCCTGTAATCCAGCTATAAAGTGGAAGTTACAAACTGATTCAGCCGAGGACGCAGGTTCGAAACTGAGACACGTCTTTTGGATTGTGACGTTTAAAGGTCGGTCCCAGACGTAAATAATCATATCTGATTGATACACGTCTGTAAAAACCCAATACACACACACACTGGCCAGGAGGGATTAGACCTCCCTGCATGGTCACTGACAGGTGGTATCTCATCAAATCAGCTCTCAATTAACATAAGCAAAAGGGGATCATGGGGGAACCATGGGTACCGCTTGGGTATTGTTTGCTATATATATAGAGGGCGCAAGTAGCTACATGTATAAGTACAGGGATGCCAGTTAGAATTTATGAGAGGGCCTGTAAATCACCTAGAATGAGCTATTTTGTACACACTGAAAAAGCCTAAACTATGGTCTGAAAATACCTCGCCAGGGCCTGAATTCAAGCTATTGCCTGAAAACTGGCATCCCTGTAAGTAGTGCAGTGGGGCTGTTAGTTATGATAAGATAAGATATAAAGTGATAAACCATGGTTGTTGTTTTGTAACATATGTTTAATATAATAAATAAATAAATAAATAATTAATATAATTAACTTGAGCTCTTTTCATAGGCTCTGTAGGAAGATACAGAAATATGAAGCCCATTGCACATTAATGGCATTATATATATAAACAAAAACCATCATGGTTTACTGCATCATATCTGACACTATGAGCATGACGGACAAAGAAAGAGGACAAAATATACAGTTCCTCATTCTACCCTCCACAATTGCTGTTGTAGACAAATGAACATCCCTTCACTGCTTTTATGTAAAAATGTGTAGAACAGGTGAATATGCATGTGACACCTGTTCTACACATTTTTACATAATAGCAGTGAAGGGATGTTCCTTTGTCTACCACAGCAACACAGAATGAGGAACTGTAAATTTTGTTCTCTTTCTTTGTCTGTCATGTTCATAGTGTCAGTGAGGAACCAGGAAATGATGAGAACTTTGGGACAATGATTACCTTCTTGTCCACTTTGTAGCGTTGGACACTGGCTGTCACCATCCACATAGTCATCTTTCTCGATTTTGATGACAACTGAAAAATAAAAATCAATTTAAACATAATAACATACGATTACTTTTAATCTCGGTTGAGAATCGAATTTCTACTTATCTGCAAAACTCCCCTTTCAGCACCCTATGTACTATATCTGACTACAATCCGCAGTAATCAACTCTCAAAAATGTTAATTTTGAGATCCATATTTTCTGTCTTTAACGGTCCTCTGTAGAGCGCCAAAATTTGTGACGTCCCATGTGAGAAACAGCTAGCCACAAAATGGCATATTACACCTTTCCATGATATCTCCACATGTATATGATTTTTCAGCAAATTCTTCATGTTTTTCAAGAGAAAATCTTTCCAACTGTATATAATTTGTCCATAATTGTCAGTTGTCGTCAATTTTCTTTGGGTGATTACTTTAATGATCAAGGATCTGGATAATCATATGATTAGTAATCTCTGAAATCCAATGGATTTCGATCAAGCTTCCTTAAAGAAGGAAACACAAAATCGGCTCAGAATCGTAGTGACATCTGGGAGTCGTTTAATGAAACAATTAGTTGGTGGTTTTCACTGACTACCGGTAATATCATGTTCACCGACAATTTAGTCAGCGCTGACTAAATTTGACCAATCACAGGCCTGGAAAATAGTCGGTGACAAAAGAATTGTCGGTGAACATGATATTAGTGGCTGAAAACCACCGACTAATTGTTTCATGAAACGCCCCCCAGGGGATCTAGGGATTTGAAGCTGATTCAGCTTTTATTCTGACTTGAAGGCTTAAATGCACTAAAATTCCAGTTGTTAGTATTCCTATCATTACTTAGAACTTAAATCAAAAGGATGACGTTGATTTAGATTCCCAGATCTAATATAATTGCCATTCATTCAAATATCGGATCGAAGGAGGATCGTATAGTATGTGGTGGGCTTTAGGCTACTAGGCCTACTTCTTCTTCGAATTGAGGATTATCAATATTTATGATTACACGATTATTAACCATATGGATAGTATACAAAATAGGCATTGGGCTATAACTGGAAATTAGACTGAATGAACAATAGACCAAAATGGGTAGTAGACTTATTGGAGATTAGACCAAATGGTGATTAAACCAAATGTCTTTAAGCTTAAAGGTAAAGACCAGTATTGGAAACGCCACAATTTAAAAAAATGAAATGGAAGCTCTCATTACCAGTCATGTGAAAGAATATGTTTTGACTAATACATGATGATAAAATGATTTGCCGGGAAACCGCCAACTAATTCATATATTTGATAAATTTGTTTCTCTCATGGTCTGTGAGAGATATAGGGTAGTCCCATATACATCTTTCTGTGTATAGTGCTTGTAACTTTACGAAGAATGGGCCAAATTTCTTATCATTTTGATGATTCCAGAACCTTGCAGATGCTAGATGCTAGATATGATCAACCTTTTCTGATCGATTCCACAACGTTTCTTTCACAATGCAATCGCATGACCATAACTGGATCTTTACCTTTAAATGGTCATTAGACCAAATGATAAGTAGGTGTAGAACATATGGGAATAGACCAATTGGGTAGTAGACCAACTGGTTGTAGACCAAACAGCAATAAACTCATACATCATGACAAAACAGTCTTACCTTCTTGTTTACAAATTTTCACAGCCATGGGAGGCTTGAAACAGAGACCATTGTCCATTGCACTGTCCATCTTTTCTTCTTTGATTTTATCTGGAAAAACAAACAAAGAAAATCATTCACAGTATTAATTGAACTCTAGACATCTCTTTAAGGGGGCCAGTCTGGTAAAATACAGTGAAATGCAAGTTGATAAAGAATTCTGAATAAATCATTCATTTTATTAAGTAAACTCTTATTAAGCATATATTTTGGGAAAGCTGAGAGTGAGACAATGGAGAATCTAAATCTTTTGGAGAAATTTATGTATCTCATTAAATATGCAAATTATATGCAAATTTTTCAAGGACATGAATATTCAGAAAATATTGTGGTGCTTGATCTCTGTACCACTACTGTAATTGTAATTACAATATCAAGGCACTTTTATGTGATTTTGATAGTACATGGAATGCACAACAGTCCTATGACACTGTTTGAATAATTTTCATCATTTACATCAAACTATAATATTTAAATGAAAAATAGAAATTAGAATGATTTTTGTTAACAATTTTGCTTGTGAGGTATTTACTGTATGTGCAAAAGACATCATAGGAATTAGGATCATTTGTTGTATGAAAACGAGTGTTAACGGTTACCGGTACTGCCAATTTTGAAGTAATTCTAATGAATATTTTTCAAGTTATAGCAATTTTTGTCACAAATTTCTAATTCAGAGATAATTAGCATATTATAAAGGAAATATTTAAAAGTGGTGATTTCCGTTTCTGGGCATATTTGTTACTTCAAACACAGGTTCCAACAATAAATTTGATCCAAAGTGGGATAAATTGACCTGCAATTGCCAGTTTGATCAGTTGCACTAGAGTGACTCCATGCAGGCAGCCATCTGTACACAAATGCCCTGACCCTACTACTAGGCCAATAGATGGCAGCAAACACATTAGTGTCCTGTCAGTTACATCCAGAGGTCCAAATTGCAACACTAAAATGTGGTCAATTTTGATTATTTTGAAAATTTTGGACCAAAAATATCCAATTCCGGTTAAAAAATTATCACATCGGGTCTGATAATTGGCTTACCTGATATTTTCTTTGCCCTAAAATACGATCATATACTAAAAATATCACGATTGAATGTTTAATGTTTTTTTTACATATACATGGAGGTAGGCATTACAAGACACTGTATTAATAAGGTGCCTGAGAAGGCAGGTGCCGAATACAGGTGATGTAACTTCTAATCTTAATTGGCACTAGCTGCTCCCTTTATTTCCCCGATGCCCATGGCGTAAGTCATCACCCTTTTGAGAGAAGCGGTGCGGTGAGCACAGATAGCCGAGCTCTAAATTAGGCCGCTGAAGGAAAATTCAAGCTCGGGTCACTGCCACGAGAAAGTGAACTTGTAAAGTTGTATTTGTTGTAAATGTAATCTCACTTCAATTGTAGTCTTTATTTTCATTGAATTTCAGTATTCTCCCATAATTGCATCAGTTGGAGAACAAGAGGAGGGTTTTCAGTATGATATTATATTAAAAGTATATTCACAAATCAATGTAAACATGAAAATATGGCAACATATCAGTTTTTCTGATCAACTGGTGTCTGGTTTGGTAGTAGTCCAGAATCTAGCCGATCTAATTTTGATCTCCACCGTACCACAACAAGGCAATGCGACCTCCCCCTACTTACTCGCTGCCAGCCATTGCGAGAAAATCGAGAGGCTTAATGTACAGGCCTTGTACTCGTTTCTCGAAAACCAACAACAAGACAGTCATAACTAAGTCCTAAAGTAATAGACAAACTGACAAACAATGGAACACTCATGGTGCATGACACATACCTGATTGCCAAGAACTTTCTAGAAACACTTCATCCCCCTGGTGGTAATATGGTGCGTCCTCCAGTACATGACCTGAACAAAATGAACATTTATATTTTTGCTTGTTAAGGTATACAGACACGAATGGTAAGATAATTATACAAGTCCAGGGTTCAGTGACACAAAGACGTAACTCCATATTTTGCCAAAATGAGTATTTGATATCAAAATGTTCTGAAAAATGTCCTAGTGAAACATAGACTTATCTCCTTAGGGCCCAAGTGCTCAGCGACAACATAAAACACTTTTTCTCAAAATGGCCAAAATAGAGTTAGGTCTTTGTGTCACTGACCCCTCAAAGTAGTGTATTGTAAACAAGGAGATGAAAGCTGCAATTCCAGATGCATAATTTATCAAAAAATTAAGGAAACGATGAGCACAGAGATCAATGGAGAATGAAATAAAATCATATCCTAATATATATATATATATATACCAAGAGGAGAAGTTCCAAGTTTCAAATACAACAAAACCACATGATAAAGACATAATTTACGTCGAAAATTTGTGATCTAATATGAACTGTAAGATTTGTTTTCATGAGCTAGTGAAATCTTTGCTTCTGATTGGTTATCTGCAGATTTGGCACTGATTTTTGTCATTTGTCATTGAAAAAAGGGCTTTGTGAAACGGGTCCCTGGAGTTGCAGGACATAAATGAGTATCAATCATCTCCTACAATATTGCTATAATGCCAACAGAAGGTGATTACTAGAATATTAATTGTCATGGGGAAAAAAGGAAAATAAATACCATGCAGAGTTTCCCTCTGTGGTACTTGAAGTCGAGCCTTTGATTCCCCTTCTGGTGGAAAAGTAAGACAGTATTACGATTTATGACGGCATGTTACAAACTGAGTCGCAATAACTGAGCCAATTGTAATGTGGAAAAAAGGAAAAAAAATACCATCAGGAGTTTTCCTCTGTTATATACTGCAATCAAAACTTGTGAGACACCATAAGATGTGTACGAAAAAAAAACACATCACCTGCACTTGACGTTCATAACGGCAGGTGGTTGGATAATTTTGATTTGTTTCTTTTAGCATGTGAATTCATGTCAAAGCTCTAAATATAAATATAATAATAACTACTTACTTTTCTTTGGGGCTTTTCTTTTTCTCTCTTTTGACCTTTTTTTGATAAGCCCAGTTTCAGGATCTGGTCTATTATAGACCCACACTGAATCCTTTTTGCGTTTTTGCTTGGGTTGATCGAGTCCTAGGTCTTGAGCAAGTTTCTGGCTTGCTGCTTTGAATTCTGCATCCCAGTCTTCTGATGTCCAACTCTGACGACCTTTTTTCTTCCCTACATAGATTAAAGAATATCACAGAAAGTGTGTTACAATAAAAGCACAATTCACTTTCGTCTTTAAATGAATATGCTGTACCGGTAGGTTTTTCTGAAGGCAACAAAAGGCATTCTTCAAGAACCAACTACAATTTACAAAGATCATGCTGACTAACAGATTTCGCAAATACGATTTGTCATCAAATTTGATAGCTTGTTCTTCACAAATATAATTACAAATTATGATGATAATTAATAATAATAGCAATACAAATGATGATGATGATGATGATGATAATGATGATGATGATGATGATGACGATGATGATGATGATGATGATGACGACGATGATGATGATGATGATGATGGTGGTGGTGATGGTGGTGGTGGTGGTGGTGTGGTGGTGGTGGTGATGATGATGATGATGATGATGATGATGATGATGATGATGATGATGGTGGTGGTGGTGGTACGTGATGATGATGATGATGAATTGATAATGATGATGATGATGATGATGATGATGATGATGATGATGATAACTATAATAATAATAACAATCATCATCACCATCATGTGGGTTTACATGGCGAGATTGTTTTCTGTATTTTCACCTCCATAAATAAAGTTTGTGTGAAGGTGCTTTAACTTTCAGAATCATCATCATCATCATTAAAATATCAATATATATGAAAACTAAAATGAAAACTATTTCAAGTGGAAAATGTCATGCACGATATACCTGCAGACATGCTGATAAAAATATGGGTGAAAATTCTTCTATAAATTATCCTGCCCTCAGCATCGACGTCACTCGGTCAAATGCGTCAATCCAACTGAAAAAAATTGAAAAGAAATATATAGTTAGAAATGACATGAGCATGCTTGCAAAGGTCAGTCACATTTTCAATCAATCCTGCAGCTTAATTCAAAGAATTTATATTTCTATCACATGTCATATGGTAAAATTGTAAATAACTGTTATTTACGGATGCTACCATGCAGTGGCGGATCCAGGCACCCCCCTGGAAAAAATGTGTAAAAACAAGCGTTAATTTTACCTTTTTTTGGAGATGCCCCCCCCCCTGGCGCTCAAGGGATGGGGGGGGGGGGGGGTGCGATTTTTTGAAATTTTCAAGGGTCAAGAAAAAATAATTAGTGCTCACTACCCCAAAATTTGAAATTTGGCCCCCCCTCCCCTAAGAAATCCTGGATCCGCTTCTGCTACCATGTTAAGATTGTTTGATTCGTGCAATCAGGGAGAAAACATAAGGAAGCGTTAAAGTGCCATTCTACTTGAGGACATGACGAGATATTTCATCTTGTCAAGTCGACTTAATATCCATATCATGTCGACATGTAAAGATATTTAACCTACCATGTCGACTTATCAACTTTTATTAGTCGACATGGCGAAATAAATTATCTTGCCAAGTCGACTTCACAAAAAGTTCATGTCGTCATGGCGACATAAGTTATCTTACCAAGTCGACTTCTAAAACATACATGTCGTCATGGCGACATATATTATCTTACCAAGTCGACTACCCAAAAAGTAATGTCGACATGGCGAAATAAATTATCTTGCCAAGTCGACTTCACAAAAAGTTCATGTGGATATTATGTGGATATTAAGTCGACTTGACAAGATGAAATATCTCGTCATGTCGTCAAGTAGAATGGCACTTTAACGCTTCCGTAAAAACACTAGCTGGTTCAACTATATATTTATCAACAAATTCATTTTACCAACAAACAAAAAAATTATAACTGTGAAATATTCAAACGTGAACAATAACAATGAAGATATTACAAAAATATAAATTTAATACATAAAAACAACAAATTCGATATAATTTTATATTCTCAAAAAGATCGATCTTAATGATAATTAAGGGTAAGGGCATATGATAATATTTACACACATGATGTACATACATGTACACATTCTAACGGGAAATGAAACGATTGCAGTGGTGTTTTTGTTGAGCTATGGAGCATGGTTGCAAGCCTGCGCCCGAGAAGACAGGTGCAACCCTTTCGAGAGAAGCGCTTGCACACCGAGCACAGCCGAGCTCTAGGCCGCTGAAGGAAAAATCCAGGGCCGGGTCACCGCTCGCTGCCGCTGCCAGCTGCCATAATAAAGTGAACTTGTCTTTTGTTGTAAATGTAATCTCACCTCGATTGTTGTCCCTATTTTCACCGATTTTTAACATTCTACCATGCCTGTCTGTGGATCGGTGTAATGGTGGTGTACCCTCGAAGAAAAAAAAAATCGGCAGATGGCCTGGTAACTTATGGTGCCAGATTCACTACGTCCTTTGTTTTTATTTTTCTTCTATCACACTAGATTGTACGCATCGTTCCCACACGTATACACACATGCACAGCAAGCGCGCGTTCTCTCCCACTACACTGCGGTCAGTGGTTTTTCCACTGATGCGATCTTGGATCCCGCCCCGCCCCCCCCCCCCCAACTCAGTGTTATTTAGGGTACGCGTATGCTCGTTCCCTCTTTTTGAAAGCACCCCCTATAGTCCAGGCTAGAGAGCAAGGAACCTTGTTTTTTTATATATACAATGTTTTTTGATGGTTTCTTATCAATTTGAGGGTGCTGATTCCAAATCCGATGAGTGCCAGACGCGAAACCTTGAGCATTTTGCGTAAAACGCGAAAATTCAAAATGGCCGCCAAAATGGCCGCCAAATCATGAAAACGCTTATTATATGGCCATTTAAAAGGTTATTTGATGTTTTCTTGTCAATTCGAGGGTGCTGAATCCGAATCTGATGAGTGCCAGACGCAAAACCTTGAGCATTTCTTGTAATATGCGAAAAAATTCAAAATGGCCGCCAAAATGGCCGCCAAATCATGAAAAAGCTTATTATGGCCATTTAAAAGATTTTTTGATGTTTTCTTGTCAAATCAAGGGTGCTGAATCCGAATCCGATGAGTGCCAGACGTGAAACCTTGAGCATTTTTCGTAAAACGCGGAAACAAAAAATCAAAATGGCTGCCAAAATGGCCGCCGAATCATGAAAATGCTTATTCTATGTCCATTTAAAAGGTTCTTTGATGTTTTCTTGTCAATTCGAGGGTGCTGATTCCAAATTCGATGAGTGCCAGACGCGAAACCTTGAGCATTTTACGCAAAATATGATTATTATTTTTGTAGTCGATACCGATATAGTGAACCCAGCAGGCTAACTAACAAAGTTTACTTTGTGTAATGGGAAAGTTATATACACGTATAAATAAAATAATGAATAAATGAGCATATAGATGATATAGATATTCATTGTAAACCATATTTTTGTCCATTATAGACAAACATTTACCATAATAATATTGAAGTCTTTCTAGTCTTACCACCTCCATAATAGCAGTGCCGAACAATGTCAAATATTATTAGTCTTCACAACTGCTCATGTCACTGTCACTCTCTTCTGATGTCTTGTTCATTGGATTTTGGCAGCGGACATCGCCCTTACAGCGGCAGAATTCCAAGCATGCCAATGACGGTTTGGTGCAGCTGCACTGGGCTGTTCTGCAGTCGCTCTTACACCCACACTTAATGATATTGAGGACTTCTTCCGGTCGACTGGCTGATCATTTTCGAGATAGACGGGTTGAATCGTAGAAGACTTCATCCTCCATCCATTCTTCAATGGGTCTAGGGCTGGGGGTACTGGCTTGCCAGCAGCCACCCACAACGCTACTTGATAATGGGCACGCTGGCAATGTGGCCAAAAAGCGGCCATAGTTGGTGTAAGACTCATTAATTTGGTCTAGGGCTGGGGGTACTGGCTTGCCAGCAGCCACCCACAACGCTACTTGATAATGGGCACGCTGGCAATGTGGCCAAAAAGCGGCCATAGTTGGTGTAAGACTCATTAATTTGGGAGGTACTAGGCGCTTGCCACCAGCCTTCCTTGTGAAAATGTTTCTTCGCATTGTGTCAAGAGAGTCATTTGGTTCTTCTTGGTACAGGGATGCCAGTATCTCAAGCAGGATTCTATTACTTCATCGAGAGGCGTTTCAGTATTACCAAGGAGTAGAGAATCAGGATAGGGCTCCAAAGTCTTGAGTGCAGATGCCTTTCCTACTCTATAGAAACAGGAAACGGCATGAACGGTATCGCATCCAGTCAATGCATGGGCTCCAAGTAGATTGGGCATGATCTTCGTGTGTTTCTTGATAACCTCATTGACATCTATGACTTCTCAAGTGCGAGACGTTGATTCCAATACCACCTTTGTTGTGTGTGGTATTCCATTGGTTTGGAAATGTAGATGGTGTGCAAGAGCACCAACACCAACACCAACATCAAGTGCACCAACACCAACAGCAATTGGATGCGGATCAGGTCCAGTTACGATCAATCGTTTGCCCTCTGGTACTTGCATGGAACACAACTGATCTATGATCATCTTGATGACTTGTTGCTTGTTTGCAGTTACATTTAGGATGACGTTCTGCTTTGGCAGTGGTGACTCACTGTTCAGCTTGTATACAAGGCTGCAACCTTTTGCACGTGCTGTTCGGCAACAGGACTTGATGCTGCTCTCGTAGTATCTGTCAAAAACCACATGCAGAACTGGACAACTGTCTACATATTTCATGAACGTTGCTACAGCAACATCTACAAAGGTACACACCTTTGCTGGAGACGCAGGCCAAGGAACGGTCCAAAGAAGAGCACATCCATCAAGAATGATAATATCTGGCACCTCTGCACTTCGTTGACTACACTCAACCTTGATCCTTGACTTCAAGACGGACTTACTTGTGGAACGTGCATCACCATTATTGTCGAACAGTGCGGGTGCATAGGGAGCCAATTCATAAGAGAATAAGGTTTTGGTTGAAATCGCTTCCCTTGATGATGCCATGATCCCGATTACCCAGGCGTAGATCATCTCTGTATTGGTAACTATAGATACCTCACCTCTTGATGACATATCAGAAGCCTTTGCCATTCCTTTGACTCTCCTCTTTATTGTGTCATGGAACCCATTCGGCAACTTTCTTTCGTACTCGTTCATCTGATCAGTTCCAATCTTGATTGCATCATCAGCATTTACTGCTGGATCATCCACAACCTGTCCAGTGTAGATGTTCACCAGGTTTGAAGGAGGATGCTTCTCACTGTCAAATACATCTATACAATCATGTCGATAGCGCCTCTCGAATTCCCTTTCTGTCAGCCGCATCTTATTTGATTCTTTTGAGACTCTCTTCTTTGTGACAAGTGACAACTTTCTGATCTTCCCCTTCTTGCATGGCTTCCAAGTCATTCTTCAGTTGTCCAAAGAGGCTGAGAGACAAAGCCCAGATAGCAAGGGTAGACTCGTTCAAAGTGGATGGGTGGATGGAGGGGTAGGGTGGATGGAGGTGTGATAGAAGTAGGGTGGATTGAGGAGTGGTAGGGTGGATGGAGGAGGGGTAGGGTGGATTCAGGAGAGATAGGGTGGATGGAGGAGGGGAAGGGTGGAAGGAGGAGGGGTAGAGTGGAAGGAGGAGGGGTAGGGTGGATGGAGGAGAGGTAGCGTGGAAGGAGGAGGGGTAGGGTGGATGGAGGAGAGGTAGGGTTGATTGAGGAGAGGTAGGATGGAAGGAGGAGGGGTAGGGTGGATGGAGGAGGGGTAGGGTGGATGGAGGAGGGGTAGGGTGGATGGAGGAGTGGTAGGGTGGATGGAGGAGAGGTAGGGTCGATTGAGGAGAGATAGGGTAGATGGAGGAGAGGTAGGGTGAATTGAGAAGAGGAAGGGTGGATTGAGGAGAGGTAGGGTGGATGGAGGTGTGATAGAAGTAGGGTGGATTGAGGAGGGGTAGGGTGGATTGAGGAGGGGTAGGGTGGTTTGAGAAGAGGTAGGGTGGAAGGAGGAGGGGTAGGGTGGATTGAGGAGGGGTAGGGTAGGAGGAGGGGGGTAGGTGGATGGATGAGGGGTAGAGTGGATGTAGGAGAAGGTCCGTTTCCATAGCGCATGTATGTCGTTTTAATGTACATATCGGACCAGATGCCGTTCCAAATGCCATCCTGATGGTGCATCACATGTTCTCCATCTAAGAACTGCTTGAGTAATGCTGGTGGCAGACGTTGCATGGAGCGGAGATAGTACAGCCCATAGCGTGCATAATTGGTATGCCCTGAAGCAAAGAAATAGGGAAGCATTTCTTCGACAGCTTGCAGATGGAGAGACCAGTCACCCTCCCTCTCAGCTCTAACAAAAGCCATACAGATGAGCATGGGATTTAAAAAGACAGTTCATCCACAACTTTGTAGTTCGACTCCTTTGCTTGCTGGCTACTTCAATCAACTCGTCAAAGTCAGTGAATTGTTGGTCTTCCAGTACTGATCTTAATATCTCCTTAATGACAAGTCGAAGCGCCCTGAAATTCTGTGGGAACTTCTCCCCAGACAGAAGTTTTGGAATTCCAGCAAATCGTGACTTCAGTATGTCTTCGAGCCCACTTCCTGACATCAAATAGCCGATACTTCCTAGAAAACTAATTATCATGTGCATGCCGCCTAGTCTGGGTACAAACTTGGCAAATCTGTCTTGGTTAGCCCAGACTATGTTTACCATCACTTGGTAGAGTTGCTGATCACACGTAAGAATTGTCCATTCTTGGCCTGTAAGTGATGTCAGGAACTGTGCCTGTACCATTGCCGTCATCATTGTGTCAGGTTCTGCTGGTGTCATATCCAAGAATGGAGTGTACACTACTGTAGTCTTGGGCCTCAGTTGCTGTCCACTGTCCCGTGCATGCTTTGTATTGAAACCGCTAAATTCTGGGCAATCCTCGTTTCTTGTCACGGCCTGTAGGAAAGCAAGATCTTTTGCTGCTGCTCTGTTCTTGGAGACTTGCATACTTTCATCTTACCTGTTGTATATATCAATTACATGATGTGGTAGCCAGTTAACCATGGGTCTAGCTCTCAGATGCTTGTTTCCATGGTGAATATGAAGGACATGGCACTAGTCATGTGACAAGTCACCTGACTCCAACTAGAATGAAAAGTCTCAAATTTGTGTTTGGGTCATGCATTATACAAATGTGGCAGTGTACTTTATGTGATGTTTGTGGTAGATGTTTGTGTGTGTGTGAGGGGTTGGGTGTGTGTGAGGGGTGGGGTGGGTGTGGATGTGGGTGTGTGCCAGGGTGGGGTGGGTGTGTGTGTGGGTGAGTGTGTGTGTGTGGGTGTTTGTATAATTGTTTGCGGGTGATAATTGCACATTTAGAAAAAAACCTCTGAGGTCTTAAATCGTGCTCATTAATGGTTTTATTAAATGTGTAATTAAATTTTTTTGGCGGCCATATTGGCGGCCATTTTGAATTTTCGCGTTTTACA